TAATCTCTGCTACAATGGGTTATGAAATAGCAATTAGGCCCATCTCCATCATTTGTGGTATTACTTGGTGTGTTGTAATTTTATAAAATACCATGAACTTTTTTTGCTATGATTTCTAATGATTGCTTCCATTCAGTAATTATTTTGCATGAAAACTTGTGAATATAAAAGTTAGAGCATGTTGTTCTTGTGGACAACCACAAATTATAGGATCTTGGAAAAAATTTGTGATGATAGAAGTAAATTATTATTGTATTCAAATTTGATTTATCAATTTTGGTTTTACCTGAGATTGATTCTATATCGGTGTTGTTGCATCCTTAACTTCTTAATTACTCACACTCTAATTTGAGATTGGAAAAACAATCTTCATTGCAATATTAGCATTGCTCTCATTTTATTGTGGCTATAGTGCATGTTATGAAGTAGTTGGAGCTGTATTTTTTTTAAGTGCGTGGAGGTACCAAATAGATCTACATGCACAACTATGGTCAATCCTGAGAAATTGTCTTCTCATTCAATTCTGTCTGACTTGTGTTTTAAACATCTTGCAGTTGATACATTGAAATGAGTCATCCACAGGATCCACACAGGGCTTTCTTCCCATTTGGAAATCCATTCCGAATGATATTACCTAAGGGCTTGTATCTCTCTCATAAGCTTCTGGCATTGTTGAATGCGTTTGAGGATACCTTGGCAGAGAGGATTAGGAAGCTTAAGCCAATAGACAGGGAAGATGTCCTTAGCTTATCATGGATGAGATTGGCAATGGAGTCTCTCTGTGAAACTCACAATGACATTAAAGTCCTCATTACTGCCCTTGAACTCCCTGTGTGTGATTGGGATGAGAAATGGATTGATGTATATCTGGACAATAGCGTCAAGTTGCTTGATATCTGCATTGCGTTCAGCTCTGAGTTGTCACGCCTGAATCAAGGGCATCTGTTGCTTCAGTGTGTCTTGCATAATTTGAATTCCCCCAGTCCAAAGCAGTTTGTGCGTGCTCGTGCTTCACTTGATAGTTGGAGGCAGCACATTAATTCAAAGAACCCAAGGCTTGAGAACTGTTTTGCCACCTTGGACAATCTTACCACAACTCTTAACCTACCTAAGGTGAAAAACTCAGCCAAAGGCAAGGTATTGATGCGTGCTATGTATGGAGTGAAGGTGGTTACACTGTTTGTGTGTAGTATCTTTGCGTCTGCCTTCTCAGGTTCAGCAAAGAGGTTGATGGATTTGCAGGTGCTTGAAACATGCTCGTGGGCTGAAGCTTTTACTGAGCTGCAGGCTTTTGTTAATGGCGGGATAAGAAATATGGTTTCAAGTGGAAGGGTTATGGTATTGAGAGAGCTTGAAGCAGTTGATATAACTGTCAAGAAATTGTACCCCATGATACAAGATGGGGTTGGACCTGTGGAAGCTGAAGCATTCCAGATTTCTATCTCGGATATGGGGAAGAGGACTGAGAAGCTCTCACAAGGTTTAGATGTTCTTGCGAAGGAAGTGGATAGCTTCTTCCAAATTGTTCTATCTGGACGCGATGCTTTGCTTTGCAACTTTAGAGTGGGTTCTGAGACTAGTAATGTAGAGGAGCAGCAAGTCTCGAGGTGAAGGATGATGAAGATAAATTCTCTCCTCTATTCACGTGATGGGTGTAGGTATGGGGATTTCTGTTATTTGTTTGGTAAAAATATACCAGGTTATCTAATGTGTGGTAATTGGTATAGTTTAGCCTTTGAGTTGTGGTATCTTCATATTGAAATGTTTAGTATGTATCTGGATTGTTGTGCAATATTAATTATATATATAAAAGGTATGTACTGTTGGCACAAAAATGTGTTCATCCTTTTGACCTCAGAATCATCTTTTTAAATTTATTGACATGTTTTCCATCATGTTTCTCTTGTTTATCTGCTGTAATGTTGAGGCTCGTGTTATGTAACAAGCTGACAATTTGAAGCTTTTTTTTTTTCCTAAATATGCACAACTATCGTTTTGAGGTAGCTTTCCGAATTTTGATGCTTACGATGTTGAAAAGAAAGATAATGGGTATGGGGTTTTCTGCAGCACTAAGTTGTGATTTAAATCATTCAATGGTAGGTATCCCTTGCAACTTGCTAGGGTAATAGATTGTAGAAAAGGCATGTTAAAGTGAATCTGAATATATAAGGAAGTTCACCCCCCCCCCCCCCCAACACACAAATCCATCCTCTATCCCTTACTTGCCAGCTTGATTGCTCGTCTTATTTACCGTTTGCTTTAGCAGGTGGTTTATGTCTGGCCCTTCGTAATGGTGTTGGAGTCTCGTGATTCTGGAAGATTTTGCTTTGAATTTTTTTTCCCCGTGCTTTTACATGATATGTGCTGTGTCTGATCATGCTATTTTTGTGGCTAGTTTGTTGTGGGAGGGAAGCTACTTTCCTCAGCCAGAAATTCTGCATGGAAGCAGCAGAAAAAGCCGGTCTGTTGTTTCCATGAGCTTCTGCTCCTGTGATACAATCCATTTGAAGGTAGGTTCCGCATTTGTTCTAACGTCTCTTGTGCTTACCTTGTGAAAATCTTTGTGATCCCTTCTATCACGAAAGATTGTAATGGGCACAATGATCAATATTCCAATTTGGAGCATACTTACGGCAAGCTCGGGAACAGAAAATTAAAAATACCGAAACACGGAAAACATTTCCAAATACCTCGAAATATAAAAATTTTTATTATCTCTGATTTGTTTCAAGTTTGATAGAAACCGAAATGTTTTGGTGAAATTAAAATTAAATTTTCATCTTTGATTACGTTGGTGTTTTAATCAATTACTTATGTCATATGGTGAACTTAGTTATCACCTAGCCATTGTTTTCAAACAAAGGAGTGACAAAAGTCTTAGAGGTGGTTCAGTGACGTAGATCTTGACTTTTGGTAATTTAGAGGTGTCAGGGACAATTTCTTATCACATTTCTTAAGTAGTAGTCACTTTTGTTCCTCTTTTAAGGACACATGTTTTAACTGAATTGAAGTTATGGTGGTTAGTCGTTAAATTTTAGAGAATAGTCGACACAAGTTTGAATAGTTTATAACAAAAAAAAAAAAAACAAAAAGGGACTCAAAGGAGTGACAAGAATTGGTGTTGTGGTTAGACTCCACAACTTGATGCCATTTTTTCAGTTGGTAAAACTTGCTACTGGTGTCGAATAAGCTTCCTCCAGAAGTGGTTTATAGCTTTTAATGTGGGATAAAAATGACACGGCCATAATACGAATTTAAAGTGATAAAAGCCGAATTACATAATCCCGAGATGACATAAGCAAGAAATGAATAGACAAAGTCGATCAATTGTAATCTTTTTTGATTATACCACACACCAGCAACAAGACAATGGATCGCATGGAGTCACAGCTGTGTGTACTTTTTATGTGTTTATGATATTTCCTGGTTCTCTTAATTTTCTGGAACCTTACCCTAGAATTTAATATATCACACCTACTGCTGAAGCATCCAATGATTCTTTCTGGCAATACGTAATCAATTGATGAGCTATGATCAGGGTTTAAACCTCATTTAGTAATGCAAATTGACTTGGGTTTAATGGGAACATTAGCCTATGTGGGTGGCGATGACTGTGGGCGAGGGCGGGGAGAATAGTCTCCGTCCCGTATTCATTTTAAAAATATTCATTCATTCCGTTAGTGGAGAATATTTTAATTTTCATCTATGTCTTGTGGGTAATTTTATATATATATATATATATTTTTTAGTCTTTCCTCATCTCTATCTTACACGAGTTTATAAAAGTATTATTGTATAAATTCACTGCCTAATATATATAATTCATCAATGCAAACGAAATGAATTTATACTGTTTTTTCTCGGTCCACTGCCGTCTCTACTCCAGGTGCAGTGTGTCAAAATGTTGGCCGCCAGCTCTGACCGACTTTTCTGGAAACTTTAATGCCAGCGAATATAGTTAGGCTTAGCTTGCAATTGGTCTCCTGTGGGTTCCATGTGGCGTATGCCAATTACAAGTCACAACTGTTGCAAAGAATTGTGGTTGAAAATCCATGAGAAAAATATATAATATAAGAGATGTATGTAACTTATTTCCAACAAATAAATATTATATATAAAGATGAGATTATAATTTAATTTAATAAAATAATAAAATAAAATTATTTGAGATCGGTTGCAAGATGAACACTTGCATTTTAGGATTGGTCATAATAATTTTGTCAATTGTTATAAAAATCCCTTTTAGTACTATATTCTTACCAAAAGAAATTGATTTCGTGGGTTACATTATTCTAAAGTTGGACCGTGTGGCCAACCTCGCAAGTCCATGGTGTGATAGGTGACCATCGTTCGTGATGTATAAAATTGACATCATCGTAAAGTTGTAAGATAGAAAATGAATATAATTTTAATTATATTGAGATTAAGCGATTAAGCTTGTTTAGTAAATAGGGTAACATGAGAGAACCGATTTGTATATGACTAATGCGTGATAGGTATGGTCACCCATGCTCTCAATTGTAAATAAATTAGAGATTATTGGTGCTTGAAAGTATAGCGTGGCATAAATCAATTGGTTAACTCAATTAATTAGATATAAATTATTAAAAAAATTAAATATAATTAAAATATTTTTTAACAGGGTTACGTGAACCCGGCTCACAATTCACAGGCCTGAATGTAATTCAACGATTACATGAAGATTCCACCAAGAAAAAGCAAGCCCCCAAAAGTCCGTTTACTTCACGGGAAACCATAGCAATTCCAGTTCAAAAGTTCACACGCATTCACACACTTTCTCTCTCTAGAACACACTCGCAAAAGTCCTCCATTCTTTGCCAAGAACGACCTCCCTCACCCAAAAACCACGACAATTGTCAAAGAGCTGTGGGATATTCCATAGCTACCGACACATACCCTCCAAAACCTCTTCAACTTTGGCTTTTTCGGTGAATTTCTGAGTTGGGTTTTGAGTCTTTATCGAAGAGGAGTGTGTGTCTATGGAGTCAAGTTCTGGTTCAAGTGACCATGGAAATATCAGAGGAGTGCCTACGCATGGTGGGCGGTACGTACAGTATAATGTCTACGGTAACCTCTTTGAAGTCTCCCGAAAGTATGTCCCTCCGATTAGGCCTGTGGGTCGCGGCGCGTACGGTATTGTTTGGTAAGATTTCTCTTAGTCATGGGTTGGAGCTAGTTTTGTTTTTTTTGGTTCTTCTTTATGAATTTACAATATGATTCAAGATATGAATTCATGCATATATGTATTGATCCCTATGCTTTGTATAACTATAGTAGTGATTAGAGATTGATGTTGGTTGCATTATTGTTCATGTGGGCTTTCAAGAATTTTGGAGATCATGCTTGATGTATGTAGAAAGGTTGATTTGTTTGTGTTGTGTGTTATAGTGTCATGATTTTATACGTATTTGTTGCTGAGAATTTAGAGATGTTGATGTGTTATTGTTTTTGTGATTAAGAATGTTACTATTGAATGCATATAAGATGGCGAATTTCTGTGGAATATCTAGTAAATGGAGTTTTAGGGTTCGTTTCACTCTTCTGGTAATTGGGTTTAATCTGTAGCCGAAGAAGGAGAAACATAATCTTGTAATTGGGTTTAATCTGTAGCTGAGGAAGGAGAAACATAATGAGAGCAAGAAGTTTGTTTGACTTGAGGTCAATCAAAAGTAGACATATTCTTTAAAGATGTTGATTTCTTCAATTTTGGTGATATATGCATATGCTATGTTATAATGAAGTGGCATCAAACTTGTGCATTTCTTTGATCCAATGGAATTTCCTTAATTTATAAGTCCATTTCTAATTGTTTGGTTTGTTTCTTGTATCTGTTATCCAATTCTTGTTTACTTTAACATGCTTTTGTTTAGCTGGGTTCAATTCTTGAAGCCGGCAGACATCGGATGTAAAGTTTGCTCATTCCTATACGTGCTCCATTTGTAACTTCAGAACTGCTTAATAGATGAACTTAAGAATTGCACTTGCACATCATTGCAGGCTGTGGGATGTGGTTTCACCAATTTCCATTTGACAGGAAAATTATTTGCAAAATCATATGGGCTAGTAAAATCCAGATTCCAGAATTCTGTTTTCCCCATTCCCACAGTTTTAGCATGTATTCATGTGCATCAGTAAGTCATGCATTACGAAACAATAACAATTTAGTGTAAGATTGAGTGTTGGAACTAGATTTGACCAATTTGTTTTTTTTCTATTACCACCACTTTTCTGGGGAAGCTTTTTGATTTTGAAATTGGTGTCCTTATAACTCGTAGACCACCTAGTGATACTATGCAGAATTGTAAACGGGAGAGTATATTTCTTTTGCATGCTGTGCTATTTCAAGGAATTAGGTTAGATTATGCCTGTTCTGCTATTTTACTTTTTTTTTTCTCTTTTTTATCAACAATGTGAAGGAGTGATTTTTTCGTTTGTTTCAGTGCTGCTGTGAATTCAGAGACACGCGAGGAAGTTGCTATTAAGAAGATTGGTAATGCATTTGACAACAGAATAGATGCCAAAAGGACACTGAGGGAAATTAAGCTTCTCCGCCACATGGATCATGAAAATGTAAGTCCATGATGTCAAATTACAAGTTCACAACATGATTAGGATATTTTGCATGTTCTCTTTGCAATTATTCTCCTTTGATTTGGTTGATTCTAGTCTGCCAGTATTTATGTGTGGAAATGTAACCTATTCTTCATTAATAATACTTCCCTAGTTTTGAGCAAGATATACAGTGGTAAGCTAGCAGGAAAATGCGACTTACCATGATGTTAGGATAACATGTATTTGACCCTTTTTATAGAAAGCTATCTTAATTTGGCGCAAACAAAACTGATGAGTCTGGATACGATTCTCTTGAATAAAAATTTTGGACATAATCAACCAGAATCATGGGAATTATTTCTTTATCTAGCCATTACAATTTTTTTCAAAACAATTTCGTTGGAGAGGTTTAGATGGTGTGGGTAGTAATATGCTGTGAACCGAAAAAAAAAAAAAAAAAAAAAAAGAGTTGGAGTACAAGTAATCTTGAGTTACAGGTATAAAAATTCACCTCTGGAAAATGAAATTCTATAACTGCTTATTCCTAAGAGTGAAACAAAATGCTTTATTAAATGGATACTTCATTTATTTTTATGCTTAAGTCCACCTTTGCATGAGGTTTTTTCTAACTTAGCCACTCCAGAAAATAAGAAAGGAGAAAAGCGAAAAAGGATCAGCACTTACATTCTGCAAGGACTGGGCTCTCAAGTTGTTTGTACTTGATATGGTTAGTTGTCTGGCGAAAACTTTAAATATTTATCTTTGATTTTTAAACTAGGTGTATGGTCCCATTCAGAGAGAGAAAAAAACTAGGAGTATGGCTAGTCAATTTGGGATATTTAATAAATATGAAGAAACTTCTGCATTGGATAAAAAGGAAGATATTATCAATGTAAAAACCTAGAGCTCATTAGTGTATTATATTCTTTCAATTTTCATAGAGCAGCAACATCACTAGAGTCCTAATTATTTCTGAGTGATCCCTTTAAAATAATTGGATATTAGACTATGTGATCAAGTAAGGACATTTGATGGAATGCACAACTGTTTGTATTGTTGGATAGTAAAGATGCAAAGGAACTGTCTTGATTGTTTCATTTTGGAACTATGAACCTTTTAGTGCTTCTGTGGCTGTTTATAATGAAGAGATAATATACTTCCCTTCTTTAAAGTTGAAGGCAAAGTGATATGCTGACTGCACCAATTTATTACTAATAGGTTAAAGTTAAACAACAAAATTTCTTGCATTCATTAATCCCTTTTTTAAAAGAGTTGAACTTTGAGCAAATGCCACAAGAACTTGAAATTCTAGAAAAAAATTTTAGTTGTTTATGATAATTGATCAATATTCATTTAAATTGTTTCTGGGATTGTGAATGGTCTTTTTTGTGCTGCTTTTTGGCTTATCATATATTTCTTTTAAATATTGATAACTTTTGATTTTTTGGTTTTCTGTTTTGGTGAAAGCATAAGCTTACTGCTTAGTTTATATGCCGCCGCAGGTGATTGCAATCAAAGACATTATACGGCCTCCACAGAAGGAAAACTTCAATGACGTCTACATTGTTTCTGAACTAATGGATACTGATCTTCATCAGATTATACGTTCCACTCAACAATTAACTGATGATCATTGTCGGGTTTGGCCCCACTTTCTTGTAGCATATGCAAGGCTTTACATTCAAAAGACTGCTACAGTTTTCTAGAAGTCAATATAAAGCATTGATAATAAGTCTTATCTATTTTGGGCTTTACCAGATTTATGGCTCTTACTAATTTCTATATAAGAGACAAATGTGAAACTTGCTGATCTTTTAGATTTAAAGATAACTTCGTCTTAGTAACCAGTCAGCTATTGGAAAGAAATAAGATGGTAGAAGTGTTACTAAGTACCTTCTTCGATACATGATGTTGAGAAACACGAGAAATTTATAAAAGCAGAGTAAAGGGACACAAATGGTAGGACTCTTCTAATAAGACTGCTAATTGTAACTGATAATATGCAATGGTAGGGACGGAATTCATCAATTTATGTAGAACTTGTCACTGAGAATAAAAGGGTCCATTGCACAAGGTTCATACCACTGCGGGGCCTGGGGAGGTTTACTTGTATGCAATCTTACCCTGGACACATTGAGGTTGTTTCTGCCACTTGAACCCTTGACACTTGGGCCATAATGGAGCAACCTTATCGCTGCACCAAGTCCCACCCTGTAGTTGTCACTGAAAATGTAAAAGCAAATTAGGTTGCTGGTTAATTGGACAAAGATGATGCAATAGTACTTTTCATCTTTAGGCGACAAATATGCTGTGGACTTCTCTATTCCGTTTCATTCACTAGAAGGTTACCCAGGGATTTTCATAATCATTAATCACCCCCTTCTCTATTGAGTATTGACCTTGTCCATGTGATTGATTTTTTCAGTACTACTTTTGCAGTACTTTCTTTATCAAATACTACGAGGACTCAAGTACATTCATTCTGCAAATGTCTTACATCGTGATCTAAAACCCAGCAACTTGCTCCTCAATGCAAATTGTGACCTGAAGATTGGCGACTTTGGGCTTGCAAGGACTACCTCTGAAACAGATTTCATGACAGAGTATGTTGTCACTCGCTGGTACAGAGCTCCAGAATTGCTGCTTAATTGTTCAGAGTACACGGCAGCTATTGATATTTGGTCAGTAGGTTGCATACTTGGTGAAATCATGACCAGACAACCCCTGTTCCCAGGCAAAGATTATGTTCATCAGCTGAGACTTATCACAGAGGTATGATGTTTTGCAATTAACTGCTGATTTTCCAAATTACAGAGATCCCTATTTTTTTTTTTGGCCTTTTAGTTTCATTTTTCAAAAAACAACAGTGTGTCTTTCATACAGTTGATTGGAAAAGCTTTTCACTTCGTAAGCTGCCGCTTATCTGAATTATCAGACAAAGTGATGGCCTAAAATCGCATTGGGTGCTGATGATTCTTCATTGCTAAATGGGTGCACTTCTGCTTCAGTTTTTTCCTTGTGACCCAGGTCGCTTGACTTTTATATACTTTTTGCCCTTTTCTGTTGATCCCACTCTTTACCAAATTACTCCCATCAGGAGTCAAACAAGTTTGGGTTTTTGTTACTTGTGACATGGTCAATATATGGGCTTTGTTAAAATAACAGGCCCATATATAAAAGCAAAGTTAAATGAACTATTGCTTCACTGTTAAAAACTTAAAATAACAGTTCTCTAAAAAAAATGTGGACAAAAATGCCACTTTTCTGCATTTTCTATTTGATAATCAGGGGCAAAAAATTATTCAGTGTTACGGTTTCCAGCACCAAACTTCATTCTGTCTGTGACTGTCAAGTGCTGGGGACTATTGCGTTCTCCCCTTCTCTCTCTCTCCCCCATCTACTACTCTTCAAAGGGTAGTTATATTCTATAGTTTTTGTATGAACCATTTTGTGAGAGACTTGTGCGTTAGGGGCGGCTTTGAGTTGAAGTACAAGCTGCCACCTGTCCAACCACTGTTACTGATCGTCATAGTGAATTTCTTCCCATCTTTGTCCATGGGTGTTGGTGTGAAAATGACGAATCACAAAAATTGTGTTTCCTTCTTTGTGGTTGTGCTTTGTTAGAGATTTTTTGATTGTGTACTTGGATTATTCTGGGATAATGTATGTTTTATTGGCTTCAATATTGATAATTATGAATCTGTGAACAACAAATATAATTAGGAGATTAGTCCATATGGTCATGAAGAACATTCATAGATTGCCCCATTAAAGATGAGAGGTATCAACTTCACCCAAGGGAAGAAAGGAGTTGGAGGGAGAGACTTGGAACATGAAATACTCCACTGTTCCCTTACATGTACCTATGTTTATGTTAAAAAAAAAAAATACCTATGTTCATGACAGCTGTCTTAGATTTGTAAAATGATCCATATTTTCCCAAATAATCAAGTTTTCCTCAAATAAATAAAAAACTTGCTGGTAATTACTTTCTTTGATCTGATCTCTACGTTTGTGGTTGATTCAATTTTTTGTATGAAACTTGAAAAACAGTGGAGATATTGTTTATAAGTTGATCAACTTTGAGTATGACAATATGCGGATTTCCTTCCTTTTATTTCCAAAAGCTCATAGGTTCACCTGACGATGCCAGTCTTGGGTTTCTTCGAAGTGATAATGCCCGAAGGTATGTTAGACAGCTTCCACAATACCCAAGGCAGCAACTCTCTGCTAAATTTCCTAATTCGTCCCCGGGAGCTGTGGATTTACTGGAAAAGATGCTTGTCTTTGACCCCAGCAAGCGCATTACAGGTATCGTGTGATTTTTTTTTCATGTTTGGGAGTCGTCTTGAAAATTGATCAGTAAAATATGGCAACTTCAGGTTTTAGAATTTTAGCGAATGATTTAAAACCTTTTAAGGATGAGCAAAGTGCAAAAGTTGGAAAGTCAGCAATAACCACATGCTGTTGTGACATTTCCTGCTCAAATCTGGGGGTTGGGTGGCTTGGGGTTACTAACTAATTATTCATTTGGTAGGATTGATACATTTTTCTGTTAAAGCCTTTTGAAAAGTCAGAGGCCATGTTTTTAGAGTTTCAAATGTGAAGTTTTTAAAAAGTCGGTGGCCTGAAGTTGCATGATGCAAAATGTCTACTTCCACACTGTTTTAACAAATTTTTCCTGTGCTTGTTCTTGGAGTGAATTTTGTTCTGTTTCTTTTTTATTCACGTATCTTTTTTTTTTCAGAACATTTAGCCTTCTCCATACTCTTAAGTGGCGCGAGTGGCTACCCTTTAAATTCTTTATTCATGATCTCTTTTTTCCCGGGCTGTTTGCAGTTGACGAAGCACTGTGCCATCCATACTTGGGACCTCTTCATGACATCAATGAGGAACCTGTTTGCCCAAGGCCTTTTGTCGTTGATTTTGAGCAACCATCTTGCACCGAAGAGCACATCAAGGAGCTCATCTGGAGGGAGTCTGTTAGGTTCAATCCTGACCCTACTCATTGAGGAGGGAATATGTGATCCTTTGATGTATGCAGTTAGACATATCCCAGAATACTGTACTAACAGTCATATTGATCCTTCAAGGAAATAGATTAAATAATGCAGTGGAGGTGTTGGGCTTTACATGAAAAATTGTTCTTGGAGTTCATTTGAGTTCCATTTCCCTTAATTACATTTGCTATGCAAATGTTGTGCTAAGGGGGTAGTAAGGAGCCGAAGCAGAATGGCTCAGAAGGGCTTCTTTTCAGCAGAATATCGTCAAACTGCCAATTCCTTGGTGTGTGTAGGTTCTTGGGTAGCAGGATTAGGATCGAGCGTTTGAGCTGGGAGCTGTTGGTCTTATGGTTCGATCTTCACAAGGATGTTCACTTAACTCTTACTTCTTTGCAGTTAGATGTATGTCTAAGTATACTGTTTTGTGAGTTTATAATAACGAACGATGAAATGGGTGGTAAGACATCTGCCTGGATCTTCTTGACTTTTTTGTGTAATGCTTTGTCTAGAGAAATAATATCATCACTGTTACGGTGGCCTTACTGTTCTTATGCCCTTGTATAATTCTGCACTTATTTCTCTAGTGGTGGTGGTGATGTTTTTAGTCGTCTGTCTGATAAAACAAGGACTGACACTTTATTTGTTGCTTGTGACCTATTACTGCTGTGGAAAGGGGTACTTCTTGCCACTATAAGGTCTGGGGAGGCATAGATATAGCTTGTATGAGACTGATTTCGACTCGAACTTGTGATGGCGTGTCAGGAAAACTCTCCGGTCAGATATCGATCATTCTTGTTAGATGAAGCCCCTGCAGTTCCCCATCCCATTTTATTGATGTTCTTTGGGATCGTTCTTTTCTTCAAACGGAGCGAACATAGATAGAAATCATACTGATTTTTGAAATGTCTTTCTGGATATTTCTCAATGTCCTAGTTATTCACGAAACATGAGAAGATTAATCATCCGTTTTCGAAAGAAATCGAAGAATTTATTGGGAATCTTATAAGATTTGTTCGTTCTTTTTTCTTTGATAGATGGCCTGAATTTCATTCGGGATTGAATCCTACTGAGAGGTCCACCGGAGATCAGGAATTGTTGAACAAACAACAGGATCTGTACATATATCAAGATAAAGACCAGCTGACGACAGGCAATAGTGATTTACAGAGTGTTGAAGCATGATCCTAATGTAGTTCATCCATAGATACTTTATTACAAGTTGATCACAGTTTTCATTTTTTCTGAACGATAAGGGTACTTGTATCTGATCCTCCACATATCCCGCGTGGGTAGGAGTCTCGTTCACTAGTATTTTTTCACTCGAACATGTTGATAGAATTCACGAATAATTCGTGTAAGAACACCTCTGTAACTCTACCGCGTCAATGGCTAGATTGTTCGCCGGAAAATCACATATTCCAACTCTTTCTGGACCCTGATCCGGCAACAAGCCACACGGCGGAGGAACCACACCACTGGTGATGCCCTGAACATCGGCACAAGTCCAAGGTACCTTCTTCGCCTTCTTCGCCAAACCAATCGTTACATTCGATATGCAAATACCAGTAAATGGATCACCGGAAATCCCCTCTAGTCTAGCTGCCATCGTCACATTCTCCGCCACCACGTCCCTGTAATTCACCCCCTGAATCACTGGTAACGCGTTGGGATCGTAGTGATTGTCAGCATGGGAGCCATAGTTTCCGGTCATCCAAAACACCCATTTCATTGTGTGCATTGTCATTCCCCGGACATAGATGTCTTTCACGTAGCCGCCTCGTCCCACGGCTGTCTTGATCCGGACTCCTGATTCTGTATGAATGGCTGTGATGTCTTCAGCTCGGACATCTTGGATTCCACCTGACATCTCACTTCCTAATGCAATGGCAGCACTGTATGGTGAAATACAGGTTAGTCTTCTGATGATCAACTGTTTTGTTGGCATACCGTATTGGATACCATACTCGTCCCAACCACTTTTAACTGCCACACAATCATCTCCGGAGACAATGTAGATGTCCTCGATTCTCGTGTTTGTGCAAGAATCTAAGAGAAATTATGATAAAAAAAACCCAATATAAATGGTCAATTCAACTTAATAAATCCTACCATCCCATTCAAATAACTTGTTCTAGTAAAACCATGGAAAGTGAATAGGGATGTCAGTGGCCTAGGGAGGGGGCAAAGGGAGTAATCTTCATCCCCATACTCCATTTAAAAATATTTGTACACTCTTGTTAGCGGGAGAAATTTTAATTCTTGGGACACCGTCTCGGCCCATAATAATTACTATTTATGATTTTAATAAAAAAAAAATCATAAAACATCACAAATAGATTTGCAAATGGATCAAACATAAAGACTCACAAAAATAATATTTATAACAAATGTGTGTTTCACTTAATTATTTTATTTGTTATATATATATTATGGGTTTAACGTGGGGAGGGGCGGGGATGAGTTTCAGTCCATCTCTTTCTCCATCCCTGCACAGATTTATATGGGTATTCTTGTATACGTCTACCGTCTAATATGTATGGTCCATCCTCAGTCCAAACGGGACGAGTTTGAACGAATACCCGTTTTTTTCCGATCCATTGTCATCCCTAAAAGTGAACAAATCAAATAATGAGGTAAATGCTATTGAAGGGTTAGGAAATCTCGAACCCGGGTTGATGCCATCGGTGTTTGGAGATGTAATTGGTGCAATAATTGTTATGCCTTGTATAAGAATGTTGCTGCAAATCAAGTGCACAAACTGTGTTATCTTTGTATGCAATCTTAAGCATGAAAAAGAACAAAACTCATGTTGATGCTTGTGGGGAAAATGAGAGAGATAAAACTGAAAACAAGTGCGACGACTGGGCATGAGTTGTCATACTTGACAATGTAGTGATACAAAAAGGTCGTATTAAATGCATAAGACTCTTGTTTATGGTGGGATTGTACTAAATAGGAGTAGATTATACCTGCTGTAAACAGGATGGACATTCCATGCTGGGGAGTTCACAAGAGTTAGATTGGAGATCTGAATATTGTCTGAATGCATGATTTCAATCAGGTAGGGTCTTGTGTACTTGAGCTTTTTCCTATGGAATTGCTGCCACCAGAGATCACCTTGACCATCTATTGTGCCATTGTCTCCTGATAAAATCGCCCATTTAAACGAAAATTAGGCACAAAGTTTATGAAGTCTGGTTAATGTTTTTTATCGTGTATTTCTTATGATTGCAAATTACCTGTGATAACAACATCAGTGAGATTTGTTCCAAATATGAGACTGATGTACCTTCCACCAGCTGTGTCCCTTCCATGACCATACGATGGTAAGGGGTCGATCACAGGCCATCCATTTATATCCTGCATAAATTAATATTATGATAAATAACTCTGAGCATGCCAAATTCTCTCTCGTGTGTTATGTTGTTGGAGATATAACTAAAACGATGTCTTACTATAATATTCCTTATAAACCTGCATGAAAGTGTAAATCCGTACGTCCTGAATTTCTCTCAGATATATTGGGCCTCTCTAACGCTTGTGTTCTGTGCATGTGGTGGGGTATAACTATAAGCTTATTCATAACTCACAAGCCTAATCAAAACTTGCCAATTAGCTTAATTTTCTACATAACTCTGCATAAGAAACCATATCCCTTCTTTATTCTTGCATATTAGCAGTTACAGCATATTTACTGTTCACATAACTCTGCTCAAAAGTCCATATCCTCCCTCTTTATTTTTGAATATTAGCAGTTACACCATATTAACTTTTCATACACACTGAAAATAGTTAAGACAAAACTTTGTGTATATAGTATATATACCCGAAATACTGTTAAAATTAGACATTTAACATTGGCAGCCCTTATAATCCCTATATACTATACGAATTGAGATCTTCTCTATTACATTTTCTCTCAATCTCTCTCAATGGTATATCGTTCACCGAGAATAACTCACATACCACTACTTTCTGCAGAATCAAATAACACCATACAGTAACTAGTCTTGGAAATAGTCATAGCATATAACAGAGAGAGAGAGAGAGGGAGAGAGAGATTAAAAAGTCCTACCTGGGATGCCAGGAGAACAGCATCCTTGTGGAGATAGAGAGTGAAGTGGCTAGTGAGATTGAAGGTCCCAGTAAGCCATTGTCCAGCAGGAACAAAAAGCTGAGCTCCACCATTATATGAATACTGGCTTAGCTGATTAATTGCATCTTTAAATGCTTTGGTGTTCAATGTTTTCCCATCCCCAACTCCTCCAAAATCGGTTATCGATGCACTGTGAGCTCTACAACTTAAGGCTAAGTAATCAAATGAGTCCTGCAGAACCCTGCCTTTTCTGCACTCAATTCCTCTTGGACTAAGCAATCCAAGCACCATCACCATTAACCAAATCATCTTCATCTCCTAAGAGAAGGAAAACCACAAAAAAGATTTATGCTTCCATCAATCAATATTATCTATAAGTATATCCCACAAAAAACTTGTTCATAAGATTTTTGGTTTCTTGAATTCAAATATTTTCTGGGACTAGCAATCATCCCAATCAGACGTCTTTTAGACTCGTGACTTCAACAAAAATCTTAGATACATGCAATCACTAACAAACATGAGCATCAGTTAAACTTGATCTTTATGCACCAACGATACTCAGAGTTTAGGACGTTTAGATTTACGTTTCACCCCTTATTTGATCACTGAACCAACTCGTGAAAAAAGAAAAAAAAAATGAAATGAAAGAATGGCATCACCATCAGTTAAACTTGATCTTTATGCCATTGTTTTGTTTTAGAAATGCAATGAAAGAATGACATTTCAGATACCAACAAAAAAAAGAAACTGAAATCTAAGCATAAAGAACTGGTTCTATGAAGAATATAAAGCAAATACAAGAACAGGGTATTGAAGTGGAAGCTACACTGATGTGAATCTTTGTTTGGTTAGTGAGAAAAATGGATGGGGTGAGAGAATATGGTGGATATGGACTTACTTGAAATCTCAGGGAGCTTCTCCAGAACCCCTCCATTGTTGAGAATGTGATATGGAATTTGTTAGGTGGTGATGCATATTTATAGGCCAAAAAAAAAAAAAGGGTCTAGGTAGCTATTGTACTCATGTGAATTTAATATTATGCATAAGATGTTTTTTGTGATGTGATTCTTAGAATTAATGTTTTTTCGAGTAAGGTGAAGTAAGTTCGTTTTAGTGACTAAATAGTTAATCCATTCTCAAGTACGACAGGAGTGTCCGAACCACTTGTATAATGGTTTCCTTCTGCATTCTTCTTAGAAGTAGGTTATTAAAAAGGTCGACATGTGCAAATATGCAATGTTATAAATCCCTTGATCTTCTCTCATTTTTTTTTTGTTAAACAATGAGAGGTATTCGGACCAACTTACTTATACATCGATTAATCTCTTTCTCAGTTCAGTCAAAAATAAATCATCCATGTTAGAATTAAGAAATTGATGAAAGATAAATTCCTCGTGACTTAACCCCAAAAAATTATTAAAATTCGAATTCAATACGTTTGAGGTTACAACTCGTCTTACTTATCATTTAAATTATTTGGTTAGCTCGATACATGAATGTATTTCGTACATGTACACAAGCTTAACAGAGAAAACTGTGGGTCTGTGACTTTGGGAAAGGAGATGATAGACTTTCCACCTTGGTCGTTTTCAGTTGTAAATTAGTTAGATGGGGGACACATTTCACTCAGCTTTTTGGGTGTTTCCATATTCAATCCCGTGACCCCTTTTTCTCATCCCCACCATTGCCGACCCACTTCACGGGTCGTCTATTGGGGTGGTCCCACAGAACATGTCCACTAATAAAAACTCACACACCTACTACAACCATGTTGCAATGGAGTAATACTTTTTAATCTCGGATCATATCATTTTATTTTCATATCGTCTAATTAACCATGTGAGATAATATATGGTATTATATGTTTACTTGTTTATTAAATGTCGTGTTTAGTGATTAGATGCATAATTCGGGAATCAAAAATTCATTATTGAATTCTATTATCTCTCGATCAAACTAATAGTTTGTATATGTTTTCTTTTAAAGTAAAAAATTCATTGGCAACAGTAGCATTTGCTTTTGGCATCACCTTGGCCACACCCAAATCATCCACATGTTTGACGAATTGCTTGTTTATTATTTGATTCATTAAGGTTCTTATAATTCATAATGATAGGTTTAGTTTACTCGACCAACCAAATAAAGATTTTCATTCTCTTAACACTCGAGCAAACCTACTTCACTTGTTTGTGAGATACATCTCCGCACACACACACATAACAGAAAAAATATTGGGTGTAACTTTTATACTTAGTATTTCGTGGTATAATCGTCCACTAGTAAAAAAATAAGTCAGCAAGTGAGCTCAACTAAAACTTATATTCACCTAGCCATATAATATATAATCATCCAATATTTACGAGAGAGAGAGAGAGAGAGAGAGAGAGAAATCTCTCCATGATATGCTTGTGACTTTAATATGTTGGTGCCTCTAGATGTGCGCATGCTCGTCGGGCCTGAATGAATAGGCGCACCACACACTCTTGCTTGAATTTTTTGACTATTAGTCCTCAATCTATGCCAACCCCTAGCTACCAATGTGCAAAGGTCCCAAAACCTCACAAGGTCATGTATATATACAAGCAACAGAAAGGGCAACAATCCCCAGAAAGTAGTCGAACAAATCTGTTCATATAAAAAGCCAGTTCATTACACTTTTTTGGGTTAGAGAAGAATTAAAATATACACAATCTTATTCTGATCGTTTCCATAACGCGAACTTGTGATATTCACGAATGAATGAGATCCATTTTCAAGAAAATAACAAGCGTGCAGATGAACCTAGCTTTGGAAAAGAGGTTATGAAAGCATCTTTCATTAGCCATTAGTGGGTCTCTCTCTCTCTCTCTCATAGTGCACTGCCACTGCACACGAGTGCCATTGGTGTCTTTTTCTTCAAGATTGTCTCATTGGACCATAATCTCTTTCTGGCTGCAACATGCTTTGGATTCAAGATTATACATACCCCAAAGTAGACCATGTTTGAGATTCTTATGTTCAAAAGAGAGCTTGAATAATAATGGCACAATATTTTTTGGTCTAGAGAAAACATTTGAGTAATGATAGTTCTTTTACCCATATTGTCGGGGCGTACATCTTGTTTTGAATACGTGTCAATTTATGATTGATCAAAAAAAAATATTATATTAAAAAGTTATTTTTCAGTAATATAGTTTAATCCAAACATAAATGGTATCAACGAAACGAGTTTGAATCAGATTTTAACTGATTTAAATTTGAATTTGATTTTAAAAGTTCGATTCATCTCTGACGGATTTTATTTTTATGGCCCATATCTATGTTAATAATCTAACATTTGATATGATCCGATCCAAATAACTTAATTAACCAAATTTTTAAAAATTATAGTTAAATTTTAAATAAATTTTTTTAAATAATTACTTAATTTTTTTAATATAAAAATATAAAAATAATTCATATCGGACCATAATCGGATCAGATATATACATATCTAAATCTGTAATCCATAAAATACAAGATATCAAACCATATCGAATTAATCGGATTCAAATTCGGAAAAAAATCTGATCCATTCACGGGTCTGGAGATGGCCATGGGCCAAGTTGTCTGCATGGACTAGTCGGCCTAGCCCAGAAAATATTAGGGGCCTGAGAGTTGTAGAACAAAGCTTGGGCCGGAATTTTAGCTCACAGCCCGGTTCGTGGAGCTTTATATCTGATGTGTTACTTTGGATTAATTACTATTTTGATCCCTCAAGTATACTATTTATTAATTTGGTCCATGATTTTTTTAATATGTTTATCTCTAATATTTTGAATTTGTATTAAATATAACAAATTTCTAACTTCGTTCCACATCAATAACAAAGCTAACTTTGTTATCCTTGTGGAACTTTGAATTATTATCATTGTTTTAACTTTTTTTAAGTCTTTAAAATTTTATTTAATTTTTACTTTTTGGTTTTGTATCCTCCTATAAAATATTCATATTATCCCTTAACTATGCACAAGTACCAATAATTTGTCATATTTATTATTTTTTTAATATTTTTATACATTTCTCTCTTCGGTCTTCATATTTCATAATTTTATTACTTTGAGGGTTATTCAAAATTTTTGTAGTAACTTCCGATTAGTTTTAAAAGTGTTAAGATTGGTCCTAATATTTTTAGAATTGATAGCAAGCTACCATTAATCTCAAAAAAAGTTATAAGGATTAATCTCAACTTGCACTCCAAAAGATCACTTGAATATCAATTTGTACCCTCAAAGTTTAAAAATATCAATTTGTATCTTGAAAGACATAAATTTATATCAATATGCATTTGGAGCTAATTGCACTCCATTTTTGCTGTTAAAAAAGTTTAGACTAATTATAAATTGTACTCTCAAAATTTAAATATTTTACATTTATGATTCAAACATAATGTCATCGATTAATGCTCATTAAATAGCTCTCAATTGTGTCATGTGGTAAAATTTTTGTGTCACGTTCAAGCCACTAAATTTTTTTTTTAAAAAAATTACAAAATACCTATTTTTTTTTACCTACAATACTCGTTAAATAGTTATTTTTAATCTATAATACCTGTTTAATCATGTTATTCGTATCTAACTTTAATTTGATCGGATAGTCAAAAGATTCATGTTTAATCTTAGACAAGAAATAACTATTTAACAAGTATTATAGACAAACAATTAGTATTTTATAATTTTTAACAAATTTTAAATATAATATTATATGAATGGTTATAAATGTGAAATATACGACGTAACACAATTGACTCGATAAGAAAATATTTTTTGTATCAAATTTTTTTATTGGCTCAAGCACGACAGAACACAATTGAGAGATATTTAACGAGTATTAATAGATCAATTTTTTTTTGGATCATAAATTTAAAATATTTAAATGTAATTAACCCAAACTTTTTTAAATGTAAAATAGATGTCTTTAAGGGTATAAATTGACATTTTTAAATTTGAGAGTGTATATTGAGACTTAAGTCATCTTTTGAGGTATAAATTGAGATTAACCCAAGTTATAATTTGAATTTTAAAAGTTATAACATGATCAAAAATATTTATTAGAAAACTCAAACATTTGTATCAAAACCCACAAAAGTTATAATATTTAGAGATATAGTACCAATGTTTTTTTTTCTTTTGAAAACCTTAGTCTTTTCGCTGTATGAATCACATAACTAGGGTTGAATCGAGCTATATATTCGAGTTTAGTTTGAATAGGACTCAACTCGAGTTTGGCTCGTATTCTTGAATAATTTTTTAAACTCGTTTAAAAAACAAGTCTGAAAAAGTTCAATTCGAACTTGTAAAATTCGATTCGTTTATATGTAATATAATCAAGGTATTCGGATTTGGCTCGAGTCCAGTTCAATTTGATTCAGTTCAAGGTCCACATATTTTTTAAATTTATTTAAAAAAATGAACTCAACAAATTCCACTTGCACTCGAAAAACTCTACTCGATTATTAACCCATCCCAAAAGCCATCACCAGCCGCCCACCTCGGGCTCAAACACTCTGATCTAGCAACGCCACCACTGCCTCACCGCTATTGATCACATAGTATCTTTTTGTCAAAATGAAGATAAAAATCTCACTACCCTATTCGGGGACGAGAGGAGGATGGTGGTGGTGGCCGGCTCCGTTTGTGTATCTATGTGCAGGAGTGTGCGTGCGCGCGTGTGTGTGTGTGAGAGAGAGAGAGACGACGAAGGTGGAGGAGGAGGAGGAGAGATGGGGTGGACAGCGGTGGGGGTGAGGCGTGCAGTGGTGGGTGACTATTTTTGTATCTATCGCTTTATGAGAGAGACAGAGAGAAAAGAGCAAAATCAGAGGGATTACATAGTTGATAATTGTACAAACCCAGTGCTAGTAAAACACAACTTCGTTTAGGACTCCTCCTCTTGGCAAAAGACTTTAGCTCTCTCTCCCCCTAATCCCCTTATCTCACCTTCGCCCTTAATCCAAAGCCTGTTCTTGGTTTAGGCCATGACTTGTTTACATAAATTTTTGTACGATCACTTTATTTTATATTTCATACTCCTCTTCTTAACAATATACACGAGCAGCCCACCCACTTGGACTCAAAACCTTTTGATCATTCACACCCAAACCGAATCATCATCTAAACACCATGAACATCCAATCCAAATCCACACAAAACCCTCTGAAAACCCTAATTCTAGAGACAAAACAAAGCTCCACCACATTGTTTTCTGCATTGCTGCTTCTGAAAAAGACTGGGAACATAGAAAAAACTACATCAAACTATGGTGGACCAACGAAACGCGAGGCTACGCATGGATAGACAAACCTGTAGAGAATGAGAAAGAAAAAATTACACTATTCCGTCATTGAAGATCTCTAGTGACACATCAAAGTTCAAGTACGGAAACAAGAATGGCCGTCACTCTGCGATACGAATATCTCGAATAGTGTCTGAAACTTTGAGGCTAGGGTTAAAGGATGTGAGGTGGTTTGTGATGGGTGACGATGATACAATGTTTGTGGTTGAGAATTTGGTTAGGGTTTTGGCGAAATATGATCATAACCAATTTTACTATATTGGAAGTTCGTCGGAGACTCACCGGCAAAACATGGAATTTTCGTATAATATGGCTTATGGTGGTGGTGGGTTTGCAATTAGTTACCCATTAGCCAAAGCCCTTGAGAAGATGCAAGATCAATGTATACAGAGGTACCCAAGATTGTACGGTTCCGATGATAGGATTCAAGCTTGCATGGCTGAACTTGGGGTTCCTCTCACCAAAGAGATTGGATTTCACCAGGTTTCTCTCGCAATCTTCAACTTCCTATAATTTTGTTTCTATGAACTTTAAACTCTCTCACGTTGGCTTATATTATGGAGTTTAACTTTCTCAGGTTAGTATTAATTCATTGAGCTTGGGACTATCTTATTTTTTTTTTTTTGACTAATCTCCTCTCCGATTCGATAAAAGATTGGTCATCTTTGCGAAACAAGAGTATTTATTACAGATAAATCTCTTATAACTGGCCCAAAGAATAGCTAGTGACTATCACCAGATATACATTGGCCTCTATTATCAATTGAGAGCACTCCATAGACAGTAGGCTATTTTGTATATAGTTACACTAATCGATTAGTCTCAAGTGTGCCAACAATTTGAGATATCTCTTAATTATAATAAACTAGTTCGATGATTATGATCCACCACCTTAATGTGGGCAAGCCAAGCTTTCCAAACGTTGATTTTGATCCCAATTTAGTGAACTAATCTCGAGCTTGAATGCGGGTATATTATTGTAAACACGTCAAATTTTAAAAACTAACATTACCTATTTGTCTCTCTTATTTAATACAAGATGCATTGCATAGTAAAATCTTCATTCCCATGCCTAAAAGAGCATAACAACCCAATATTCGAATCTCAATATAGGAGTTTAAGCTCGATTCATTTCACAAATAAAGGAGCTTCACCAAACTTAATTTGATTTCGTGTTAAAATTCTAAATTGTTGGTGAACAGTTGGACCTCTTTGGCAATGTCTTTGGCCTTCTCGCAACGCACCCCACCGCACCCCTAGTCTCACTCCACCACCTAGACGTGATCGAGCCAATCTTCCCAAATGTAAACCAGGTCCAAGCCCTCCAACGCCTCAAGGTGCCCATGCAGCTAGACTCAGCTGCACTCATGCAACAATCAATCTGCTACGACAAGTCCAACAACTGGACCATCTCAGTCTCATGGGGCTATGCAGTTCAGATTTTCCGGGGAATTTTATCGGCCAGGGAAATGGAACGGCCGGCAAGAACCTTTCTGAACTGGTATAGGAGGAGGGATGCCACTGGATTTGCATTCAACACTAGGCCATTTAGCAGAAATGGTTGTCAAAGGCCTTTTATTTATGTGCTGTCCAATGCTTTGTTTAATCCTTGGACTAATCAGACAGCTAGTGAGTATGTTTTGCAGAGGAATTTAAGTGATAAGTGTAAGTGGAAGATGGCAGATCCTTCTCAGATTCATAGAGTCCAGGTTTACAAGAAGCCTGACCCCAATCTGTGGGACAAGGTTAGTTCACTTTTCTGTTTTTTGTTTTTTGGAAGAAGTTGTTATATTACCATGAAAATTTGTTCTTTTTTGATAAAAAATGGCCATATTTTCCACCAAATATATATATATGTTAAGGTTTGTGAAGGTGGATTTGGTTAATCAAAAAACCTTTATTCCATAGAGAAAAGTGAAGGTGGATAAAAACGATAACAGTCTTTAAAATACGCACTTTATCTCACTTTAGCCTTCATTCTACATGTTGTATCATTTTAGTTTCTAAAATTTGTAGATGCATTTAAATAGTCAAACATTGATGGACGTTTCAATTAGTAGCGAAAAATGACGGGTGCCCATAATGTATGTATGAAATATCATTTTAGTCTCATTAGTATCAAATTTCTCCATTATACTGAGTTTAATGATTCTTGAAATTTCTAACAGAAAACACCACGAGTGGGTAACAAAATATGTATAATGAGATTTAGGGATAAGATGGACAAAACTAATAATTGAGGGATCAATGTTTCATTTCTTGGATACCTTAGAGATCAAAAGTGTACCTAACTATTGATTAACATTTTTAATTATAATATAAACGTCCATCATGGATTAGGCTATTTAAGCATAAAATTTTAGAGACCGAAATAACAAAGGAGAAAGCATGTGAATTAAAAGTGAGTCGGAAATACATATTTAATAACCAAAATACTATTTTTTTTCCCTTACTTCTTATTAGAGATAAATATTGTGATATTCCATGTACTAATGTAATTTTTCTTTCAATTAATGGTATGCTAAGAGAGTTATTTTTTTCCCATGTCTGAACAGTCTCCCAGAAGAAATTGTTGCAGAGTCTTGCCCTCAAATAGAAATGGCACCATTGCAGTAGATGTAGGTGAATGCAAAGAAGGTGAAATTGTTGAATAGCAGGGATGGAGGAGGACGAGGAGAGAGAGAGAGGAGTTCTTTTTTACTTTGCTCTCTTTGTTATAAATGTAACTATCCATTCGTTTTTGTCATCTTGGAAGCATAAGCTCACGTTTCCATATACACAGAGACCATAGTTAGGTTTGGAAAATTCTTCTTCATGTAAATGAAATAGGATTCCCTGATTGCAAATTGTTTTACTTAATTCTAGGAAAAATTGTCTCAAAGGTTTGTGCCCAATTGCAGTATTTCCTTTGCAGATTTTTTTTCGTTATGCATGTATATAATCATTCAATAATGTTATTTGAACTTAGCGACTACGAATGGGACTGGATTCAGGCATAACCATTGTCACAGAGCATGAGAAAGATGTGCAACGATCATCGCAAAAATCTTTGATTACTTAGAGACATATTGTAACACCATAATTTTTCGTTTTTTTTCGGAGACGTTAATTGATATAAAAATACTCAAATAAAAATAACAGAGCGTTAATTATCTCAATAAAATTTCATTTATCAAAATCATCTCCCAATACAAATAAATATCTCAATGTGATTAAAATATCAATTACATCGACATCTCCTCGTCTTTAATACTCTGATTATCTGGTTTCGATTTTTTCTCTAAAATCAAATTGAAAATATTAAATAAAGCGGAGAAGTATACAATATGACGAGGAAAAATATGCTCAAGGACATTGAATAATAAATAATCGAGTATCACAAAGTATATCAATCAACAGATATAAATATCATATTTGCATATCAGAAGTCATGTAGAATCTTAACACAGATCTGACACCTCACCAATCATCCCACCTCAACCCGATCCTACAGGTCTCTTGGCTGGCGATCCNAATATGACGAGGAAAAATATGCTCAAGGACATTGAATAACAAATAATCGAGTATCATAAAGTATATCAATCAACAGATATAAATATCATATTTGCATATCAGAAGTCATATAGAATCTTAACACAGATCTGACACCTCACCAATCATCCCACCTCAACCCGATCCTACAGGTCTCTTGGCTGGCGATCCATCGTTTATTGGCTATCACGATCTCGTATCAATATCTATAGAACACGATCAATGAGATGAAAATATTTAACAATATTCAATCGAAATTCTAAAATAATGATAGCACAAGTTGAAATACAAATTAGAGAATAATCAAATAAATACTCTTTACAAAAAAATTTAAGGAGAGCATATTGCATACCACTCAGGACCTCAGAATTATTATTTCCGTTTCATTATTCTTCTTTCTTTCAGNCGATCAATGAGATGAAAATATTTAACAATATTCAATCGAAATTCTAAAATAATGATAGCACAAGTTGAAATACAAATTAGAGAATAATCAAATAAATATTCTTTACAAAAAAATTTAAGGAGAGCATATTGCATACCATTCAGGACCTCAGAATTATTATTTCCGTTTCATTATTCTTCTTTCTTTCAGTTTGGACTAAAAACACCCACCAAAATTTGTTTCTCTCTCACTCTCTTCCTCCTTTGCTCTCGGCTTAACTCACACAAATACATATATATTTTTCTCCCTTCTCTTTTATTTTCCATCACTCACGGTTTCAACAAATTAGAAGACACACACACACACACTATTTTATGAATTAAACGCACACACATTTATNTTCTCTTTTATTTTCCATCACTCACGGTTTCAACAAATTAGAAGACACACACACACTATTTTATGAATTAAACGCACACACATTTATCTGCACTATTAATTACACACACCCACATTTTCTACAAAGTATTCAATACTAGCTTCTTCTTTTTCTTTCAAAGTCTTTACCCTTTGTTTCAAAGTTTTCCCGTGGGTGAAGACCAAAGCAACATAAAAGTTAAATATTTATATTTTTTCTCCTTTATTTTATTTATTATATATATCAACCACAAAACTTAAACATTTCTTATACTTTCACATCAAAACTCTTAATATTTTATACTTAAACTATTTCTAAAAATTTGGGATCTCACACATATAGAGATTAAATCAAATAAAATTAAACTAAGTTAAGTCTTATACCCCAATCATTAAGGATCGGTTACATATGGAGGCTTGTGCAACAAAACTAACGAGTAAAGCCGTAACCATCGATCGGATAAANATACTTTCACATCAAAACTCTTAATATTTTATACTTAAACTATTTCTAAAAATTTGAGATCTCACACATATAGAGATTAAATCAAATAAAATTAAACTAAGTTAAGTCTTATGCCCCAATCATTAAAGATCGGTTACATATGGAGGCTTGTGCAACAAAACTAACGAGTAAAGCCGTAACCATCGATCGGATAAAGGAAATGTGCGAGTTGAACGTTCTTATAACTTATCTTGGTCACCCCATCCAAGTTTGAGTCACAATTCATTCTTTTTCTCTTCATTCGCCCTCCAACTCAAATAATAAGCCTTTGAACTTTACCACCACTCTCCCAAAACATCTTTCTACTTTATGACTCCTTGCCCAACACCGTTACGAGTGCTTGATGATTGTTTATTGTGGCTCAGTTTGACCCATATATGCCTTCACTTGGGAAGGATTGTCAATTAGGTCTTNCACCCCATCCAAGTTTGAGTCACAATTCATTCTTTTTCTCTTCATTCGCCCTCCAACTCAAATAATAAGCCTTTGAACTTTACTACCACTCTCCCAAAACATCTTTCTACTTTATGACTCCTTGCCCAACACCGTTACGAGTGCTTAATGATTGTTTATTGTGGCTCAGTTTGACCCATATATGCCTTCACTTGGGAAGGATTGTCAATTAGGTCTATCAATAGATTGGATTATGTCATATCTGAATCCGATTATAATTTATGTGATTCGAATTTAAGTATTTGACGGATTTGAAATTTTAATTCATATCTAAATCTATTAATTTTTGGAAATTCGGGCCAAAAAATCTGATCTGATTATTTACAAAATAAAATTAATATACAAATATCTCATAAATTGCATCAGATTCAACTACACAATGAAAAAAATCATAGTTGCTTATTCTTATTTGAAGTCTTATCAAGCAACATAAACTAGATCTATTAACCACAATGTTTAGTTACAAATAAAGAAGAAGAAGATGGTAAGGAAAGAATGTGGGAGACGAAATAATGTCGGTTAATATAAAATCATGAGATATAACATATGAAAATATAAGATATATATATATATATATAATTCGGGTNCGGTTAATATAAAATCATGAGATATAACATATGAAAATATAAGATATATATATATAAAATTCGGATTGAATTTTAATATATCCAAATTCAAATTCATTAAATATAACATAACTTATTCGAATTCAGATTCAAATCGAATTTAGAATAAAATTCAATCCATTGAAAGGCCTATTTCCAATCAATCAAAAGCATAGAAACAAATAATTAACGAAACCGAATTCATTGAATACGAAACAAATAACTATAATTGGAGGTATAATATAATAAACGTAATAATTAAAGGTATAATGTGAGATAATATCTTGTTAAGGGGTCAAAAGTATAATTTCTCCGAATTCTAATAAGAGTTGCCAGCCTGGTACCATGTAGCACTCTACCAGGTCAAGGCTCAAAGTCTGGCCTCTGTGGGCCCATACGCGTTACAGCCACAACCACACGGCTATCTTCTTCGTCTTCGTATACAAAGAACACAATAATCAATTTCAAGAAAGCTTCAATTCAATCTCTTTAATGGCGATTCACAGAAACCTTTGTTTCTTTTCCTACATCACCTTCTCTCTCCTCTACTTCACACTCGTCGCTTCCTTCTCTCCCACAGACCATTACCTCATAAACTGTGGGTCCACCGATCCCACCACCGTTGACATCGACAACCGCCGATTCACCGGCGATTTATCCGAGTCAGGATCTCAATTTCTCTCTGCAACTCGAACGATTTCGGTCATTGACTCAAGCCCAGTTTCGAACTTGTCCCCAATTTACCACACTGCAAGAATTTTCACAAGACCATCGAAGTATTCATTCAAGATTAGAGACAAAGGGACCCACTTGGTACGTTTTCATTTTCACGGATTCAATTCGTCGAAATTCAATCTTTTGGATGTTCAGTTGCATGTTTTAGCTAATGGGTATGTGTTATTGCACGATTTTAGTATTGAGAGCGCAGGAAGTTCCATAATTAAGGACTACATGATATGGGTTGATACTGAAATTCTTGAGATTACATTTATGCCATCGAAAAAATCGAAACGTGTTTTAATTAATGCAATAGAAGTGATTTCTGCGCCGAAAGATTTGATTGCCGATGTGGGTCAGTATGTTAGTTGTGAGAAAAATGAGAGAGTTGGTGGGTTGATGAGAAATGCTTTTGAAACTGTGCATAGGGTTAATATGGGAGGTTCAAAAGTGACCCCTTTCAATGATTCTTTATGGAGGACTTGGGTTCCAGATGATCAGTTTTTGAAATCGGGTGATGGGTCAGAAGTATTTTATTTTGGTGGTCGGATTAAGTATCAAAAGGGTGGGGCAAGCCGTGAAGTTTGCCCTGATAATGTCTACAACACTGCCAGACTGATTAGTAGTTCGAAGGATTCGATTCCTGACTTGAACATTACTTGGGCGTTTCCTGTGGTTGAGGGATATAAGTATTTGGTTAGGATGCATTTCTGTGACATTGCAAGTGTTTCGCTTGGTATGATATTTTTTAATGTTTATGTAAATGGGAATTTGGCATATGAAAATTTGGATCTCACGGCAATGACGAATGAACTGCTGGCATCTCCTTTCTATGCTGATTTCGTGGTTGATTGGGAGACTTCTGGGGTTTTGGCCATAAGTGTGGGACCTTCGAAACTGAGCAGGCCAGATGCCATTGATGCTATCCTTAATGGGATTGAGATAATGAAAATGAATAATTCCATGGGCAGCCTTAATGGGGCTGTCACAGAGGAATCGGTTGTGACAAGCTGGCCAAAGGGAAATAATGGTGTTTTACTTTCTTTGATTGCTGCAGTGTGCTTGTTGCTTACTGCGACTATAATTATGCGAAGGAGAAGTATTGGATTTAAGGATGTCGTGGCATGGTCAGCATTACCTGTGGATATTCCTGATGTCAATCTGAAGAGTAGCAATAAATTGCCAGCCAGTAAAGTGTGATGCTTTAAAAAAATCAATGAGTCTTTTGTTGTACCATATACCTTGGGCATTTTGTATGAAACATGCTGCATATCCGTTAGTAATTTAACTGAAGATTTTCGATCGTCAAAGGAGCTCTTATCATGAAGGCCCATGGCCTAGGTTGACGACCTCCATTGCACTTAGGAGGGGCGCCCGCCTAAGGTCTACCCAAGTGGTGGAGCCTACGTCATAATTTGTGGTAGTGGGGGCCTGTGTTCGTGCGGCCCCTAATGTGAAAAAAAAAAATGTATGTAGAGTGTTGTTTTCTTCAACTGTGAGTAGGCTATACTTACCTACACAAAAGAACTACCTGTGCTTGTTGATTCTAGTTGCTGATTCCTGTTGCACTTGTCATTTGTAATATTTTTATGGTCTTCTGTATGCAATTGAAGTAGGCGGCAGATGGTTCTTCTATGGGTTGAATATTTGTATGCATTGTAGAAAATGAATGTTTATTTTTACTTTTATTCGCCTTGTCATATCTTTTTTTTCTTTAGTGCATGTTTAAATTTCACAGTTGTTATTAAATTATTTGTAACATCTTGATGTATTTCTAGATTTGAGGGTTGAGATCGCTTGTTCATTCAGAATTATGCACATTGTTTCTAGAAGTTTTGTCTGAGCTTCCCTCTTGTTAAAGGATGTCGTCCCATATAGTTTCACATGATTGGGCTCCTGTTGTTAGTTTCTGGTCCTTCTCAACTATTTACTTCCTATCCTGTCTCCTTATGCGTTTGGACTTTGGAGAGCTATAATAGTGTTTCACTAGTCAAGCTATGCTCATTGCAGCAATAAGTAAGCTATATATGGTGACAGCTGTTTCCCCCGTTTGATTTGCATGGTTGCTTTAGATGAACACAGTTGAGCTTAGTATTGTGTAAATTTATCTTTGCTCGAACTTATCTATGCTAGCCTGAGTTCGAACTGAGCTTGACATGGATGACTGAACTCCCCTGCCAATAAGTTGATGTGCTAGGGCTGGCCTTGCTTCATGAAACAGCTATAGCTTCAGCTTGAGCTAGGCTTGTTGTGAACTTAATCTCTAATGTCATTGTGTTTAAACCCGTAAAAATCACAAACAATATTAAAGTAATACAGAACAACATATCTATGGGGATCAGAAGTGTGAAATAAGGATCACAAAGAAGGATAAGAATTCAAGGAACTAACTAATGATATTAGATTATCCTGGAAGCATGAAGATACAGAGTAGAAGCAGATGCTAGTGTAGAATTTTGACTCTGATGCTAGATATTGAACAGTAAGGACAAAAATGATAGAAACACTCTTCCCCTTCCCTTTCCCTTTCATGCTAGAAAGCTTACCTAATGTCCATTTTCACTACTAGAGTGCTGTCATTTTCGTCGAGTCTCTCAGATAATTTTAAGGTTGGAGTCAGGTAAGGTCGAAATTGGTAGAATACTTGGGGTAACTTTGTTGGGTTCCAGTTGTAATTATTCATCTGGAATTGTTGGTTGTGAGGTTTCATGATGTTCATAATCCACAAACACATGAACCTTCATTTTTTATCGACCACACAACTATCCTCGTACCATAATGAATTAAAGTTGGGCTCGGGTGTTTGAAGATCAACTGATTCATTTAAGCTCTACAGTCTACTCCTTTATATGCTCTTATTCATGAGCGCGGTTATCTTGGTAGTTGAATCAGTCTTAATGAAACTGGAGCTAATCACAAGCCATCTTTCCATGTGTAATGAAAGCCAAGAAAGTTGGTTTTCTTGATTGCTTGTTCAATGTGTGGTTCCCTTTATTTTAACTGATCGATATCTGTACCTTCTATTCACTCATGGAGCTTAGTTGAAATCTTAATCTTCTCGAATTGTATATGTCTTCTGTTGGCTTTCAGTTTTCTTTATCTTAAAAAATATGCCATTTTTCATGAAAGGTGGACTTTAGTTACAAATGTTTTCATTTTCCTACGATTGTCATAGATGCGAATACAATTGAATCCTCATCATGATCAAGGTAAAGGTAAACTTATAATTTGCTTGATAAGTTGTATTAGAGTTGATGTCATTGAATGATATTTTCTTGGATCCTTTTGGGTGCAGCTTAAATGATAGGACGGATGCCTTTGTTATTGGAGAAATCATTTCCGAAATGTTAAATGGTTTACTAGTATGCATTTTCATTGCTTTTTGCATGTGTGCAAATATTAGGGCCATAAATAGCGACGCATTTATTCTTTTTATTACCAAATATTCTCATCTAATGTCTTAACTTTCATGCTTTAGCTAACCAAGTTAGAGATCTTTGGTTGGTGCAAGGTTTAAATGCAGCTAAAACTGTTTCAAAAATGTTTGGGATGGATACTCGAGCGAATCTGGGAATAGTTATCATCGTGCAGAGAAAGTGGAGTTCTTGCGTAGAAGTTTTTTTTTAGCTAAAATATAAATTGAGATTAAGGGAAAAGAGGATTACAAAAGAAATAATCAAGCATCAAGACTCAATTCACGCCCGAAGGTCTTACAAGGTAATTCTCAACCTAGACTATCTATGTGCATCTCATAGGGACCAAGCAAGCGAATAACAAAAGGCCAACAAAAAATATAGTTCATCCCGTCATTTGTTCCTTCTAATGACAACTCTTGCTGACGATTTTGGCCCTATAGCTTTCCTGCTAGAAGTTGTTTCATATCCTTTAAACATTTTTGTTAATGCAAGTCTAGCAGAAGCTAATTCCATGGAATATTCGTCTATCAATTGGTTCGACATTATCCTGGGTTGCTTTTGGTTGGCTTTGGAAGGCTTCTTGTTTGTGTTCAAGGCCCAAAGTTACCTTCCTTGTGGTTAAAAAGATCGTGTTCCAACCTCTGTTGCTCTTCTATTCCTTGTTGAGGATTTATGAAGGAATCAACTCCAACTTTACAAGCTTTAATACTATGACCAAGTTGACCACATGCAAAGCATATTTTCTTGAGACCTTCATACATGACACATTGCTTGTGATGGCCAATGAAAATATGTGAGACATGAGGCAAAGAGGTACTAATTTGGACACATAACCTTGCGCAAATCTACCTCTAGATTTGTCCTCACTACTACTGTCAGTCTTTATCAGCTTTCCTATCTCGAGCCCAATTTTCTCAAGCACTAGAGAATCATAATATTCAATGGGCAAACCAGACAAGCGAAACCCATACTACCGTAGTATTAGCTTCTCTGGCAGATGGTTGGAACTCAGGCATTTATTCTTTTTATTACCAGATCATCTCTTCTAATGTCTTCACTTGCATGCTTTTGCTAACCAAGTTAGAGATCTTTGGTTGGTGCAAGGTTTAAAATGCAGCTAAAACTGTGTCAAAAATGTTTGGGATACTCAAGCAAATCTGAGAATATAGTTATCATTCTACAGAGAGAAAGTGAAGCTCTTGCTTAGAAGTTGGTATTGAAGTTGATAGTTTGTGTTTATACACTCAGTGGACCTTCTATCATTTGTCACATATCTCATAGCTTCTGGATGTTCCAAAAGTGTATTAGTGCCTGATTAATGAAGCACACATTTAGACTGTGTTGTGTCTTACCTTTGGACAGAATTGTTGCGGTTTTCCCACGTTTATTTTCAAGAATATGATTATGTGCTGCACAATGGTCCCATTGTATTATGTCGGATTTGTATTGTGATGGGTACATATTATTTGCGTTTAGTTGAGTTCTTCTCATGTTTACACAGGTTTGTCAAATTATTGACAATTATTTAATAAGCGAATCTAGTGGATTATCCGTTATTTACCCGGACCCTTTATTCATGGTTACTGACCAAGAAAAAAAAAGCCTTAGGGGGCAAAGAAGAGCACTTAGAGATTATCTCAATAAACCCTCATTGATAAGATTATGAGACTCTTAATCGTGTTCACTATTCTTTTCAAAAATGAACATAGTTAAGTTAACATAATAGTCAACCATCGAATTTCAATATAGATTTTAAGACTTAAATCTCCCATTTCAAGATGAGAGATTCAGTTGATATCTCACTTAACCAAATCGAGTTTCACTCGATGATATATAGAAAAAAAAAAAAAAAGGAGTTCAGAATCTCTCTAAAGTATAGCCAATGAACGTGGGTGGGTGTGCGCCGCCCTATTCCACAGGTCACAATAGACACCACTGAGAGTTCTTTTAGTCGTCAAAATAACTCTCCACTAGCCCCTTGGGGAACCAAGCATTGAAAGGGAGATTCAATGTATGACCAAAAGAAAAAAAAAAAATAATTATTTTTCAGGAGCATAAATTAAAATATTTTGAAGCTACAAAGAGTTATTAAATTGTTAACGCCACATAATACATAGAGTTGGTCCGCTTTCATAAATCATCAATAATACTAGGGGTTGTTTATGGTACTAAAAAAAAAATTGTGAGTGTTTATCAATTATTATAACAGTAGTAAAAATATTCACAACAATGATAATATTTTTTTTTTTTTTTAAAATAACTCACAAAAATTATAAAACCATCAAATAAAATAGTAAATTTTAGAAATACGACATTAATTTAATTTTATTTTTTTTGTGGATATTGTAGTCAAGTTCATAATACTATTAATAAAAAAATAGCACTAAATTGATGGACCAAATGGATTAGATGTTGCCCACCAATCAAAATTCTTACTAAGTTGGGCTCTCTTTCTTCTCAAATTGAAATTTTAAAGTTGGATGTTTCTAGCCATTAGAGCAAATTCATTAAGAAGCTAATGCACATACAAACAAACAATGTTATACACATCAGCCAATGGACATGTGTTGGCACACATCAACCACACAGACTACCACATGTATGATTCACAAAAACACAAGCCTACACGCATCACAATTGTACAGTGGTTACACTAACACATAGTCCCACACAAATAGGATACTCCCCAAATTAGGGAAAACCTTTCGGGTTTGATAAAAAAGGAAAAAAAGAAAAGAAAAGAAAAAGCAATTGAATTCTTGTACGTTATACTATGGTCCCATTTTTTTCACTTTTCAATATCAAACCCTAATTTCAACCCCGAATACTAAATATCTCTATACAACTGCTAAATATTTCGGGTGAGTTGGGATCGACCCACCCGAATTACTCCATCCCACCCATTAGTGCTCTCTACTTGGTATATTAATAGAAGACCTAGTTGAATAACGTGAACTTCACCTTAAATCCATGATAGATTGATTGAGATCATGTTCATTTTTGATCTTTCATTTAATTTCACCGAAAAATAGATTGGTTGTTATAATTTTAAGTAAGACCCATTATTCATAAATGGGTCTCTCATCATCGATACACGGTGAATAATCTATTAGTGTCTGAATATGTAACATAGAGAATCTAAATCGAAAGATCTGGATGATTAACATTTAAAATGAACACTACCCTCAAGAGCAAATTGAAGTGCCCCAATCTATTGACAATCACACAGAGTTACTTGCGCAAGTATACAAGTGCTTTTTAAGCTTCATGTGACGTGCAACTGTTGCATGAACCATGCAATGGATGTAGAGGTAAACCCATCTGCGTTTTGCAAGGATAAGAATGGTTGACTCTCACGCAATGTCAATTTGATCATCATAAAACAGTTCATTCGTTAATAAATTGAGATTGCAAGTTTGAATTTCACAAAAGATATATAGGGGACCCAAGTACACATGATTTGTGGATATTACATACGTCCTGACTTTACATAGCTACCCCGAGTTAAGAAAATACATAATAAATATGAGTCTTTGTCATGAAAAAACAAAAAAAGATGTTACACGTAATCTTATGTAAAAAGGGATGAGTATGCCCTTTAACAATGTAGTGGGACATGAATCATGCTTCTTCATGGATTTTGAACTCCACTTGCTGGTGTACTTCTTTTTGAAATATTATTTCACATTCCTCCTTATAAATATGGGCATTCCTTGTCACATTCCATCGGTAAGCTTTTCGAAAAATAGTTAAAGAGGGGAGGTGAGAGAAGGAAATGGATTCAGTGGCGGCTAGCAGAGCACCACCTTCTCAGGGAGGAATCAACGCGGTCCGAGCAGCAATAATGGTGGTGCTGGTGGCTGTCTTTACTGGGTATCTCCTCATTTGGGTCATGACACCAACGAATGTTTATAGGCAGACGTGGTTGCCAAACATTCGAGCTCGAACTAACACAACTTACTTTGGAACACAAGGTTAAGATTCAAACCTTTGATCATATGGTTCACATTTTTTTTTTTTTGAGGGGGAAGGGGAGAGGGAGGAGGATTTAAACCTTTGACCTCAAGAAGATAAAATCTTCATAAGGTAAGGAGTATAATTGGACCAAAGGTTTATTGGTAACATATGGTTCGCATTAGCCCCTTTAATCTACACTTTTTTCATCCTGAACTTCTCTCCCTCTCTCTCTCTACAAATATGTGTGTGTATTATATGTGTATATATCTTTGATGCATTGAACATAGATTGTGTTTACAGGTGCAACAATTCTGATCTACACATTCCCAGTTCTGTTCATTGCTGCCTTGGGCTGTGTTTATCTCCATTTGGGAAAGAAATTAAGTGACAACAACATGGAAAGGTATGGACAGGTCTAGTTATTAGTTGTTCATATGTAGTTATCTACAAACACAAAAACGTCCCTTCACACACGTGAGATAAGACTGTACATTTGAGTCCTGCAGTGACTAACTTGAATGTTTGTTTCCAATGTTCAGCAACACCGAAAAACGTCGACTGGCCATATGGAAGAGGCCGGTGATCATCAAAGGCTTGGGGATAGTTTCTCGGATTGAGCTAGCCTTTTTTGTCATGTTCATTGCACTCTTGGTTTGGTCCTTCTCGACGTACTTGCATATCAGTTTTGCTAATATCACCCCAGAATCAGCAGCAGAGAGTGGCGAGAAAGTGTAAGAACAAGACACCAATTTATTAATGTGACGATTCCTTATTGATTATATCAAGAATAGAGCTGCAAATTAACTGAGCTAGCTTGGGATAGATTCGGATAAAACTCGTTCATGNTGACGATTCCTTATTGATTATATCAAGAATAGAGCTGCAAATTAACTGAGCTAGCTCGGGATAGATTCGGATAAACCTCGTTCAGGNATAGAGCTGCAAATTAACTGAGCTAGCTTGGGATAGATTCGGATAAAACTCGTTCATGTTTATTTGTTTATCAAATTAACCAAGCTTAAGCTCAATTTCAAGTTCTTTTAATAGATGAGTCAAGTCCAAGCGATGACTTTTTTAACTCATTAGGCTCGTAAACATACATATATGAAATGTTTGATACGTATAATATGATATATGTCAGATTTATATCATTCATTTGCATTCCTACCAAAATACTAGATTACATCATTTTAATGGGATAGCCATGGTGATTTTAACAGATGGGAAGCTAAGTTGGATAGTGCAGCTCTAAGGCTAGGGCTTGTGGGCAACATATGCCTAGGGTTTCTCTTCTTTCCGGTGACCCGCGCCTCATCGGTGCTGCCACTGTTTGGTCTTACCTCGGAGGGCAGTGTCAAGTACCATATATGGCTTGGACACATTGTAATGACCCTCTTCACGGCTCATGGAGTCTGCTACTTCATCCTCTGGGCTGCCACACATCAATTATCAGAGGTATAATCAACCTATATTTTTAATGCCTATGCATAACAATATATATATATATATATATATATATATATATATATATATATAATACATACACACACCACTGTTTGATGGGTGTATTATCCAGTCAATAGGAATTTAATGTGTTCTCGGCTGTTACTTCTCTATTCTGAAGCTTTTCTAGAAACACCATGACCATATAATTCACACTTCTGAGTTGAATGCATACAATAATAAACTCGACACGATAAGAATCCGGATATGAAAAGATCAACCAGCTAGGATAGTAAGAAGGATTGTTTTGTGTTAGATATTTTTTTTGATCTAGTATTGTATGATTTGTTTAGAACTAAATAATTTCTTCTTGATACTAAAATAAACGAACACGATTCTAACCCAAGATAATACAACTGAGATATAAGACAATATGAACATGATATCACATAACTCGATTAATACTTTGATTTGCATCTACTTTTGAAAAGAATAAGAAAAGAAAAATTAAATAGTTCTATTAACTCATTCACACTATATTACATTGTAGCAACTAATTTAAGGTTTTTGTCAACATAACATAAGATAACAAGTGGGATTTAGATTCTTTTTAATATACTTTTCTCTAAATTCTACAATGATAGATTTTTAGTAATGAATTTAAGTATGGCGCATTATATATTGAGAAAACTTGAGAAGACAAGTATTGGGAGGACTTATATTCCTCTCAAGCTAACTCAAATGAAGAAACTTTAGAGTTATTATCTCGGGTTTTCAAATTAAACTATCGTAAGATAATCGTGACTTATTTAATACGAGTGATTATTACAAACGTTCGGAGTTATAATTACCCAATGTCCAGCGCCCACCATGTGACAAGTTGTTGCTTCGGACATAATCCGATAACTAACAAGAAAGCAAAAGGTTATGTGTGTTGTTTCAATTTCGTTGTTGCTGTCGAAGCTTTTTCTCATAACAATTTTTTTCCCATGCATACAAAACGAGTAGTGCTAACTAGTCTTTGTTTGTAAGAAAAGAAAAGCACTTTTAGTTGGATGGTCACGATCATCTAGAGCTGGTGGTTGGACTTTAGGTTAATGGTAGGCCCCATTAGTGATTTGGGTGACTCGTGTACGGTGGAAGTGATTTGCTTGATAAACCCACGAAGTGGAGCTGCTTTGCCTTACAGTCAACCACCACAGTGACCCTAATGGTCCATATATAAAATGCCTTGAGTTGGCATTCGTCAACATGTATGCAGGCTCAAAGACAAGTTGGGGTGGGACCCTGTCATGAATACGATCTACTAACATGAGAATGATTTATTGTCAAAAACTAATAATTCAATTCAATTAAGAAATGTCCCACTCTACAAAGATTATTGACGGTTATGGATTATATCTTATAAGTTATTTCGATTCAAACCCACATTGACGTGAAATCCCTCGGATTACTTTGGAAATCTAGACGCAGCGCTCCTGGAGCAGATTTTTGGACTGATTTTTTAGAATCTAACCCAATCAAATAGGAGACTAACAGTTTTTTAGAAGTTTTATCTTATCAAGGAATTAAAATAAAAACTTAACTCTATTAGGAAACAAAAGTATTTGGATTCTACAAAACATTGCAAAATTGTGCTAGATAGTCTATTTATTCTCTATTTTACGTTTCATATAATTGTTTGTGATACGGACGAAATTCAAGGTCAGGGTTTTGATGGTCCAGAAGCTTGACTAGTCCAACAGGCCCAGAGCAGAAAAGGAGGATTTAGTATCGACAAAAAACCTATAACCCAACAATCCAAGCTCAATCCAAACCATAAAGCGGTTTGGAGAATAAAACCCGGTCCAAGCTATTTCTGGATGGCCAAAGGGGACCACGCATCCTAGGGTATCCAGGGGGACCACTCCTGACACCTACGGCAATTTCAGAGAAAGTGGAGCACCAGGCCTCCAGAGTTCATGGCGACAACAGCGTCAGATGAACAGTGATCGTAGTGACAGAAGAATCAGGAGGAGGTCAGAGGAAAGGACAGCTGAAGGCCTTAAGAGAGGCTAATATAAATAGATAACGATAACACAGGCCAAAAGGAGACTATCTTCCCGAAAAAAAGATGTGAGAACATTAGAGAGCCGAAGAACGTAGAAAACTAAGAAAATACCTAGATACGCATCATTTGTAAGTGGACTCCGAGTCCCAAGTTCCAAGAGGCACTTTGCCGGCTGATGAATATTCAAATCCAGCGAGCAAGAGACTCCATTAATAGTGGATGTAGTCTTAGTTCTTCTACTAAGGTGAACTACTTATATTCTCAGTCTAACTAATCATAAAAGATTAATCCATAACCTGCAAATCCATTTCACAACATCATGCCATCATAGTTAGGCTTGGGCCACAAATTCCGAGCACCANTATATATATAATACATACACACACCACTGTTTGATGGGTGTATTATCCAGTCAATAGGAATTTAATGTGTTCTCGGCTGTTACTTCTCTATTCTGAAGCTTTTCTAGAAACACCATGACCATATAATTCACACTTCGAGTTGAATGCATACAATAATAAACTCGACACGATAAGAATCCGGATATGAAAAGATCAACCAGCTAGGATAGTAAGAAGGATTGTTTTGTGTTAGATATTTTTTTTGATCTAGTATTGTATGATTTGTTTAGAACTAAATAATTTCTTCTTGATACTAAAATAAACGAACACGATTCTAACCCAAGATAATACAACTGAGATATAAGACAATATGAACATGATATCACATAACTCGATTAATACTTTGATTTGCATCTACTTTTGAAAAGAATAAGAAAAGAAAAATTAAATAGTTCTATTAACTCATTCACACTATATTACATTGTAGCAACTAATTTAAGGTTTTTGTCAACATAACATAAGATAACAAGTGGGATTTAGATTCTTTTTAATATACTTTTCTCTAAATTCTACAATGATAGATTTTTAGTAATGAATTTAAGTATGGCGCATTATATATTGAGAAAACTTGAGAAGACAAGTATTGGGAGGACTTATATTCCTCTCAAGCTAACTCAAATGAAGAAACTTTAGAGTTATTATCTCGGGTTTTCAAATTNGGGAGGACTTATATTCCTCTCAAGCTAACTCAAATGAAGAAACTTTAGAGTTATTGTCTCGGGTTTTCAAATTAAACTATCGTAAGATAATCGTGACTTATTTAATACGTGTGATTTACGAGTGATTATTACAAACGTTCGGAGTTATAATTACCCAATGTCCAGCGCCCACCATGTGACAAGTTGTTGCTTCGGACATAATCCGATAACTAACAAGAAAGCAAAAGGTTATGTGTGTTGTTTCAATTTCGTTGTTGCTGTCGAAGCTTTTTCTCATAACAATTTTTTTCCCATGCATACAAAACGAGTAGTGCTAACTAGTCTTTGTTTGTAAGAAAAGAAAAGCACTTTTAGTTGGATGGTCACGATCATCTAGAGCTGGTGGTTGGACTTTAGGTTAATGGTAGGCCCCATTAGTGATTTGGGTGACTCGTGTACGGTGGAAGTGATTTGCTTGATAAACCCACGAAGTGGAGCTGCTTTGCCTTACAGTCAACCACCACAGTGACCCTAATGGTCCATATATAAAATGCCTTGAGTTGGCATTCGTCAACATGTATGCAGGCTCAAAGACAAGTTGGGGTGGGACCCTGTCATGAATACGATCTACTAACATGAGAATGATTTATTGTCAAAAACTAATAATTCAATTCAATTAAGAAATGTCCCACTCTACAAAGATTATTGACGGTTATGGATTATATCTTATAAGTTATTTCGATTCAAACCCACATTGACGTGAAATCCCTCGGATTACTTTGGAAATCTAGACGCAGCGCTCCTGGAGCAGATTTTTGGACTGATTTTTTAGAATCTAACCCAATCAAATAGGAGACTAACAGTTTTTTAGAAGTTTTATCTTATCAAGGAATTAAAATAAAAACTTAACTCTATTAGGAAACAAAAGTATTTGGATTCTACAAAACATTGCAAAATTGTGCTAGATAGTCTATTTATTCTCTATTTTACGTTTCATATAATTGTTTGTGATACGGACGAAATTCAAGGTCAGGGTTTTGATGGTCCAGAAGCTTGACTAGTCCAAGAGGCCCAGAGCAGAAAAGGAGGATTTAGTATCGACAAAAAACCTATAACCCAACAATCCAAGCTCAATCCAAACCATAAAGCGGTTTGGAGAATAAAACCCGGTCCAAGCTATTTCTGGATGGCCAAAGGGGACCACGCATCCTAGGGTATCCAGGGGGACCACTCCTGACACCTACGGCAATTTCAGAGAAAGTGGAGCACCAGGCCTCCAGAGTTCATGGCGACAACAGCGTCAGATGAACAGTGATCGTAGTGACAGAAGAATCAGGAGGAGGTCAGAGGAAAGGACAGCTGAAGGCCTTAAGAGAGGCTAATATAAATAGATAACGATAACACAGGCCAAAAGGAGACTATCTTCCCGAAAAAAAGATGTGAGAACATTAGAGAGCCGAAGAACGTAGAAAACTAAGAAAATACCTAGATACGCATCATTTGTAAGTGGACTCCGAGTCCCAAGTTCCAAGAGGCACTTTGCCGGCTGATGAATATTCAAATCCAGCGAGCAAGAGACTCCATTAATAGTGGATGTAGTCTTAGTTCTTCTACTAAGGTGAACTACTTATATTCTCAGTCTAACTAATCATAAAAGATTAATCCATAACCTGCAAATCCATTTCACAACATCATGCCATCATAGTTAGGCTTGGGCCACAAATTCCGAGCACCATCGGTTTGTAATCTTCGTCTTTTAACATTAAACTTTTCCCGTTGCATTTTGCCCATTCAAATTGGTGTATTTTGCATTGTTCCTACTATGCGTTCAGTGGTTTGTTTGTGATCTCGTGCATAACACTAACAATCTTTTCTTCTTTGGGGCTCTCTATTCAGATGATAAAATGGGACAACACTGGTGTATCAAATGTGGCCGGAGAGATAGCTTTGCTTTGTGGATTGGTCATGTGGGTGACAACATTTCCTCGCATTAGGAGAAAGATTTTCGAGCTCTTCTTCTACACACATTACCTCTACATCCTCTTCATCTTCTTCTTTGTGCTTCATGTTGGAATCCCTTTTGCTTGTATGATGCTCCCTGGTTTCTACTTGTTCTTGGTTGATCGATTCTTGAGGTTCTTACAGTCCCGACAAGGTGTTCGTCTAGTGTCCGCTCGTGCTCTGCCATGTGAGACCCTAGAGCTCAACTTCTCCAAAAGCCGAGGTAAATTACTGTTGCACGAGAGTCTAGTGCACTAAGTTACTATTTTTTAAAAAATTCTATCAACTTAGGTGGCTATTGGATTAGTAAGTCTTGCTACGATCCACAAGTTGGGGTTGCTCAAACAATTTTAAATGTTGTACTGGATCAAAATAATTGAGGCAGGATAGCGTGAGTAAATAAATGAGATTAAATAACAAAAATTATAATCTGTTGATTATCGTAATAATACCAAATTAAAATCATTAAAAGCCTTGTTGATTTACGAAGAATACCAAGTCAATTGAAGAAAAAAGAATTTGTCTCTATGCTTATTCAACCAAAACTAAAGCTATTAAACCAGTTTTACGCATTCTTTAAATACTAAACCCTATCAGTCCTAAATTATTAGAAAACCCCCAACAATTGTGAAATATTAAATAAATACCCTAAACTACAGGATAAAAAATAAAAGTGACCTAAACGTCGTTTTCTGACTTTAAAATGACGGGTTGAAAAATAAAATTTCAATCTTGCTCAGCTTGTCAAGAGTTTTTCGGAATGAAGTCTTAATAAATTTTCTAATATTATGATTCAAAATCAACCCGAATTAGAATCCGATCAATATTGTTTTCAGTGGGCGATCTTGATCTGCCATGTAGTCCTGTGCAAAACGTACAGTATCAATAATTAAAAGTTTTACAAGCATGTTAAAAAGGGGGACATAGTTTAACGACACTTTACGACATCTCGTGAAATTGGTAAGAATAGCATTTAGGGTTGAATCAATATGTTGCATTTAGGGTTGAATTAATATGTACAAAATATTTTGGGAACTGATTTTCACTGATGTTGAAAAATTTATTTTACCTTCAGGTCTTAAGTACACTCCTACGAGCATCATGTTCATCAATGTCCCCACTATTTCGAAACTGCAGTGGCATCCTTTTACAGTCAGTTCCAACAGTAATTTGGAGCCGGAGAAGCTGAGTGTCATCTTTAAAGGGGAAGGAAGTTGGTCCAAGAAGCTTTACCAGATGCTATCATCCCCGTCTTCTATTGATCACCTCAACGTCTCCGTTGAGGGACCTTATGGACCTGCATCCACTGATTTTCTAAGGTATTCTCAAACTCTCAAGTTGAGTTGTAACCAAGCCGAGCTTGAGCATGTTCAGATTTTTCTAAGTTGTGATTACGAAGTTGAATTTAAATTTTTATGCAAGTTCAACTCGACAGAAACTTTGGAGGTATATCTAGTAGAAAAGGGTGTTTGATAATATAAGGAGAATTATTAAGAGACAAAACATGTTCAAATAGATTTGAAGCCTACTCAAGGTGAGATCAGGAAGGGAATTATATATTTAATCCGGGTTAAACTATCACATACGATACGAGACTTGTCAGGGCTCTCATCGAGACCAACTCACTTCTCTTTTCTTAATGTCTGTTACAAGAGGCCTCACTTCGCATACCGACCCTCCAGTTAATTCTATTTCTGAGGCAAAGTTGAGCACTTGGGGCATAAGGGCCTGCGATGATTATTAACATGCTTTTCAAGCATGTTTGCCAAACGAGCTTAGAAATTTGATCAAATACTATTCATTTTACAATTTGAATTGGACTAAAGTGAACTAAATCTAAGCTGAGCTCCAGCTGCTCGAATCGTAAAGCAACTCTAATAGGTGTACTGATAAAACAAAGTTCTTTCTGCAGGCATGACACACTTGTGATGGTGAGTGGAGGCAGTGGCATTACGCCTTTCATTTCTATCATTAGAGAGCTCATCTATATAAGTGAAACCTTGAAGTGCAAAACTCCACAGATTCTTCTCATAAGCTCATTCAAGAATTACTCAGAACTTACCATGCTTGACCTACTCCTCCCAATTTCTGGCACTCCCTCTGAATTCTCTAACTTGAAACTACAAATCGAAGCTTATGTAACAAGAGAGAAACAACCCATGACAGAAAACAAGAACATTCAAACAATATGGTTCAAACCCAATCCATCGGACGCTCCCATTGCTCCATTGTTAGGCCAAAACAGTTGGCTATGGCTTGGTGCAATAATATCATCATCCTTCATCATCTACCTTCTATTCATGGGGATTTTGACCCGATATTACGTTTATCCGATCGATCACAACACAGGAAAAATCTTTTCATCCTCTACAAGAGCTGTGCTTAACATGTTGTTCATATGTATCTGCATAGCCATCACAGCTTCTGCAGCTTTTCTGTGGAACAAGAAGCAAAATGCCATGGAAACTAAGCAGATTCAGAACATGGAAGGGACAACACCAACAGCTTCACCAAACTCATGGATCTATAATGCTGATAGGGAACTGGAATTGGAGAGCTTGCCACAGCAGTCTCTTTTCCAATCTACCAATGTGCACTTTGGAGGCAGACCAGACCTAAAGAGTAAGTTCTTAATTTGCANCATATGTATCTGCATAGCCATCACAGCTTCTGCAGCTTTTCTGTGGAACAAGAAGCAAAATGCCATGGAAACTAAGCAGATTCAGAACATGGAAGGGACAACACCAACAGCTTCACCAAACTCATGGATCTATAATGCTGATAGGGAACTGGAATTGGAGAGCTTGCCACAGCAGTCTCTTTTCCAATCTACGAATGTGCACTTTGGAGGCAGACCAGACCTAAAGAGTAAGTTCTTAATTTGGATACTACTTCTGAATAAAACTACAGTGTTCTATTCCCCATCAAAATGGCTTTGTATGGTTTGAAAATATAAATATGCACTTGTAAGTAAGCATGTTAATCGAGCTTATAAAGTTTAAGTATGTTCAAGTTTGGCTCGTTATGATTGGCTAAGCTCGAGCTCAAGCAACTTGATGGTGGAACTTAAATTCTTGCCGAAGATCGTCTTGGCAGAAGCTTACGAGCATTTGAGCTTAACTCAAGTTGAAAATTAAACCCTATAACTTCATAACCAGTCCTAAAACAATCAACTTTCCAACAATANAGTGTTCTATTCCCCATCAAAATGGCTTTGTATGGTTTGAAAATATAAATATGCACTTGTAAGTAAGCATGTTAATCGAGCTTATAAAGTTTAAGTATGTTCAAGTTTGGCTCGTTATGATTGGCTAAGCTCGAGCTCAAGCAACTTGATGGTGGAACTTAAATTCTTGCCGAAGATCATCTTGGCAGAAGCTTACGAGCATTTGAGCTTAACTCAAGTTGAAATCAAGCTTAATTTCTCAAGTTGAAAATTAAACCCTATAACTTCATAACCAGTCCTAAAACAATCAACTTTCCAACAAAAGTGCACCAAAATTTATATAATCAACAAAAAAAATGAAATCCCAAAAATTCAAAATTTTCAAGATTCTAGTGAATAGAGGAAGAGAGAAGTGTATATGGTTTAGCTATTTTGTGACAAGTGTTGTGCAGTTCATATTTTGGATATGGGGTTGTTTGACAATAAAACTAGAATTTATCACAAATAGTAACCTATTCAATCAGCTCCAAGGCCACTCGAGTTGAGTCACACATTACTTGGAATTTACTAGTATACAAGATGAGCTTAGAAATCTGATCATATTCAGTTCATTTGCAAAATAAACGAGTTAAAATTGAGCCGCGTTAGAGAGAGCTGATGGGATCGTTTAGCAGCCCTAGTTGCAAAAGTCCTATCATACAACTCTGTCTTGCAACCCGTATTCTTTTTCTCCTTCCTATGTATGTATACAATGGCATTGACATTAGGCATGCACTTGTGTTGTTTTGCAGGAATTTTATTCGAGCGCAAAGAATCGAGCATTGGTGTGCTTGTTTGCGGACCCAAGAAAATGAGGCATGAGGTTGCTGGCATTTGTTCTTCTGGTTTGGCTGCTAACCTCCATTTTGAGTCTATCAGCTTCAGTTGGTAATAAAATCGATCACTTCCTGCCAAAAAAACCAAAGTGTTGAAGTACTTTTGGGTTGCTGCATTCTCTTTTTTCAATTCTCCTTCATTTGGTTTGAGACTTTGAAATGTAATGTAGAATTGTAAATGGGCAGATGATTTGTTCTTCGTTTGTTTGATTATATAATGGAAATATAAATTCCTACTTCTTGGTGCTTCTTTTCAAGGGGTTCTACCTGAAAGCTGTGTAGCCATGCAGAAGGTCAAAATCACCAGATTCAATTCCTTCCTAATACTTTGTTATTCCCATTTCCATCCTTAGTAAATAACCACCAATATACAACGGAAAAATCCACTTATATATAATAAATCTCACTTGAACTCACGATGAAATAGGAAAAGGGCAACAATCTGTTCAAAAAAAATTGACTTGGTTCTATGGATCATAATATGTATCCAACACAAAAATTACTTTTTCACCAGATGATTACTTTTTCAGTACTGTACCCAAACTTATGACTCAATCAGATAAAATTACAATTGCCTTTACGTGTGGCTAAATAGGTAACACAAATAGGAAGCATGCGCAATGAGACTTCAGGGCAAATTTCTCCTCCTACTAATGGCGTTGGTCCACTGAGGGATCATGCACAAAGTATGTCATTACTTACATTTAAGAAAGAACATCCACCAGCAAAATATCGTGCTCGTATTGTTGTTTTAAATGTTATGTACACGTAACAGTATCCTCTATCCCACGCCTGAGCTACAAGAAAAGGGCCATATTCAACACACAAAAGTCTAAATAAGTCGCAAGATTATTTCAAAATGCTCATGCCTTCATATACACCTTCAGCTCCAACAAACCCCATCTCCCCCCACCCCACCCCCCACCCCCCGGGGGGAAGTGTTCCTTCCTTGCATGCTCTATCGCCTACAAAATTTGACACAGTTCGAACAGATTCGAAACCATGGTAGGCCGCGTTCAGAAATTTCAATTGCCCTACATACACGCAACACTTGCTTAACTTGAATGAGGCCAGAAACATAGTTGAAGAAAGGCTGATGCTGTGCTTCCCCGGAATATGCTCACCTGCCCTGCTCAATTTACCAGATGAATATTCATCCATTCATACGTGCTTTGGCTAATAATCCACTACCATAAGAAAATACCATCGGAGTGTTACACCATTTCATAGCCAACCAATGGTACTAAACCAAGGTTTAAAAAGTCCATTCTGCATCATTCCTCTTCCAAACTTGCTGTAGATGAAAGTTTCCCTTCCAAGACTTCGAGCAAGTCATGGTATTCAGCAAGTGCTGGATGCGACTGTATTGAAACATCAGCAAACTACAGTGAGGCATAAGTCTTCATAGTCACCATAACCATTAAGAAATTAAGAGACTTTTTACCTGCAGAGCTAGGCTATATGCTTTCCATAACCGCATATCATACCGAAATAAATCAGAAAGAACCTGCACAGACGTCACATGACAGAGAGAATGTTAAGCAGACAACAAACAAGAAGCCAGACCAACAGGTTCAGCCTTGGGTTCCCATTAGACATAAAGATAACGATTACTTTTCCTTTCCTCGTTTGTAGTGTAATTATACAAATTTAGTCTTCTGAAAACTAGTAATGCTCGAGCACTAACACCTTTGAAACAGAATTAAAGTAATTGTGTTGGTATGACTTAAAACTTCAAATTAATAAAAAATATCATACACCTAGAATTAATAATACCACAAAGCCTTGTCCCAGTAATCAACACAAGGCCCTGCTCTTGGTCTCAAGTAGGAAAACATCGTCCAACTCTACCCATGGCCTTTCTGGTAATATTCAAATTGTCAGCTTACTTCATATCTTGTTCCTCTCCCGTGCAATTTTTTTTCCAAAATTTAAATTATTATTGGTTAGTTTTACAATATTCATGTGATGCCTGATCATAGTTATCAAATCGTGTATCGAAAGGCGTATCGTAAGATACAAATATTGTATCATATCGTGTATCGTAAGATACGGTGCAATTTTAAATAAATAATAATAAAATATATATACCTTTGAAAAAATATCATACACTCATAAAAATATAGTATTTCATTAATACTCCACCAACTATTCAAGTCATCAACATAATCCACTACAAAAAAATTAATCAAGATTCAGAATTTTTATACAAAAAAAAAAATTATTTGGCTTTGTAAATAAATTAACAGAATTACTTACAATGCACTTAGCTGGAGTAGCTGGAGAAGGAAGAAGAAAAAGGCAGCTACAGCTTCGATCCAAGGCAGCTTCGTCAATGAAGAACAGGGAGAAGAGAGAGAATACGGAGAACAAAGAGAAGAGAGAGAGGGGCTAGACTGGGGTTCTTCGTCCTCAACAACAGAGAGAAGAGAGAGAGGGAAGATTGAAGAATGAAGAACAGAAGGACACCTGGATTTGGCTTGGTTACCTGGAGTAGCTGAAGAAGCTAAAATTTATTTGGCTTGCTGCCTTCGTTGATGAAGAACAGGGAGAAGAGAGAAGACGGAGAACAGGATTTGGCTTGCTGCCTTCATCGATGGCTCCTGTGTCTTCGTCGTCGTTGTCAATCGTGAGGTCTTGTGTCTTCGTCGTCGATCGTCGCTCGTGAAGAACACCAGGCCAAAAGGGAAGACAACAAAGATCGAATGAAAGGAAAAGAGGGATTTATTTTTTTTCTAAACCCTAGTCTCAAAACGACGTCGTTTTCAGTGGCAGGGATAAAAAATCAATCTCTTTTAAACAAAACGACGTAGTTCCATCCCAAAAAAAAAAAAAAATTAAACAGGTTTTGCGCGTATCGTACCGATACGTATCGTATCGTGTATCGGACGATACAACGCAAAAACGATACATAACTACGATCCGTATCGTTTTAGGCTTGTATCGTGACGTATCGTACGATACTAACAACTATGTGCCTGGTAATATGTGGATATTGATCCACATCAACAAACAAATTCTTTGCATTAATTTTTTCCTTTTACATGGCCTATTACATGCCTGTGATTGAAAATTTCAATCTTGTTTTGAATAGGTAATATTCCACTAAATAACTACCCATCAGTGCATATATAAAGGTTGAAAGTTGAAACACTGATAAATTTGAAATACAACTTAACATTTTGGTTGCGAACTATAGTAGTATTAATCAACTATAATTGCAGCAGCACTCACTAGGTTTGAACTGAAATAAATTCAAAATTTGAAACATAGACTAATTATTACTTGATGCCAACCAAATATGGAATCCTAAGAACTAGCAGGGAAAACAATGCCAGCCAATGATGGCATAAGCAGGCTATAATCCANAATTGCAGCAGCACTCACTAGGTTTGAACTGAAATAAATTCAAAATTTGAAACATAAGACTAATTATTACTTGATGCCAACAAAATATGGAATCCTAAGAACTAGCAGGGAAAACAATGCCAGCCAATGATGGCATAAGCAGGCTATAATCCAGAAATGTCAGATGTCAATTGTACCTCGGATCGCCTTAAAAGAGTGGCCAAGACAACTATCCACTCTTTAAACTTGACCGAACACATATGAGCCAGGAGGAATTCTGCGTCCAACCGGCTTTGCAAGGTTACCATTTGCAGCTGGAAACATAGAAGAAGATTATTTTTTTCAGAATGTCAATCAGTAAAGAAAAATACCAAATAGATAAATTTCAAACCACTACTTCAGAGGGGAGGCATTGTCATGTTTATGCTCAAATCTACATATATAAGGTTTAACATTACTTTTGTGTTCTCTTCCCTTTCTCTATTTCGAACTTTTATCTTTCCTGTTGCTTCATCTGTTCATTGAAGTACATGTTTTGCCTTCGAAGGTACTCAAAGTGTTGCTAAGAAATGTTTATAAACAACTACAGTTTGGAAGATTTTAGTCTAAATAGGGCAACTCCTTAAGAGTCCATTTCGACATCGCTTGAATTATGGAACTGAAATTTCTCTTGAATAATATTTGCCTTCAAGCGAGATTAGATTAAAATGAAGCACAAAATATCTGGCTGATTGGAAGGCGCAAGGAAAACTCCAAATGCCAATTCTGGTAGCAATTATTTCATTGAAATAATTCATCAAAATGACAAACCAAGAAAGACAAAATGAATAAGCCATGAAAAACTGGTGATCATGAATAATTGCAGGAAGCAATTCTAATACAACATACTTTTTTGAGCTAAAGAGTCAAGACGCATCAAAATGCAAGAAGCCTGATTTTTTTAAGGCTCAATAGTTGCAATTTTATCATNTAATTGCAGGAAGCAATTCTAATACAACATACTTTTTTGAGCTAAAGAGTCAAGACACATCAAAATGCAAGAAGCCTGATTTTTTTAAGGCTCAATAGTTGCAATTTTATCGTAAGGGCTCAACACATATATGTAGATCTTGATACCTTCTGCCCAATTAATTCAAGCCCAGAAGCAAAATTCTCCAGGCGAGCAACACCATATCTTTCTCGTTGAAGATATTCCTGCAATAAGTTTTAATCATGCAACCTCGAATCAAAGAATGGCAGCAACGTATAAATCCTAACCAAAAATGTGACATTCTCTTACCACTAGATCAAATTGGGTGCCTTTCACAAATGCAACAAGCTTAGAAAGTTCTTTCCCCGACATTAAANAGAGAGAGGGGCTAGACTGGGGTTCTTCGTCCTCAACAACAGAGAGAAGAGAGAGAGGGAAGATCGAAGAATAAAGAACAGAAGGACACCTGGATTTGGCTTGGTTACCTGGAGTAGCTGAAGAAGCTAAAATTTATTTGGCTTGCTGCCTTCGTTGATGAAGAACAGGGAGAAGAGAGAAGACGGAGAACAGGATTTGGCTTGCTGCCTTCATCGATGGCTCCTGTGTCTTCGTCGTCGTTGTCAATCGTGAGGTCTTGTGTCTTCGTCGTCGATCGTCGCTCGTGAAGAACACCAGGCCAAAAGGGAAGACAACAAAGATCGAATGAAAGGAAAAGAGGGATTTATTTTTTTTCTAAACCCTAGTCTCAAAACGACGTCGTTTTCAGTGGCAGGGATAAAAAATCAATCTCTTTTAAACAAAACGACGTAGTTCCATCCCAAAAAAAAAAAAAAATTAAACAGGTTTTGCGCGTATCGTACCGATACGTATCGTATCGTGTATCGGACGATACAACGCAAAAACGATACATAACTACGATCCGTATCGTTTTAGGCTTGTATCGTGACGTATCGTACGATACTAACAACTATGTGCCTGGTAATATGTGGATATTGATCCACATCAACAAACAAATTCTTTGCATTAATTTTTTCCTTTTACATGGCCTATTACATGCCTGTGATTGAAAATTTCAATCTTGTTTTGAATAGGTAATATTCCACTAAATAACTACCCATCAGTGCATATATAAAGGTTGAAAGTTGAAACACTGATAAATTTGAAATACAACTTAACATTTTGGTTGCGAACTATAGTAGTATTAATCAACTATAATTGCAGCAGCACTCACTAGGTTTGAACTGAAATAAATTCAAAATTTGAAACATAGACTAATTATTACTTGATGCCAACCAAATATGGAATCCTAAGAACTAGCAGGGAAAACAATGCCAGCCAATGATGGCATAAGCAGGCTATAATCCAGAAATGTCAGATGTCAATTGTACCTCGGATCGCCTTAAAAGAGTGGCCAAGACAACTATCCACTCTTTAAACTTGACCGAACACATATGAGCCAGGAGGAATTCTGCGTCCAACCGGCTTTGCAAGGTTACCATTTGCAGCTGGAAACATAGAAGAAGATTATTTTTTTCAGAATGTCAATCAGTAAAGAAAAATACCAAATAGATAAATTTCAAACCACTACTTCAGAGGGGAGGCATTGTCATGTTTATGCTCAAATCTACATATATAAGGTTTAACATTACTTTTGTGTTCTCTTCCCTTTCTCTATTTCGAACTTTTATCTTTCCTGTTGCTTCATCTGTTCATTGAAGTACATGTTTTGCCTTCGAAGGTACTCAAAGTGTTGCTAAGAAATGTTTATAAACAACTACAGTTTGGAAGATTTTAGTCTAAATAGGGCAACTCCTTAAGAGTCCATTTCGACATCGCTTGAATTATGGAACTGAAATTTCTCTTGAATAATATTTGCCTTCAAGCGAGATTAGATTAAAATGAAGCACAAAATATCTGGCTGATTGGAAGGCGCAAGGAAAACTCCAAATGCCAATTCTGGTAGCAATTATTTCATTGAAATAATTCATCAAAATGACAAACCAAGAAAGACAAAATGAATAAGCCATGAAAAACTGGTGATCATGAATAATTGCAGGAAGCAATTCTAATACAACATACTTTTTTGAGCTAAAGAGTCAAGACGCATCAAAATGCAAGAAGCCTGATTTTTTTAAGGCTCAATAGTTGCAATTTTATCGTAAGGGCTCAACACATATATGTAGATCTTGATACCTTCTGCCCAATTAATTCAAGCCCAGAAGCAAAATTCTCCAGGCGAGCAACACCATATCTTTCTCGTTGAAGATATTCCTGCAATAAGTTTTAATCATGCAACCTCGAATCAAAGAATGGCAGCAACGTATAAATCCTAACCAAAAATGTGACATTCTCTTACCACTAGATCAAATTGGGTGCCTTTCACAAATGCAACAAGCTTAGAAAGTTCTTTCCCCGACATTAAATAGCTCGCATGGTTTTCTAAGATGTTCTTCACAGAAGCAACATGTGCACTCTGCTCTTTGAATGAGTTGCTGCTCCAAAGAAAAATGGTGCAATTGTATCATTTAGAATGCCTTCCAATGACATGCAAACTAGTTTATGGAAGATGGCATCTACCTTTTTGAGTCCAAGGACTGCCTCCTGTTACTAGAAGGGAAAAGAAAATAGCTCAAGAATCTGGGAGAGAGTCTTTCTGAATCTGTTTGTGCAGGTTCATATTCTCTTCCAGACCTCATGAGAAACCTCACCTGACAACAACCAAAATAGGAATTATGTAAACAAATACCAGGGTACTAAGGTAGTAAATTATCTCGCTTGCAGGTTGTATCAANCTTCTTTTCAAGGGGTTCTACCTGAAAGCTGTGTAGCCATGCAGAAGGTCAAAATCACCAGATTCAATTCCTTCCTAATACTTTGTTATTCCCATTTCCATCCTTAGTAAATAACCACCAATATACAACGGAAAAATCCACTTATATATAATAAATCTCACTTGAACTCACGATGAAATAGGAAAAGGGCAACAATCTATNGGAATTATGTAAACAAATACCAGGGTACTAAGGTAGTAAATTATCTCGCTTGCAGGTTGTATCAAAATCCTTACCAGCTCCCCAGCAAGTTCATATAAAGATTCATCAAGTGTTGCCTATGTAATATAAATACAATCGTCAATAATAATTAAAAGAGANAAAATCCTTACCAGCTCCCCAGCAAGTTCATATAAAGATTCATCAAGTGTTGCCTACGTAATATAAATACAATCGTCAATAATAATTAAAAGAGAGAGAGAGAGAGAGATGGAATTACAATCTGGCACCTTCTAGCAAGTACCTGCAATAAACGTAAAGCACAGTATTGACTCACAGCAGGACCTTCAAGTTTAGCAATGACCTGCGGCATTAAAAGAAGACAGAACATTAGCATGAGAAACTTTCTGTTAAAAAAATGTAGTACCTAAAACTCACTTGAACACAAAGTAGTTTCACAATACCAGTTTGTCATATTGAAATTTGGCTTTTTTTCCCTGTTTTTTGAAGGGGGGTTGTTATGCGTAAACTCCGAAAAACTGGCACAGCATCAGCCATTGTACATCTCACCCATAGATTACAATTCTATTATTGTGGTTCAAGTTTTTCTTCCTTTTTTATAATAGTAGCACAAACCTACATTTAATCGCAAAGCTGAACAGATATCACCACTGAAGACACTTGTGGAGTAGGTTTTAGTAACAGCCTTTCTGGATACAATTAATTTGGAAAATTAGTGGCAGTTGAATCAAACATAGAGCTCCAAGAACGATGGCTTGTTTCAGGAGTAAAGCCCCACCGATCAACACGAGCAATTCTAAGTGCATCAATTTAACAGCCAAACAAAGGAAAATTTGAACCATGAAAAAGGTATAAAAATCCATGAAATTCCTCAACCCAGAAAGAATCTAATGATTCAGTGGAAATGACTATAATACTGACCAGTATATAGCAGGCTGCAGTGCGATACCATCTCCGCTGGAAGCATTCCTCAAACAACCTACCGGGTATGAAGATTAGTCAAAGTTAGAAAACTATAATTGGTTAAACTAGTGTCCCAAGCTAAAAAACAAACAATTCATTTATATGGTGATGAAGAAACAACCAACATCATAATATTCAACCAACGTATCTAAGCAATCAAATACATTTCCAAGACTGGCTTGGCAAAGGAAACAAGCTCAAAGTCATTTTTGTTAAAGCATCAGAATTATTTTCGATGCAATAAACCAGATTAAAAAAATTTCTGAGCATCTCTGTTAACAAAAAAATAGCAACGACCATAGTAAGGGGAAAAATAATACTAATGACAATAATCCACATGAAAAAGAAAACTTCACTCTTGACTTGAGTAACATGATGTATGAGTTTCCATGCCAGTGCCAGAGTTGTGTACAGCTTTGCCATCTAAAATGACTATACTAGAATCAAGTAAATGTGAGAATTTCATTTTAACTGTATCATTAAACATAAACTTGTTCCCCTATTTATTCTCAACCCAACAAAGCCGTATCCAACTATTTGGAGTGACCTTTTTATGATGTTCTTTAATATTACTTAGCAGTCACACCTTCCAGAAAAAAAAAAAACTTAGCAGTCACCAAACTGTGGATATTCTCAGATACCATACAACTTTCGAACTGGATTGCAAAACTTAGCAAATCAGTATAGAAGCAAACATTTAGGCATACAAACTCTAAGATCCACTGCAGTGACAGATATTTGGATATTAATATGGTTCCTTTCAGCAGACTGCATAATTCAAAAAATCATTCTGAGTGGGTCTTGTATGTTTAGGAAAATGTTAACAATCCAAACGTTAGAAGAAAGATTCACATACCTCAATTTCTAAATATCGACGTAACTGAAATCTTATGGGTTGAATCCCCAATTAGGCGCCTTTTAGTGAAATACTTTAAATCACACATTCCTCACCCTTCCCTTTTTCATCGTTGCTTAGCATATCTTCTGAGTTTCTTTCCCTTTGAATTTATTTTTCTTTACGCATCTCTCTTTCACAAAAACAAGCGGATGAAGCAGGGGCTGAGCTAGACTTTCCCAAGGGGGGGAAGCCAACTAGGAGTTGGGAAAGATATACCATGTGACTACTGGGGCCATACAGAAAATGTACATAACTAGGAGAACTTTCAATGGGACAACAAAACTTTAAAGGCCAAAAGATAGGTCCAAAAAGTTTTGGGAGGTCATGGCCCCTCTGTATCATAACAATGGCTTCAACACTGTAATGAGGAGCCCCTGTTCCAGGCAATGACATGCTAAAAGAGCAAGCAAACTCAAATCAGAAGAGGGCTTCCTCGTGCCCAAACTGAAATTAGGTGACGCTATCATTAGTCACACACCTTAATATTTTCTCCCTAAGTCTTGCTTTCCCAAGTTCAATTTTTGTCCAGCCTCACATAAACAACAGATATACACCCCCTTCTAAACAACAGGGGAAAAAGGCAATCTTAGATCCAAGCTTTCCAGCATCATGACATGCAAGAAAAAGATAAACCAACAAAAGGCCATCAAATGGGAAGTCATTTTCAGCTTTAATAAATAAGCTCCCATTATTATCCTTTCAGTATCTAAGACACAAACATTTATTCCGTTACACTCTCTAAAGTAGCCAAGTTAAAACCAAGAAACTAAATTTTGTTTCTAATCGGTTGAAACAACCAAAACATTTTCGTTTTCATGGAAACTGAAACAAATCATTAATTGCATATCGAAATTCTTACATTCCGAGGTGTTTCGACCAATGCTTCGGAACAAATTTTCAATTTTTTTCTTTATTTTCACCCTATTTCCGAAATGGTTCTGAAACTTTTCCATTTCCAAACCAACTGAAACTATGCAAAACGATATTTTGATCCTCGGTTAGAATCATAATCATGTCAGTTCAACCAGGGTTCTTATTCTTGAGTAAGCTCTTGCAATAAACTTCATACAATGTGAAGGATGAAAATTACACGAGAAACAACAACATACTCTGTTGATCTTCCTGCAGCAGAAAATAAATCCGCCCAATGCCGACCATCAGTTTTTCTTGCAACACTAACAACCACATCAAAATACTCAGGAAACCTTCTGATTAAATCACAGGTCTTCTCTAAAAGAGAAGAGTTGGTGCCATGCTTAGCGGCTGAGATCTGATTTCTGCTTGTATTTTGCCTGTGCAAAAAGGTAAATCAATTGTTTAAATAGATACAAATCAATCTATATTATTACAGCAAACAAATTAGAGAGAGGCTTTGGGAGGCCTTCCCTCCCTGTCTTCTTTTTCTCCAGAATTTTAAATTTACTAGACAAAAAGACAAGATGTTCTGATTGTGGCATATGTAACCACTCATCAAACTTTCCACAATTTCTATAACAACCCACTATGTATCATTCTTTAACTGTCCTAACTTGCATAAAATCTTCCAATAAAAAAATCCCACATATATATGAGTGATTATTCATGTTCGAATAGGATGGATAGAGAAGAGAATATGAATCCCGTGTATCGCACAGAGCGGTCACTAGTTTATCTATATATTAAGAGAATCAAATTAGATGGAAGGGGTTTGATAAGCTTTTTCCTCCAATTCCCTTATTTTTTAGAATTTTTCATTAATTTAATTACAGGATAAGGTTCCATTAAATCACATTCTACCTCACAGCCCATGTAACCACCCCCACCCCACGTAAGTATAATTTTAAAGACCATACCAGCCAGAAGGCATCAACATTGCTCGACCACTGCAAAGCCATATACACCAACCACCCCTTACCTAGTACTAAATACAGAGAATCAATGATTGCATAGTCCAACACCTTTTCTTTAGTTATGAGCTCCAAACCAATAGGTCCCACCATATGTAAGTGTTATAGAGAAGCAACTTCCCAAAGGGGAAAAAAAGGTAGTCTATATATTTAACACATTTACAAAGACCAATACAAATAGGAATTTTGAGCCAGAAAAGTAGTCAGTGAAGTAAACTTGTGCTCGTCAGGATCAATGTCTCCATATATTTTAACACCAATTAGCCCCAAGAAAGTTAGTTTTGGAAATTGAATAGTCAACTGTTATTTATAGCAAACAAAAAGAACAATGAAAGGGACAAAATTGTTGGGATCACACATGTTCCTTGATTAATTAGAATTACCTGGAAATTTCAGCATCGAACACTGTGAAAAGAAGCCACTCAAGGCAATGGGAAAAATGAGGCTTCTCAGCCGATAATTGTGCCAACCTTAAAGCTTCTTCACTTTTATTCCTCTGTTAAACAAATCAAAATGAGAAAAAAAAATTCCGAGAATAAAAATCAAACCTCACATAGAGCAGCTCACGTCTATTCATCATGCCGATGGAACATTTTTATTATTGAACTATTTTAAAACGCNGTTAAACAAATCAAAATGAGAAAAAAAAATTCCGAGAATAAAAATCAAACCTCACACAGAGCAGCTCACGTCTATTCATCATGCCGATGGAACATTTTTATTATTAAACTATTTTAAAACACNTTTTAACTGTATCATTAAACATAAACTTGTTCCCCTATTTATTCTCAACCCAACAAAGCCGTATCCAACTATTTGGAGTGACCTTTTTATGATGTTCTTTAATATTACTTAGCAGTCACACCTTCCAGAAAAATAAAAAACTTAGCAGTCACCAAACTGTGGATATTCTCAGATACCATACAACTTTCGAACTGGATTGCAAAACTTAGCAAATCAGTATAGAAGCAATCATTTAGGCATACAAACTCTAAGATCCACTGCAGTGACAGATATTTGGATATTAATATGGTTCCTTTCAGCAGACTGCATAATTCAAAAAATCATTCTGAGTGGGTCTTGTATGTTTAGGAAAATGTTAACAATCCAAACGTTAGAAGAAAGATTCACATACCTCAATTTCTAAATATCGACGTAACTGAAATCTTATGGGTTGAATCCCCAATTAGGCGCCTTTTAGTGAAATACTTTAAATCACACATTCCTCACCCTTCCCTTTTTCATCGTTGCTTAGCATATCTTCTGAGTTTCTTTCCCTTTGAATTTATTTTTCTTTACGCATCTCTCTTTCACAAAAACAAGCGGATGAAGCAGGGGCTGAGCTAGACTTTCCCAAGGGGGGGAAGCCAACTAGGAGTTGGGAAAGATATACCATGTGACTACTGGGGCCATACAGAAAATGTACANTCTTTACGCATCTCTCTTTCACAAAAACAAGCGGATGAAGCAGGGGCTGAGCTAGAATTTCCCAAGGGGGGGAAGCCAACTAGGAGTTGGGAAAGATATACCATGTGACTACTGGGGCCATACAGAAAATGTACATAACTAGGAGAACTTTCAATGGGACAACAAAACTTTAAAGGCCAAAAGATAGGTCCAAAAAGTTTTGGGAGGTCATGGCCCCTCTGTATCATAACAATGGCTTCAACACTGTAATGAGGAGCCCCTGTTCCAGGCAATGACATGCTAAAAGAGCAAGCAAACTCAAATCAGAAGAGGGCTTACNCCAAAAGATAGGTCCAAAAAGTTTTGGGAGGTCATGGCCCCTCTGTATCATAACAACGGCGTCAACACTGTAATGAGGAGCCCCTGTTCCAGGCAATGACATGCTAAAAGAGCAAGCAAACTCAAATCAGAAGAGGGCTTCCTCGTGCCCAAACTGAAATTAGGTGACGCTATCATTAGTCACACACCTTAATATTTTCTCCCTAAGTCTTGCTTTCCCAAGTTCAATTTTTGTCCAGCCTCACATAAACAACAGATATACACCCCCTTCTAAACAACAGGGGAAAAAGGCAATCTTAGATCCAAGCTTTCCAGCATCATGACATGCAAGAAAAAGATAAACCAACAAAAGGCCATCAAATGGGAAGTCATTTTCAGCTTTAATAAATAAGCTCCCATTATTATCCTTTCAGTATCTAAGACACAAACATTTATTCCGTTACACTCTCTAAAGTAGCCAAGTTAAAACCAAGAAACTAAATTTTGTTTCTAATCGGTTGAAACAACCAAAACATTTTCGTTTTCATGGAAACTGAAACAAATCATTAATTGCATATCGAAATTCTTACATTCCGAGGTGTTTCGACCAATGCTTCGGAACAAATTTTCAATTTTTTTCTTTATTTTCACCCTATTTCCGAAATGGTTCTGAAACTTTTCCATTTCCAAACCAACTGAAACTATGCAAAACGATATTTTGATCCTCGGTTAGAATCATAATCATGTCAGTTCAACCAGGGTTCTTATTCTTGAGTAAGCTCTTGCAATAAACTTCATACAATGTGAAGGATGAAAATTACACGAGAAACAACAACATACTCTGTTGATCTTCCTGCAGCAGAAAATAAATCCGCCCAATGCCGACCATCAGTTTTTCTTGCAACACTAACAACCACATCAAAATACTCAGGAAACCTTCTGATTAAATCACAGGTCTTCGCTAAAAGAGAAGAGTTGGTGCCATGCTTAGCGGCTGAGATCTGATTTCTGCTTGTATTTTGCCTGTGCAAAAAGGTAAATCAATTGTTTAAATAGATACAAATCAATCTATATTATTACAGCAAACAAATTAGAGAGAGGCTTTGGGAGGCCTTCCCTCCCTGTCTTCTTTTTCTCCAGAATTTTAAATTTACTAGACAAAAAGACAAGATGTTCTGATTGTGGCATATGTAACCACTCATCAAACTTTCCACAATTTCTATAACAACCCACTATATATCATTCTTTAACTGTCCTAACTTGCATAAAATCTTCCAATAAAAAAATCCCACATATATATGAGTGATTATTCATGTTCGAATAGGATGGATAGAGAAGAGAATATGAATCCCGTGTATCGCACAGAGCGGTCACTAGTTTATCTATATATTAAGAGAATCAAATTAGATGGAAGGGGTTTGATAAGCTTTTTCCTCCAATTCCCTTATTTTTTAGAATTTTTCATTAATTTAATTACAGGATAAGGTTCCATTAAATCACATTCTACCTCACAGCCCATGTAACCACCCCCACCCCACGTAAGTATAATTTTAAAGACCATACCAGCCAGAAGGCATCAACATTGCTCGACCACTGCAAAGCCATATACACCAACCACCCCTTACCTAGTACTAAATACAGAGAATCAATGATTGCATAGTCCAACACCTTTTCTTTAGTTATGAGCTCCAAACCAATAGGTCCCACCATATGTAAGTGTTATAGAGAAGCAACTTCCCAAAGGGGAAAAAAGGGTAGTCTATATATTTAACACATTTACAAAGACCAATACAAATAGGAATTTTGAGCCAGAAAAGTAGTCAGTGAAGTAAACTTGTGCTCGTCAGGATCAATGTCTCCATATATTTTAACACCAATTAGCCCCAAGAAAGTTAGTTTTGGAAATTGAATAGTCAACTGTTATTTATAGCAAACAAAAAGAACAATGAAAGGGACAAAATTGTTGGGATCATACATGTTCCTTGATTAATTAGAATTACCTGGAAATTTCAGCATCGAACACTGTGAAAAGAAGCCACTCAAGGCAATGGGAAAAATGAGGCTTCTCAGCCGATATTTGTGCCAACCTTAAAGCTTCTTCACTTTTATTCCTCTGTTAAACAAATCAAAATGAGAAAAAAAAATTCCGAGAATAAAAATCAAACCTCACATAGAGCAGCTCACGTCTATTCATCATGCCGATGGAACATTTTTATTATTGAACTATTTTAAAACGCCAAAAATTAGACTGCCAAATCAAGGCAAACAATGATCATTTGGTTAAGATTAAAGACTAAAGCTGAACCACCCAAGATAGACCACATTCCGAAGATGGTGACACATATTCAATTAATGTTTCAGAATGTACAGTAATTCTAAGGAGTCTAACATAATCATTAGAATTAAAGGATTGCAAATGGCATGATACAATTCAAAGGAACAAAGGATTACCTGAAGAAGATGCCGGAGTAGGCAATGCAATATGGTTTGAGCTTGAGGAGATGGCTCAAAACAAGGAAACTCAGTGCATGCCGAAAATGACATCCTCTGGGAAACACCAACTACGACTCCAGCATTTGTAAGAAGACCAAGAGGATACACCTCACGATCAAATTCCAGTTCAGGGTCCAACTAAAAATTCACATCAAGTTACTTTAACACCTCAGATTTTACAAACAGAACAATCAAATCAGATCTAATAACCAAACAATTTTCTTCCAAAAATACAAATATACATTCAAAGCCATTCCTGTCAGTTTTTAATTTAATCAAATCCACCTTAAAACTGCAGTTAACACAAGCCAATCAAGAGAGAGGTTTACATATTCATTGGAAAATGTAAATAAAATAAACAACAATATTGCATAAAGCAAAAAGCACATAGAGCAGAACTAAGTGCAGCTAACATCTTGAACAAATGAAACCACATATCTGGAATGGTCTGGATAAAGCCAAATTAACCACTCCTTTAAAACGAACACCAAGGTGACATCTAAATATACAAAACCTGTTCGGTATTGCATTTCCTCCAATTTCTACCTCATAGCTTCTTAAGTGGATATTATAACATTCCCACTTGAAAAATTAAACTGTTGCTTACTAATGTACAAGAAATAACACAAATTACTCACTCATCCCAATCAATTAGACACAGATCGCATTTAAACATTAAATACATCAATACCTGCAGGAAATCTTCTTGCTTAAAAGGGTCAACACCTGGAGATGGATACCAAACCTGTAATATAGGGATTCCAACAAGAATCAATATAGTATGAGGAAAATAGAATGGCAAAACTAGAGTATAATCATTGAAATGCCAAAGAAAACTGTCACCTGCATTCCTCGATGACCATAATCTAACCATGAAACGTCCTCAATTAAGTTTGTTTTCTCCTCTGATTGACCGCAAGTAACCCAGAATAGTTCAACAGAGTCGGTCAGCTCTCTTTCTCGCCCATCATCCAAATCAAGTAGTGAAAGCTCCCCATTTGTCCTCAATATCAAACATCTAACAAAGCAAGCGGTCAATGAATTGACATATGGTACAAAGAAAGTCAATATGTTAGTAAGTACTCACCTAGCAGGTTCTCTAGGTAACAAATCTGATGAAGATGAAAGAACATTTCTTGAGATGTACTCTCTTGAAAGCTGATCAGGGATAAAATGCATTGCAGCAGGATGGCTTTTTGCAGTCATGATTGAGAGCTCTCGAACTGTAGAAAGCTGTTCCTCATTTTATCACTTATAATTTATAAATGCATGACAAAAACATTTTCATTACAACATTCACATTCAAAAAGCAACTTAAATTTTACGAACCCTATAGCTTTTAAAATGCAGCTTCAGTTCACTTTACTTATATTGTAAATAAATAAAAAAGGCACTGGAAAACATCCCTTTACCTGCAAATCTGGAGAACTGGAAGGTGTCAATTCACCAGATAATTTCACATGATATATATGGACATCAAACGGACGATAAGTAACAAGTAAATAATCTTGATAGACATCCATGACCATTGGCTTTGCAAGCAATGGTTTGCGACAAAGTAGCGAGCTCTGATCAAGGTGATATCTCGGATAAAAAAGCAGCTCATACCTGAAATGGACCAATTTGATTTGACCAATATGTCTCAAACTAAGAGCAACAGGGTACAGTAATACATATCAATTGTCATTGGCTCATTGCAAAATGAGTAAGAGTGGGACATANTGGTGCCATGCTTAGCGGCTGAGATCTGATTTCTGCTTGTATTTTGCCTGTGCAAAAAGGTAAATCAATTGTTTAAATAGATACAAATCAATCTATATTATTACAGCAAACAAATTAGAGAGAGGCTTTGGGAGGCCTTCCCTCCCTGTCTTCTTTTTCTNATATGTCTCAAACTAAGAGCAACAGGGTAAAGTAATACATATCAATTGTCATTGGCTCATTGCAAAATGAGTAAGAGTGGGACATAATAAAACTACATACATATAAGGACAAGACAATTCAAACTTGCCTTCACATACTTGTTTCCTAATGATTTGTCCATATAAGGAAGACTGAGCTAGCACCTTGAACTCAAACAACTATATGATCTTAAATAGAGGGAAATCAAATCCAAATCAAACTATCTACATACCCATGGTCTTAACTCATAATGACCATGTCAAGATATCAACTGATACATCGTACTTAGAGATATTTATATATATTTTCAGCTGTACATCTGTATATATTTAAAATTACGAAACGTCTATCAACCTAAAATTTTCTCTCTTATCAACTTTTCATTTTAAAAATTCTTTTTCTTTTCAAACGGAAACCTTCACTGAGAATAGGTATCTATTGGAAAATTTCTTCTTATAATGCATCCTCATTCCACAACCAGGGGAAAATAAAAGAGAAAAATAAGGCAATAGCGATGTATAAAACAGTTAGATACAGCAATAGAATGCAAAGAATCCATGATATGTTTATGAGGTGAAAGCCTGGGAAATGAGAATTGGTGTGGGCTAGGGTGACAATACATCAAATGTTAAGGAGTTAAAATATAAATATATTAAGCATCGTTTCAGTCATAAAACATTCAATTCCACATGGAATATAATTAACAAAAAAGAACATCTAGTGTGTAAATTACTCACATGTCTGAAGAATCGATGTAGTTGCAGACGATGACAATTTTTCCCAGCCATAACAAGCCTCTACACTGAATCCTTTGTTCCTGGGAAATATCCCCAAACACTCGCCACTTTTTCAGTCTTATGTCATATAAGACTAACCCATGAAGTCCAGCAACAGCTAAGTACATCCCATCCTTGCTAGCCGCCACATGAAGAACTGGCCAGTTTTGGGTGATATAAGAGACCTAGCCCAAAGCAAAATTATATAAGGAACAGCCTTTCTCTTTGGATGGTAATATCAGGAACAAGGTTAATGTACAAGAACAAACATAGGACAACCCAACATCATTATTAAATTCAAGACATAACTGGAAGATTAAGATGCAAAATTTTAAGTTCATCTGTATCTTCAGATTGCACAACAAGCAGCCTATCTTCACCATAAATCACTTGGCGGACATGCGTTGTACCAGAAACACCTCTGTTTAGGCAACATTTGCCAAAAGAAAATGCAAGAATCCTCTCTGCAGATCCTTGCTCAATAGTATAAAGCCTATATCCATGTTCATCCCACTGCATTGATGAGGTGCCACCCATCATAGGTTCATATTTGCCATCCTGGTTTGGCTTAACTACAGGAGAAGATACAGAACTTAAACCAATCTGACGGATTGTAGACATTAAGCGACAACCAGAGACAGACCAAACTGTAAGTCCTCTTAACTTCCACCCAACTGCAAAAGCAGAATTATCAGGAGTCCATGCAATACAACTAACAGCACCAGTATCATCCATTGAGTATCTGCACAGAAACCATGAGCAATAAACAGAAGTTATTCATAGCAAACTTTATTTAAAAACCCACGACAGTTTACAAGAGTAGCTTCTAACAATTTTTATTTTTTTAAACTGCCTTCAAGGCAAGAACTACAAATAATTCTATACTGTATAAAAATTATCAATTAACATATCCAAGTATCTCATTAACTAAAACTTTAAAACATCACTTCACCTACGGATCTAAATGCAAAGCCTTGCGTCACAAGAGAATAAAAGAAGTTTAAAAGACCTTCTGTGAAAAAGGTCTTTCGACAAGGGAGAGAAGGGAATGTATGAAAAAGGAAGAAATGAGTTACAAATCAGGTGACCAATGCAACCAGAAGAAACAGGCACATCAAAGCCCTAGCTCTAGCCAACTCAACTCCCTCAATCCAAANTGTAGACATTAAGCGACAACCAGAGACAGACCAAACTGTAAGTCCTCTTAACTTCCACCCAACTGCAAAAGCAGAATTATCAGGAGTCCATGCAATACAACTAACAGCACCAGTATCATCCATTGAGTATCTGCACAGAAACCATGAGCAATAAACAGAAGTTATTCATAACAAACTTTATTTAAAAACCCACGACAGTTTACAAGAGTAGCTTCTAACAATTTTATTTTTTTAAACTGCCTTCAAGGCAAGAACTACAAATAATTCTATACTGTATAAAAATTATCAATTAACATATCCAAGTATCTCATTAACTAAAACTTTAAAACATCACTTCACCTACGGATCTAAATGCAAAGCCTTGCGTCACAAGAGAATAAAAGAAGTTTAAAAGACCTTCTGTGAAAAAGGTCTTTCGACAAGGGAGAGAAGGGAATGTATGAAAAAGGAAGAAATGAGTTACAAATCAGGTGACCAATGCAACCAGAAGAAACGGGCACATCAAAGCCCTAGCTCTAGCCAACTCAACTCCCTCAATCCACATACTTTTCTTGCCTTTACCTCTTCCTTACAACACCTCACTCCTGCTTATATCAGTGATCAGAAATTACAATTTGCTTCCCACAATTGACAAGAGCATCTTTATTTGGAGGATTAGTATATGCAAATTGTAATATTCTGGGGAACAGAAACAATCTTAGCATTTTATGAAACATGCAATTTGATCGTTGTTCTATTTCTTCCTTATCAAGATAAAGGGAATGAATTATCCCCCCAAAGAAGTCGGTATTTCTTTTTTTTGGGAACTGGAAATTATTTTCAGGAAACCTCGGCAACAAATGTGTACCACTTAAAAGGAAAAAAAAGGCATAAATGACAAATCATGCTACTAGTTTCCAGCTTTACGGAAAATGACAAAGCGTACCCCCAGTCATACAAAGATACAGAACGAATAAGTCTTGCAGAATCTGTGAGGTCATATAACTCTACAACACCTCTTCTGGTGCCAACAGCAAGGATTTGTTGTTCTGGAGCAACCGAAGCACATACGGCATCACCAGAGCCCAACCTCTTTTCCGCTTTGATAAACTCAGATTGCTTTAAACCTTTCTTACTTATGGAACAAACTACTAGTTGTCCATCAGAGAATAGCAAGGCTAGCAACCTCAAAGGCAAGGAAAATTCCAAATGGATAACAGCAGATTTGGGGAGCAAATAGTGACTGGATGTAAAAACACCTTGGGCGCCACCAGAAGCAAGACCATTGTCTAGAGAATGTGATGATTTAATAGCTTCATAGCCATCACACAGGTGAAAGTCAAGCTCAAAGGCTCCACAGAACTGTACGAAAAAGAATAACAAAAAAATGATGAGATTATAAGCAAACTTTGAAACAGACTTTTTTCTTTTTTCATCACTCAAATTGGCATTGTCAATGGGCTGTCCCGTGTTGTGTTTTTGAACCGTGTAACCCGTATCGTGTCAAAATTTGCTCAACTCATACCCGACCTATTTCAAATCGCAAATAGTCGGATTTGTGTTTGTGACGGGTTTGTGTATAAGCCATATTTATCAGGGTCTGTGTTAACTCGTTTGCTTGATGGGTCTGGCGGTTCACCCGTTTAGTACCCAAACTCGTAAGGCAAAACCTGACCCCGGTAATTCTGTGTCAGCTTCGTGTCGTGTTCACAAGTCATGCAGCATTGTCAATCCTAACTCTAATGCAGCAAAATACTACTCATTCCTGTTCTAACAAAGAGTTCAGCATCTATAGCACAATGCTGCTTCTTTCCTGTGCATCAAAAATTAAGGAACTTGCTACTGCCCACCACATTTGCATTACCTCGCCCTTCCAAGATATGCTATACAAAGATCCATCAGAAAGTCCAACTAGCATATTTCTGTTATCACATACAATATTGCTCCTGCTAGTCAAAAAAGTAAAAATAAGTATATGTGAGAAGTCAACAGTCAATAAACTGAAGGATCACATTACCCATATAATTCAGACACAGCACAGCCGACTTCATCAATTGAAAAGATTAATAAACAATAAGTTAAAGGGCTAACATAACAAAATCCATACAAAGACACGTGATGTAATCAATTCAACACTCTTCTTGCTTCATTTGACAAGTCCATAAAACTCAACACTATATGCAACACTAAAATAGACAATAGGAGTTCCGAGTTTGACATCAAAGCTTAAATCTCTAGTATCATTTAGAGCGGGTACTCACAAATTCAAGTTCTTATTTGCAAAAGGCACCTGCTCGCTGAGGAGCAAAGAAATTGTAGCAAGAAACAAACCAGATGGTTGCTTCCCTCCAATCAGTATTCTTTTTTCGGTAAATTGGACCTTAAAAAGGTGAAGATAGAATGAAGAGGTCTGCAAAAAGGACAGCAGTGTAAGTCAGCATGACATTGTTTTGATGCTAAATATTAGATTCTACAGTAATACTAGTAGAGCACATAAGAAAAAAGAGAATCAGATAAGTAGTCCAAGCCCCCCCATCAAGTAATTGAGAAAATAATTGAAAAAAGGGTACTAATATTAGACAAATTAAACTTCGGAGAAAAGAAAAGAAAAAGGAAAGCCATTTAACATTGCCTATTGGAAATATGATTAACTATATTTCTTCTCACATTACGTCAAATTCTTTCTTTTGGGGGTCAATACAAAGTAATTGTCGCATAAGGAAAGACTAAAATTGCAGACTAGTAGCTGGAGAACAAACACTGACTTGCTAATTGGCGTCAACTTCTGGCTCTCAGTCCCTTAGGATATAATATCCACCATGGAGTTTCTCTTATCTCGTTTATTGTAAGACCATGAAGCATATTCATTTGACTTCAATTAATTCATTCAATATCTCATTATATTCAGTATATTTTAAAATGGAACAATGAATATACACAGAAATATCTTAAATCCACAACAATTCACAAGAACCTATACAGACTGCATTGCACTAAAAAAATTAATCAAGTGTCAAAACTACAAATGAACACAATGGTAGTGTCCATGGGCCCAAAACTTACAAGAACAGCGATCAACTTGGTATCAGGACTCCAAACAGCCTGCAAATTCTCACCCTCCCTCTGAACCGATTCGGAATCTCTTTTATACTTCCCCAATCTCACCCTATGCTGAATTCAAATCAAAAACAGGGAATTTCAAAATCTAGACACACAAATTCAGATTTAGAAGTATATATAGAGAGGGGATGGAACCTGAGAAGAGCTCCAGAGCTCTATGTGCGTCGGAGCGACAACAAGCAATAACCGATTGATTGCTTTGAGGTAAATGATCTGGTGTGAAGCAGGACACAGTCCAGATTCCAGAGGGATGACCTGTGGCCATCCATATGCCATATACATCTTCGAATTCTTTATGGTTTATATACAGAGAGAAAGAGAGATATTAAAGATCAGACAGAAGAAGTTAGGGCTTTCGTTGGAACAGATCCAAGCAATTCTAGCAGAGAGACAGAGAGAGAAAGACTGGTTCCAATCCTCCAAGAGCTTGGTTCTTGAATCTGTCACATCCACTCAACCAGTAATAGCCGCATCACACACACACTCTTTCAGAGTAATTTAGAGACCGAAAGAAACATTAAGATCAGAGATAAAGACGTTAGGGTTTTCGGTGGAAAAGATCCAAAGGAAACCTCGCAGATAGAGGAGAATAGAGAATGGTTCCATTCCTCCAAGAATTTTTAGAGAGAGAAAGATGCATTAAAGATCAGAGAGAGGACGTTAGGGTTTTCGATGGAAGAGATACGAAGCAATTTTGAGAGAGAGAGACAGAGAATGGTTCCACTCCTCTCAGTTTGGTTCTTGAAACTCTCAGATCCACTCTACCTGTAATGGTCGTCTCTCTCTCTCTCTCTCTCCCCTCCCTGTCCCTTTTCTTGGGTTTTCAGCCCAATTTTGTCATTTGTAGGCCACAAGTAAATAAGTCAGGAAAGAAACTGGGCCAATCTCTAATATCTAAGCCCAGGACTCCATACTTTTAGACAAGGCCTTTCCAATCCGTTAAGGGCCCCTCTACTGTATATATAATCAACAATTACATCAAACCCCCCAAAAGTTTGTAGAATATTTCCCTTACCCCTTTGGATGTAATATTCAGTTGCCCAATCATTTCAGACCATGATATTTCCACTAACGTACATATAATCAAAAATTACACTAACCTCCCCAAAATTTTGTAGAATTTTTGCCAGAAAACATTTAAGTTGCCCAATCATTTTCAGGCCATGCAAAAATAGCATAAACATTGGGGGACAACGATCTCGGCTTGATTATGCAAAAGCCCAATCAAAAGGTGGGTCTTCACCATCATCCAAACCATTTTGTTTGTTTTGATAGATAAGATGTGCGTGGTTTTATGAGTGGTTATATTTTATTTCAAACTTATGTAATAGTTATTAGTCTAAAAAACACGTGATGGAACCGTTCTCAATTATATAAAACACCAAACAATTTCATAAAAAGAATTGTTCAAACTTTTTAGGCATCCAAGATGTGGCCTCTAGCCCTCCAAAAATAGCATAAACTTTGGAGTTGTATGGTGTGGAGATGATGATAGGAAGGCAATTGGGGCCACAACTCTTCGACTTTGCTATTATTTCACTATCGAAGTCCGTTCAAAATAGAGTATTCATCCTTCCTCAAATTGTAATGTTTTAGTTGATCTGATGTGTGTTATTTGCCGGAGATTACGTGTATTCAAAGTTTATGTGACAGTCACGGGTTTAAAATATGCGTGTTTCGAACGACGCTAAAAAAACTAAACCTGATGGGAATGCTCACGAAATAAATAAATCATCTAAGTTTGATCATCACCAACACAATAAGTGATAAATATTTATTTTTTTATTTTTTTGCTTCAGTAAAGGGGAGAAAGGTGACCAGTAGGTAGTATTTCCCATTGGGCGTGATCATGAGGGTCCTTCCATTGTGAAATGTCCGATTTGAATTATAACTACTGATCCAAAAGGGTAACTCATCATTATAGTACCACCAAAGTCAAACATCAAACCGCATTACTCTCGTGAATTAAACATTACTTGATAACTATATGAAAATCAAGGACGACCTAAGATAGTATTAATAAACATGTTTGCACAAACTTTGGAGTGGTGTGGTTTGGAAAACATGATAGGGAGGCAATTGGGGCATAACTTGTCTAGGCTTGGTTATATAAGCATAGCCCAATCAAAAAGGCCAGTGACTTCATGTTTAAAAGAGGGTATTGAACCTCATGCAAAGCCACAATGGTTTTGTTTTGTTGGTTGGCCAGGGTTCTCACCACCGACGCTATTCGTAATCTCTCTTCGTCCTCCAATCTTTGGTCTACTCTCATGGACCTCTTGATTCTCCTTGTCTTCCCCACTCTCAAGTGGATGGGACCCACAAGCCATTTGGTCCCAATATCTACTTTTTAATTTGCCACTTTTTCTTTTCTTTTCTTTTTTCTTTCTAGATATCATTAAGTTTTCAAGAAACATCAGTACAAGCCACCCCTTATTAGATTCTCCAATTAGAATTTGACCGACATCCAGGCTCACGGACCGATCATAGAACCCGGTTCAATAATTGGAGCTACAGCCCCTTCTCCTGTGGTAATTTCTTATTTTAAATTTTACTTATATTAAGTCGGATTTTGTGTTTTATATATAATCGCATACAGTCAGATTCATATCATAAATAATTTTGTCATGTCAAATGAATTTTTTATCGTGTCTGGTTGATAAACCTAACTGTAATCTAAATATGTTGAGTTTAATGTCATGTACAGTAACATTTGTGTCAATTTTGTATGGAAAAGTTAAAGTTAGGCCATGAAAATAGGGTGACCCAAGTCAAGATTTGGTAGAAGAATCAAAGAAGATTTTGGATTAGATTTGGATTCCTTGGTGGGTCTTGATGATTTGTAGCACTGATTATGTGACTTAAAAACAATATAAAATTATTGCAATTGGAGAGATCTCAAGAACAAGATCTAATAGTTTAATCCCTCAACATGAATCAAGTGAATTATAGTATTACAAATGGTAAATTACATGATATGCACTAAGTTTTAGTGAAATGACATGAAAATCCATTATTAGCTTATTAGTCATATTATGTTAGCCGGGGCCGAGTCAAAAATCTTTTATAGGGTGGACACACTCTAACTATAGGATTTAATTTTTTCATCCATGGTTAGGTAAAAATTCATTAAACACACAAAGGCCAATAGGCAATATACATGACATAGTCTACATTCATGTATGTTAGGGTGTGCACACATAAATCCTGAATACAAAGTGGAACATCACTTCATTCAAATGTATAAACTTATTTATTATTCATATTAATAGATCATGTCATTCGCAGATTCTTACCGTATAATAGTAATCCTATATCTACTAATTTTCAAGTTAAATTGGCATCATTATTTGACATAAAAAATAAGGCCATTTGATGAAACATGTCATGTCTAGTTTGTGTCATAATCAAGCTTGCTCAACATATTTTTCGATTACCATTGAGTGATTAATTTAGTAAGTAAAAACTCAAATTTTATCGCTCTATGTTTGAGTTCAAGTCTTCATAGTTATGACAATTCAATAAAACTAAATATATTCTTCAACACTCAAAACACGTTATAGAATGTTAGCTTTAGTCACAATATAAGTGCAGTGAAATCTCTCACGGTTAGAGCGATCTNATACATGACATAGTCTACATTCATGTATGTTAGGGTGTGCACACATAAATCCTGAATACAAAGTGGAACATCACTTCATTCAAATGTATAAACTTATTTATTATTCATATTAATAGATCATGTCATTCGCAGATTCTTACCGTATAATAGTAATCCTATATCTACTAATTTTCAAGTTAAATTGGCATCATTATTTGACATAAAAAATAAGGCTATTTGATGAAACATGTCATGTCTAGTTTGTGTCATAATCAAGCTTGCTCAACATATTTTTCGATTACCATTGAGTGATTAATTTAGTAAGTAAAAACTCAAATTTTATCGCTCTATATTTGAGTTCAAGTCTTCATAGTTATGACAACTCAATAAAACTAAATTTATTCTTCAACACTCAAAACACGTTATAGAATGTTAGCTTTAGTCACAATATAAGTGCAGTGAAATCTCTCACGGTTAGAGCGATCTAATTGTATTTCTAATTTACACACCTAAAAGAAAGCGAGTTATATCTGTGTTAATATCCTATTTAAATCCTTATGCTTTTAAAAAAGTGCATGCAATAATCTTTTTAACCAATTAAAATTTAAAACACGTTGAATGTAAGCAATTTCTTGCAACTTGCACCAAATAGGGCCAATTTCTAATCATATGGTGACCCCCACTATACAGCGCCGTCTTTTACTAAACTAACGGCTCTCTCAGATTTACTAGTCCGCACTCTCCAATCATAACAGATTAGACTGGTCCTTCCGATCACTCACCTCCCTTTCTATTGGAACATTCAAATACTCCAAGTCACAGCCAGTCATTCTAGTAATCAACCATACTTTTACTGTTCAACTACTATATATATCTAACCATTCTTAGGTTAATCAATCTGGAGCTTTCTCTCTCACCATCTCCTCCTACAGCCGTGTCCTCTCTCTCTCTCTCTTAATGGGTTTTCCAGTGGGTTACACGGAAGTTTTCCTTCCCAAACTCTTCATACACACACTTTCCCTTCTGGGTTTCATCAGAACTCTCATTTTCTCTCTCTTCCGCTTTCTGGGTCTCTCAGATTTCCTCGAACCAGACGTTTCCTTCCTAGAAAACACGACCCAAAGACCTGAAAACCCCCCTCTATCCGCAATCCTGATCCGGGAAATCTTACCGGTGGTGAAATTCGAGGATCTCACAGACGCAGGAGCCGGAGATCTGCCGGAAAGTTGTGCGGTTTGTCTCTATGAGTTTGAGTGTGGGGAAGAGATCAGATGGCTGACGAATTGCAAGCACATTTTCCATCGGGCTTGTTTGGACCGTTGGATGGACCATGATCAGCAGACTTGTCCTCTTTGTAGGACCCCTTTTGTACCACATGATTTGCGAGATGAGTTCAATCAACGGCTATGGGCTGCCTCTGGTATTTCTCAAGACTTCTATGGTGACTATAATTCAATTTCTGGGTTATAAACTTGAAATTATTGATGGGTTTTTGTTTTTGAGACATATACAATGTATAAACACAAAAAAAAAACGGCTTGAATCTTTGTTTTTTTTTTGAACTTTTTGTATATATGATTGGACAGAGATTCTGACTCTAACTATTCTGTAGTGGCGATATAGATTCTCTCATAGTTGGGGCAAGGATTGATTGAGTTGAATTTTATTATTGTATGGATTTTCTTTCTTATTTTAATTTGATTTTCGTATTATACATCTTGGTTTGTCCTTTATTTCATAAAAGATCAAAACTTTGTAATCTCATAACTATACAGGTAAATAATCATGATTTATTATTAGATGTTAATATGACATAATATTACTATGTTACCCGAATAAATTTTGTGAGGTGAGGTGGATTTGAAGGTAGTGGTGTCAAATGAAGTGGATAGTAGTCTTGATAATGTGATATTGCTGTTGTTTGATTCAATTTGACCCGACCCATAGATTTTGTGAGGTTGGTTTGAAGGTTATGAGGATCAAATGAAGTGGGTGGTTGAAGTTTATCAGGCTGTGGAGCTGGTGGTGGATTTGATTGAATTGAATTGGGAGACTGAAGACAGGGTACTAGTGTTTTTTGGCGTTTGGCTGGTTGGTGAAGACTTACAGCGGAGTAGCGTAAAACATGAGACTGATGGAGTTTGTTAAACAACAATGTTTGGTGCAAGCAGAAAAATCATAACCGATTTCATTCGAGAGTCTTGTCACCAATCCACACTGCAGCAGTGTAAAATGAATCGTATTTTGTCCTGGTTTTTGTGACAAATCCATTATTATTATTTTGTTGATTTTTGATTTTAAAATGATTCTGGGAGATTTAAAATTTTCTTTGTCGTTAAATTTGATTATTTGATCCCTGTTCATTTTATGGAAAATAATACATGAACATACAATGTTAATGACTAACTCAAAAGGATAGATTAAGTGGTAATAAGAACGAGTTATAAACGCAAGTGTCTTGAATTCAAATTTTAATAACTTCTTAAAATTAAGTTATGTTTCTCATAAAAATTGTAGTGTTAACGTGGATAGCTTGTCTTTAATCAGATTAAAAAAAAATTTATTAAAATATGTGTAAACTAGTCTAAATATCGTTGACCGTCAAATTACGAAGAAAATTAATAANTCATAAAAATTGTAGTGTTAACGTGGATAGCTTGTCTTTAATCAGATTAAAAAAAATTTTATTAAAATATGTGTAAACTAGTCTAAATATCGTTGACCGTCAAATTAAGAAGAAAATTAATGATTTATTTTTGATTAAATCGAAAAAAATATAAATTGAGGTAGAAATTAATTGACATAAATTTGTGGGACACTTAAAATATTAGGAGGGAAGACGTGGCCACATAAATCAACACACCCCTGTAAAGTGTATGACACTGCAAGTTTTTGTCTTTTTAATCTTTGTCTGCTGGCTCTGCGAAAGACAGACAGACAGAGACCTACAAAAGAATGGGTGCTGCATGAACTTTCGTGCTCAATGATCTTCAACTTTGGATTCTGTGCTTCATCAATTTTCAGTAATTGCTACCAAATGAAAGTGAAATTGCAACAAACATAATAACAAGTTTTCGGGATCGACTTAATGTTTTAGGTCCAACAGAACATATGAGACCGATCCAAATGTTTCAAAATCAAAAATAATTCAAAACTGAGTTGTAACTAGTTTTTATTTAGGTTCGAGTTTGGTTAAACGGGTTCATGTCAAATTATAACAGGTTCATATAAAAAATATTCTACTCATATTCAATTTATTTGTTAATTCATATCTAACAAATCGTGTCATATTAAATTTATATCGTGTGTAAATGTTGTATAACTAATATATAAATAAGTCGTGTTGTATATTTTTTTTACACTAGTTTACTAAACAGGTGACTTGCCTATAATTTTGTGTCGTATCAAGTTTGTATTATGTATGAACCATGTATAACTAATATATAAATAAGTTGTGTCATGTATTTTTTTTAATTGTTTTCACTCATATCCTATTCTTTTATTAATTGTGTCGTGTCAAGTCCACATGTTTACTAAACAGATGATTTAAAAAATATCTAAACCCTCTAATTTTAAATCGTATTAACAGATCGTATCGTATTTTGATACCCCTAATTTTAACCACGTTCAATATACATAACCCAAATAGCAGCAGAAAGGGTTAAAATTTAGCACGGAAATATGCAAGTACCATAAATACTGACAAGTATAAGAATCAGAGCAAACACTATTTTACAAAGTTTCTGTTTTACCGATTGGTATAGTATCTATGATTTGGTAATTGAAACCAGGATTCAAATGAAATCTGAGGAACAAAATTAAGAAAGACAGTGGTCACGATCACCTGGGATAGCCAGGAGGAGGATAAGCTGCTGGAGGATAATTGGCTGGTGGGTAACCATGGGCTTGAGGTGGTGGAGGGTAGCCATAGGGGGGTCCATATGGTGGCGGTGGTGGATATCCGGCTGTCGGAGGAACTGGCATATCCATACGAGACATCTGTTGAACAGGAGGCACTGCCATCACTGGTTGTGGTCCAAACTTGCCATCTCTTCTATCCAATTCTACCTTGTGCTGGGTCTGCATTAACCACGGCAACTCCATTTAGAATGAGAAAATAACAAATTATACATAATAAAAAAAAGAAAATCAACCCCTCCCCATTTTCAAAACAGAGGGACCGCTGTTTAGTGGTAAAATTCAGCCTCCTGCGTGTTCGAATTTTAGGATAACGCCTTTTGTCCAAATAATGTCAAAAATTAGCTATGTATCCAATCTATCCCTCCGGGACTAAACTGGGTGCTAAGTTTATCCCAATTAAAAAAACTGAGAACCCTCTACCATATATACATGTCAAGCAATGCTATGTGCACAAAAAATATGCACCTATTCACTTGCAGTCGTTGGATCAATGATTCCCACCATTGCCCCAACAACAACAGTGAATTTGGTGCACATAGAATTACCATACATGTCCAGGAAACCAGCTGCTTAAGACTAATCAAATTATGGGGAAGAGCAAAAGGAAGAACTTTTCTTTTAACATGTAACTTCATATAGCGTATGGTATGATATCCAGAAGAAAATTCCTCCACTGCAGTCACTTTTCTATAATATCACGTACCTGCATACAAGGGCAGACCCTGCCAAAAACAAAAGTAGTAGTAGATTTAGAACAGGCTTTCAGGAACTTCTGAGATGAGGTTGACGGGTTTGTTTTGAAAAAACTTACGTGCAATAAACAATGTCAGACAAGCAGTTCAACAGTTGAGAAGCCTCTCCGATCTCTTCACTTCCTGTAATACAAGCAAGAAGGGAAAATATGCAGGCCAGCTGTTGGAGGCAGAACATGAATCCCTACCAAACAAACCAATGCATACAAGTGAACAGAACTCAGAAGCAGGCAAAATAGAAAGCTCAACACATACACACACACACATCCAGAGAGAGAGAGAGAGTACAATGATGCAGTTATCGCATTTCGTAGTCTGTATGTTGAACTCATCTTGCAACATAAAGCGTGTCGAGGCCACTGAATTTGCAAAGCAAAGAAAAACCTGAACAAAGGAAAAAAAGGATGCACTAAGGAATTAATAGATAGATATCGAGGGCAGATGAGAGATACATAGTGGAGCTGCAGTTATTCTAGTACTGAATAAAATTCAAAAGAAACTTAAGAGCAAAATTATGTCAATGCCATACCTCAGTACAAAGGCAAAGCTCAGGGCAATGACTCTCTCCACATCGGCCACTGCATGGCATATAGCCACCACAGCATGTATACCTACATAACAGAAAATTATAAGATGACACACCAAAAGATCAGTTTGATTTGCCTTTATTTATACTATGAAAAAAGATATATACCAACCTTGACATATCATTGTAAAGAGCTCGTTTGCGGAGCAAGTATGATGCACAGGGGCCACTACAACATAATGCACACAGATTAGTAGGCTACATCAGGTTAGAAGATCATAATAAGCCCACCATATATAGTTTACATTTGTATGGCAACAAGCACAAAAAATAAAATGATGAACAAACGGCATCATTTTTTTTTTTGGTCTGGACAAGAGGCATCATAGAAAAGGAAAATAAAAGAGGTGTCACAAAATAAGAAAAAAAAGTGGGCCGGGGGAAGAGATTTTCTTTCTCCTCCCAATCTTAGGATGCAGGGCATAGATGAATACTGATGCCAATTGGTGGAGAAGTGAAAAGATGTAAGTTGGAGCACATTTCTCTGTCAAAGAGGTAGTATAGCATTTTTCTCCCTCAACCAGCTCCCCCTTCCTCCTGGTAGTTGTCTTCTTTTTTGGCACTGACATCAATATTCCTATTTTCTTCCTTGAGGGAAGAGCACTCCTGTTGCTCTTTGTTTGCCCTCATTCAGTTGTTCATTCTGTTTGAAGGGCCAAACCCAAACTAAACATTACGTATTAGTTCAAGTAGTTAATAGACAAAAAATTTACGAAGAAAGTATAATATCCATTCATAAACCAAATCATCGAAAACTGTAATAACTAACTTCTTCCTGACTAATTGTTGTAGTTTGTTTTTTTAACCATTATATCAAACCATACCACTAAACACATACTAGTTTCATTAAACAGTCTGTCTGCTAAGACTCAATTCGATGAACAAATGAAAACGGTATGTGTATGCGGTGAAGCTTCATCAGTAGACATCTTTGTCATAGGCATTTCATTGGCCTTCATCGAATATGACAAAGCCATCTCACTTGACATTAAGCAACCTGTTTATGCTGATCAGAGGATCCTGTGGCAGTGTCAGGTGCCAACTTCAGATGTTCCAAAAAATCACTACTAGGTGACAAACATAAAGCATTTGGTAAAACCCCAATCAAGCAAGGCCAAATCCTACACAGTTTTGCATGATAGGGGTTGCAAAAATTTTTGTAAACCCTTCCCAGCCTCTTCTGCAACTGTTACCTGGTGAACTTTATAGTATTTGAGTTCCTGCATCCAAGGTCGTTTCAAAAAGGCCATTGCTCACACACGATGACCAAGAGGGAAAAATGAAATGAGAAAATATTTAGTCCCTACATAAGTTCCTAAAGAACTGGCCCTTAGAATAACGGGGAATTAATCATTGCTCCTGAACCCACAAGAAGCCTATTCTTGAGGAGTGACAAAATCGCTGCTCTTGCACTCACCTTTCTGAGCTCTCAGATGCTATTGCTACTTACCCAATAGTACCTGATTTATGAGGTGTATAGGCTTTTGCCAACATAACCAGGACTGACAAAAGCAAAAGCCCACCTTCACAACGCTAAAACTACTAACACCCTCTGCTTCGAATCCTTGTATTATATGTTGTTTAACTATCACAACCCAAAAACGAGGGGAGAAAAGGAAAAGGGAAGGGAGACAAAGAAAAAGAAAGAGAGAAAAGCCCAAAAATCTTAACACAAAAAACACACAGAGAGGGGCATTGATACACCCAACCACTCAAATGAAGACAGAATTAATATTACCATCACTAGAATCACAAAAACTTACAACTTACGGAGATATTCCTATCAAAACCAATGTTAACTGAATCGTGGGTCACTTTGATACGTGATATGGATACACGGTACGACACTTTTCTTAGACAACTTAGTTGGTATATTATTTTGGATTACAATTTGTTTTAGAACTCTTATTTAGATATTTTTCATTACTACACAACATAATATATCATAGAATATTCATAAACACTAAGTCAATTACTATTTATCTGACATTTGTGCTCGATTTTATATTATCTAAAATAATATATAATTAATAAATCTATATACACATAGTCAATTAATATGTATTTTATAGTTGTGGTACATGTTCCAAAGCGAATTGATTTCGAGTTAATATTATAATTTAGGGTCGTATATTTTGGTAGTCTGGATCACGATCTCATCTTGTTTGGGATCAATAATTTAATAAATTCTGATAACTATGATCAAAACAAATCAGAATTTCCTGAATTTCACACCATATGACCATAAAGTTAAGCTCTATTCCATAGTATTCAATCGAATAGCTATAAAAATTCCCAGAAAACACTTGATGAACAAGACTTGGAGAGATGAAACTGGGAGGTGGATTGTAATGCCCAGCATAGTTACCAAAGAAACAAAGAGAGGAAATTACAATTATATATTCGATAGAATACTTGATTTCAAGTTTATCAAACTGTATAGAATCAATTTTTCAAAGCGTATAACCTCAAGGACAAAAACTAAGGTGCTATAAATCAATTTTTCCGTTTTTGTTAGTAAACCATTCTCTCTGTTCTGAAACAAATTTCCATTCCTGTTTCTTCTTTTTCTTTCGACTTCACTGTTCATTGAACCAAAAAGAGTCCTAATAATCTAACCTAAAAAACCAGCATTATTTCAATTCATCATAAGCAATGAGATGCAAGAGTCAGCGATCCAGAAAAAAAAATTGTCAATTCTCTTTTCGAAAGAATTAACAACAGTACTCGCAACTAACACAAAAGATGAGAGAGAAAAATAGAATTTAACAACGCATCAACAAGCGTGAGGTGAACGCAGTACTCACCACAAGAACGCAAAGCAGCAAACTGCAAAAATCAAATGAAAACAACGAAAAACAATAAGATCAGAACAAAATATACAAAGTAAAGAACAACAATAGTGTACAAAAAAATAGAAATCGATTCGAAAAAATCAGATATTGAGGAGGAGAATACGAAAAAGGTCCGTACATGGCGGATCAGCCACAATGGTGTGCACGAGATCGGTGCGCCAAAGGTTCGGATAGTTCTGACGCATCGTCATTTTGTCAAGATTCGCCGTCGACCCCATTGCCCGTCTGTCCGTCCGTCCGTCCGTCACAGAGAACCCCCAATTCCTTGAGAAAAAAAAGCACTCTGTGTGCGAGAGAGAGAGAGACCGTTATTTATATAATCTCCGATTCCGTCTAAAATAATTATTTAAAATATATTTAAATATTTATATTATTTATTTTAATTAATTATTTTTTCAAATTCACTCTAATAACGTTATCTATTTTAACTAATCATTTCAATTAATTTTTAATAATAAAATTCAAAAAATAGCAATTCAACTATATATTGTACAAATTTCATCAATTGTAGGCTACAAGAAATAACCCACCTCTCAAATATTACTATTTTTAAACTAAATTCTTTTAAATTAAATCACAAAATTCAAAACAAAATTACCTCAAATTACACAATTAACTGAAGTCAGATTTTTTAGAGAAATTTATTGAATTTTTAGGAGGTTTTATTGAATTTTTTGGGAGTATTGATGAATTTTTGAGAAAGTTTATTGAATTTTTGAAAAAAATAAAATTATCAAAAAAAAATAAAAAAATAACTAATCCGTTGAAACCACGTTTTAAGGAAAAAACTGTCTAAAATAACTAAAATGAGGTTTTAGCTGCCTTTTAGAGTTGCTCTTAATGGGAACGTATAGACGAGAAAGGGTAGCAGTGGAAGTCCATGTCCACATGGTACAGCTAAGATCGCGACCGGCAGGAAGTTGACGAGGGAATATTACAATGCAAATTGACGTACGGTAATATGAAACAACTGCATATCATATCCGTCTAATGTGGATATATTTTCATATCAAAATCAGAATATGATTTAAGGTAGCAAATGAATCGGACGGTTGCTGTGGAGGGGCAGTGGGCCCAACAAGAAGACAACCAAAAATTTTGCATGTAAAATCGTGAATACAAATAAATATTAAGAGTCACGACTATACCATGTTACAACGGACATGTGTATTAAGTTGCTAAAAATATTATAAATAACAGCTCATTCTGGAGTAAACATTCTGTAATGATGGCATCATGTTTAACATTATCATATAACCGCTTAATTATTTATATAATAAAATAATTTATAAATAAAATTTTAAAAGATAAATAAAATAATTTTTATTATTCGCAGTTGAGATCGTTTTAAATTTTACTTTAAAGTTAATCTAATGGCTAATATTAACATTCTAAATTTAATAGGAAAAATAGATCCCTAAATNTTTTTTTTTTGGTCTGGACAAGAGGCATCATAGAAAAGGAAAATAAAAGAGGTGTCACAAAATAAGAAAAAAAAGTGGGCCGGGGGAAGAGATTTTCTTTCTCCTCCCAATCTTAGGATGCAGGGCATAGATGAATACTGATGCCAATTGGTGGAGAAGTGAAAAGATGTAAGTTGGAGCACATTTCTCTGTCAAAGAGGTAGTATAGCATTTTTCTCCCTCAACCAGCTCCCCCTTCCTCCTGGTAGTTGTCTTCTTTTTTGGCACTGACATCAATATTCCTATTTTCTTCCTTGAGGGAAGAGCACTCCTGTTGCTCTTTGTTTGCCCTCATTCAGTTGTTCATTCTGTTTGAAGGGCCAAACCCAAACTAAACATTACGTATTAGTTCAAGTAGTTAATAGACAAAAAATTTACGAAGAAAGTATAATATCCATTCATAAACCAAATCATCGAAAACTGTAATAACTAACTTCTTCCTGACTAATTGTTGTAGTTTGTTTTTTTAACCATTATATCAAACTATACCACTAAACACATACTAGTTTCATTAAACAGTGTGTCTGCTAAGACTCAATTCGATGAACAAATGAAAACGGTATGTGTATGCGGTGAAGCTTCATCAGTAGACATCTTTGTCATAGGCATTTCATTGGCCTTCATCGAATATGACAAAGCCATCTCACTTGACATTAAGCAACCTGTTTATGCTGATCAGAGGATCCTGTGGCAGTGTCAGGTGCCAACTTCAGATGTTCCAAAAAATCACTACTAGGTGACAAACATAAAGCATTTGGTAAAACCCCAATCAAGCAAGGCCAAATCCTACACAGTTTTGCATGATAGGGGTTGCAAAAATTTTTGTAAACCCTTCCCAGCCTCTTCTGCAACTGTTACCTGGTGAACTTTATAGTATTTGAGTTCCTGCATCCAAGGTCGTTTCAAAAAGGCCATTGCTCACACACGATGACCAAGAGGGAAAAATGAAATGAGAAAATATTTAGTCCCTACATAAGTTCCTAAAGAACTGGCCCTTAGAATAACGGGGAATTAATCATTGCTCCTGAACCCACAAGAAGCCTATTCTTGAGGAGTGACAAAATCGCTGCTCTTGCACTCACCTTTCTGAGCTCTCAGATGCTATTGCTACTTACCCAATAGTACCTGATTTATGAGGTGTATAGGCTTTTGCCAACATAACCAGGACTGACAAAAGCAAAAGCCCACGTTCACAACGCGAAAACTACTAACACCCTCTGCTTCGAATCCTTGTATTATATGTTGTTTAACTATCACAACCCAAAAACGAGGGGAGAAAAGGAAAAGGGAAGGGAGACAAAGAAAAAGAAAGAGAGAAAAGCCCAAAAATCTTAACACAAAAAACACACAGAGAGGGGCATTGATACACCCAACCACTCAAATGAAGACAGAATTAATATTACCATCACTAGAATCACAAAAACTTACAACTTACGGAGATATTCCTATCAAAACCANAATGAAGACAGAATTAATATTACCATCACTAGAATCACAAAAACTTACAACTTACGGAGATATTCCTATCAAAACCAATGTTAACTGAATCGTGGGTCACTTTGATACGTGATATGGGTNCTCATATTCAATTTATTTGTTAATTCATATCTAACAAATCGTGTCATATTAAATTTATATCGTGTGTAAATGTTGTATAACTAATATATAAATAAGTCGTGTTGTATATTTTTTTTACACTAGTTTACTAAACAGGTGACTTGCCTATAATTTTGTGTCGTNATATTATTTTGGATTACAATTTGTTTTAGAACTCTTATTTAGATATTTTTCATTACTACACAACATAATATATCATAGAATATTCATAAACACTAAGTCAATTACTATTTATCTGACATTTGTGCTCGATTTTATATTATCTAAAATAATATATAATTAATAAATCTATATACACATAGTCAATTAATATGTATTTTATAGTTGTGGTACATGTTCCAAAGCGAATTGATTTCGAGTTAATATTATAATTTAGGGTCGTATATTTTGGTAGTCTGGATCACGATCTCATCTTGTTTGGGATCAATAATTTAATAAATTCTGATAACTATGATCAAAACAAATCAGAATTTCCTGAATTTCACACCATATGACCATAAAGTTAAGCTCTATTCCATAGTATTCAATCGAATAGCTATAAAAATTCCCAGAAAACACTTGATGAACAAGACTTGGAGAGATGAAACTGGGAGGTGGATTGTAATGCCCAGCATNCACCTCTCAAATATTACTATTTTTAAACTAAATTCTTTTAAATTAAATCACAAAATTCAAAACAAAATTACCTCAAATTACACAATTAACTGAAGTCAGATTTTTTAGAGAAATTTATTGAATTTTTAGGAGGTTTTATTGAATTTTTTGGGAGTATTGATGAATTTTTGAGAAAGTTTATTGAATTTTTGAAAAAAATAAAATTATCAAAAAAAAATAAAAAAATAACTAATCCGTTGAAACCACGTTTTAAGGAAAAAACTGTCTAAAATAACTAAAATGAGGTTTTAGCTGCCTTTTAGAGTTGCTCTTAATGGGAACGTATAGACGAGAAAGGGTAGCAGTGGAAGTCCATGTCCACATGGTACAGCTAAGATCGCGACCGGCAGGAAGTTGACGAGGGAATATTACAATGCAAATTGACGTACGGTAATATGAAACAACTGCATATCATATCCGTCTAATGTGGATATACTTTCATATCAAAATCAGAATATGATTTAAGGTAGCAAATGAATCGGACGGTTGCTGTGGAGGGGCAGTGGGCCCAACAAGAAGACAACCAAAAATTTTGCATGTAAAATCGTGAATACAAATAAATATTAAGAGTCACGACTATACCATGTTACAACGGACATGTGTATTAAGTTGCTAAAAATATTATAAATAACAGCTCATTCTGGAGTAAACATTCTGTAATGATGGCATCATGTTTAACATTATCATATAACCGCTTAATTATCTATATAATAAAATAATTTATAATTAAAATTTTAAAAGATAAATAAAATAATTTTTATTATTCGCAGTTGAGATCGTTTTAAATTTTACTTTAAAGTTAATCTAATGGCTAATATTAACATTCTAAATTTAATAGGAAAAATAGATCCCTAAATGTGCATTTGGAATAACTTTTTAAAAATTATTTTTCTTAAATACTTTTAAAAAAATAGTATTTGAAACCGTCTCACTACCTCTACCACCACCGCTGCCACCACTACCACCATCGTCGCCACCACCACCACTCCCACCACCGCCGTCACCATCACCATCACCGTCGTTGTCGCCGTCGCCACCCCCCGCCACTGTCGCCACCACTGTCATTGTTACGCCCACCACCACCACCACCGCTGTCATTGCTATCACGATCATTACCACCACCACAATCATTACCATTTCTTATCATCACCACTGTCTCTCACTACCTCTTATTCTTATCACAAATCGATACTTAAATTCTTTTATTTTTTATTTATATTTATAATTTGATTTTAGACATAAATACAAATATATATTTATTAATTACCATTTTTTATTACTTTGTGCCTTCAGGCACATGCAATAACTAATTTTTTTTTATATAAAGTGATTACTATTTTATATACAAAGATGGTAATTTGAATAAGTGAGATTTATTTTACTCAGATTCCGTTTGGTATCGTTTATGTTTTTCGTTTTTCGTTTTTATTTTGATATTTAGAGAAAACAATAAAAAAAACTCGTTTGATAACCGTTTTTATTTTTTACTTTTTGTCATCGTTTTGTAAACGAGGGACGATTTTCAAAAACGAGAAAAAAAAGTGTTTCATTTTTTATAAAATTAAAAATCGTAAACGTTACCAAACGAGCCCTCACTTATTAGGTTATAATTAAACAATTATATTACGTAATAATAATAAAGTGATACATTATGCGACAATATTGACACGATATAACCTNTAGGTTATAATTAAACAATTATATTATGTAATAATAATAAAGTGATACATTATGCGACAATATTGACAAGATGTAACCTGAATACTTTCTCCTCCATTTGATATGTGAATTTATAATTGACCAGCAAAAAATTCGGGTACGTGGATATGTGGGCCCTAATGTGCTGTTTAATGGGGTTCAATACCATAGTCACGTAATCCTTTAAAATAGTCAAATTTTTGAATTCGAGCTATCATTTTTACAAAATTTATGAATTTGTGCTCTTACTTACTTTTATGCTTACGTGTTATTATCTAAATTTTTATTTGAAAAATATTGATTTATATATAAAAATACATATCAAACTAGAATGATATTATAACCTATAATTATTATTTCAAAATTTTATGATCAATATACATTTAAAAATTAAATAGTTTGTCACATAGTTGTGCATGAAATTTAATTTTTAATATTTAATTTTTATTAAATTTTATAAGTACATATCTATCTAGATGCATATAATACGACGTTGTCACTTAAAATTTTAATTGTAAAGCAAATCTTGAATGTGCTCAAACATTTGCTAATCACGTCACGTAGTATGTTTAATGCAAATTTTGTGCGACTAAAACTANTAAAATTTTAATTGTAAAGCAAATCTTGAATGTGCTCAAACATTTGCTAATCACGTAGTATGTTTAATGCAAATTTTGTGCGACTAAAACTACCCAAACTCAAGTCATGCAGTTTGCGTATTATCACTAAATTGATCACTTGGCCAAGCTCGTCATTTGGATGTTCAAATTTTTGATTAGCTCTAAATTTTGATCATATCCTATTTTATCCAATCTTACTAATTAGTTACTCGAAAGAATCGGATAGACAAACTAAAGATTTTTTAATCTATTGTGTTAGTTAATTAGTACAGGTAATTTAATTAAATTGTTAAAATGANTGATCACTTGGCCAAGCTCGTCATTTGGATGTTCAAATTTTTGATTAGCTCTAAATTTAGATCATATCCTATTATATCTAATCTTACTAATTAGTTACTCGAAAGAATCGGATAGACAAACTAAAGATTTTTTGATCTATTGTGTTAATTAATTAGTATAGGTTATTTAATTAAATTGTTAAAATAATCTAAAAATTAATAATTAAAAAATATGTATTCACCCAATTTCCTACCTAACTTCTTACCCAATTGTTTTGGACGGAATTTGAGTAAGAGTAGTACAATTGATAAGGTAGAGTAGGGTAGGGTAGGACAATAAAAAATTATTCCTCAAAATATCGAGTAGAAATATGAAATATTATAATTCCTACTCGTAGGGTAGGGTAAACACCCTCATNTACCTAACTTCTTACCCAATTGTTTTGGACGGAATTTGAGTAAGAGTAGTACAATTGATAGGGTAGGGTAGGGTAGGACAACAAAAAATTATTCCTCAAAATATCAAGTAGAAATATGAAATATCATAATTCCTACTCGCAGGGTAGGGTAAACACCCCCGTNTAGTACAATTGATAAGGTAGAGTAGGGTAGGGTAGGACAATAAAAAATTATTCCTCAAAATATCGAGTAGAAATATGAAATATTATAATTCCTACTCGTAGGGTAGGGTAAACACCCTCATATAAACTTGTTAATATAAAGTTGAAATTCAATTAAAACGCTCAAATTCAAGCTTTGACCGAATTTTATTTTAACAGTTTATATTCGATCTGATTAAAATAAAAAAATCTTGATTAGATTCAAATGACTCAATTAAATTAAAATTTAACAAAATAATTATGAGTTTCGATTCATTTTACTTAACAGCCACCCTATTTTATCACAAAATTTAATTGGATCATATCGAATCACATACTAGTACATTTAAATTTCAATCCATAAAATAAAATATAATAAATTCAAATTTATTNTTCAAATGACTCAATTAAATTAAAATTTAACAAAATAATTATGAGTTTCGATTCATTTTACTTAACAGCCACCCTATTTTATCATAAAATTTAATCGGATCATATCGAATCACATCCTAGTATATTTAAATTTCAATCCATAAAATAAAATATAATAAATTCAAATTTAATTTTTAGATTCAATTTTATAATAATCAAATCAAAAAAACCAATACATTTTTGTAAGCCTACAACCATCCTTTGGCCCTGCCCCGTTAAATATTCGCTTTATGACAAGTTTTCATGACCTAAAACAGTGAGAGTAGCAACGTCAGATGGTTACAATAACGAATCATAAATTTAAATATTGTGAAATTAAATATTGATAATTATTTTAGAGTTAAGGGATTTATTTTTTATAGATATTTTAGTTCTGCCGTACATAATTTATCTTTTACCAAATTAAAGAAGAGATTAATCGAGATAATCGTACCTTGACCCAAATATTACAAAGTGTTGAACTGAAAAAAACAGCAGCGGGTGCTTTTATGCCACATCTGTAATATAGTAAAATCACAAGGGTCCAAATGTAATTTCACTTCAAGTTGANAAATATTGTGAAATTAAATATTGATAATTATTTTAGAGTTAAGGGATTTATTTTTTGTAGATATTTTAGTTCTGCCGTACATAATTTATCTTTTACCAAATTAAGGAAGAGATTAATCGAGATAATCGTACCTTGACCCAAATATTACAAAGTGTTGAACTGAAAAAAACAGCAGCCGGTGCTTTTATGCCACATCTGTAATATAGTAAAATAACAAGGGTCCAAATGTAATTTCANAAAAAAACAGCAGCGGGTGCTTTTATGCCACATCTGTAATATAGTAAAATCACAAGGGTCCAAATGTAATTTCACTTCAAGTTGAAGCACACGACGAAGGGAGAGAAAGCAACAGAAACTTCAGAAAATGCCTCATTATCGAGTTTTGTGATATCTGCTCAACATAGAGACACCCCAAAGACAGACAGAGAAACTTAAATATATATATATATATATATATAAATACTTATATATATGTATATAGAGAAAGAGAGAGAGTTGTAGAGAGAGAAAGGCTTTTGGATCTACCTTTGTTCGTGCCCAAAGCCTCCCCCACCCCCCAAAAACGCCCTCTGCTTCTTCACTTCAGCCATGAGGATCAGAAAGCACGCTAAGATCTCACCTCTCATGTTCTCTGTCTCAGGCTTGAAGACTGAGACTGTCTTCCAGACACATATATGCCAGCTTAACCAATCTCCATGGGATGTTATCACCTTCCCACCTTCAGACCCAGCAGCAACCCCACCACAACCCCCTCCTCCATACCAGGTCAGTTCCATCAATCCTTCTTCCAGTCTCTCTCACACACTCCACTGTGTGTTTACACACAGATCGGTGAAAGCCCATTCCTTACTGTTTTCTAATGTCCCTGCATTTTTTTTTTATCATTTCTGGAATGGTTTAGGGTTTTCTGGAACCCACCCACTAGGGTTTGCCAAAAACCCTAAATTCCACAATTTCTGTCGTGTATTTAGACTGTAATAGTCGATTACTGTGATGGGTTGTTTCTGTTTTGGTCTATTACCATGTATATATCTTGTGTTTGTTTGCTTTTCGAGTTCGATCGATGGCCCTTTTATGCAGGTCGATGGAGACGATTGTTTTACTGGAAATGGGAGCTTCGGAGATTCCATCGGAGCTGTCGAGAGGTAAACCATTAACCATTTCTTCGATTTCGCTATATGTTGTAATTTCTCCGATCTTTTTACCTCTTCGACGATAATTAGGGTTTCTATTATCGATAGTTCGACACCATTGAAATTATTTCCTAATAGTAGACAATAGAGCTTTGATTATCTGAAATTTGAACTGTCGATCGGTTGTGTATCGATAGCGTCGAGTCGATGAGAATTGAGGAAGAGAGAGAAAAGCAGGTAGGGTTGAAGAAAGGAGACACCATTTTGTGCTCGAAAACTGATGGAAAAGGTTGGCATTGCAAGAGAGAGGCCAAGGAAGGGAATTCATTGTGTGAACATCACTTGACACAGCTTCAGAACTACAACAATTTAGCTCATCCTTCTCCAAAAAAACTCTCCGAGAATCGCCGCCGTGCACGGCCTAAGAAGCCTTCATCGTCTTCGAATCCGAATGAGTTTTACTATTACTCCGGTTTCGGACCCCTCTGGGGGAAGAAGAGATGTCCTGGAAGAACCGAAAAAGCTGATCAGCTTAACAGGTGTAGTAGTAGCAGTAATGGTGGCATCATGAGCAAGGTTGTGGAACCTATTGAGCCTGTGATTGAAGTACATACTGCAACTCATTCGTCATCGTTTCGAATTGATAATGATGAATTTGACTATGTTGAGGATGACGACGAGGAAGAAGAGAATGGTGATAAGCCTGGGAAGAAGAGAGTTCGAAAACCGATTAAGGCTAGATCATTGAAATCCCTAATGTGAAGCAGCTCAACAAAACTGTAAAATTGTTGTATTCATGTAGTTTTTTTGTTTTCGTCAGGGGATGGCTGGCGGGGTTGGAATGCATAATTTTAAGGTTTAACAGCGGGACAGTGGAGATTAGACGAACCGCTAACCTTGTGTAATTGGTTTTGTTTAATGGGTTGAGATTATCGTAAATTTTTATGTGTTTGTTCAAGTTATTTTGTGTTAAGACTATGGTTTACAGTATGTTACATTTTTGTGGTGGGTAAGAGTAGCAAGTCTCTTTAAACATGTTGTTATGATTGGCCAATCGTTTGAAATGGAAGGGTAGAAGAAATTTTCTTCTTAAGGTCCATAGTGACGGCTTTACGCTAACACTACCATGTTGCAAACTTTGGGTCTGTTTGAATGGTTTTGGANCGAAAACCGATTAAGGCTAGATCATTGAAATCCCTAATGTGAAGCAGCTCAACAAAACTGTAAAATTGTTGTATTCATGTAGTTTTTTTGTTTTCGTCAGGGGATGGCTGGCGGGGTTGGAATGCATAATTTTAAGGTTTAACAGCGGGACAGTGGAGATTAGACGAACCGCTAACCTTGTGTAATTGGTTTTGTTTAATGGGTTGAGATTACCGTAAATTTTTATGTGNAAAAAAAAAAAAAAAAAATTTGTTATGTTATACAAAAAATCAATGAAAATCTGGTTGTATAGACAATTTTCGAAAAAAAATAGAGAACAAAAGGCTGATTTTAGAGAATAATCAAAACATGTTTTAGAGACAAAACAAGAGAAATAATAGAAACACGGAGAACAGGCATTTAAAATTTTTCCCAAAAAAAAAATTTTTAGATGCTATTTTTCAAGATGTAATTCAAACATACTCATAATATTTGGGTGATATTTTCCCTAGGAAAAGCGCTANACATTTTTGTGGTGGGTAAGAGTAGCAAGTCTCTTTAAACATGTTGTTATGATTGGTCAATCGTTTGAAATGGAAGGGTAGAAGAAATTTTCTTCTTAAGGTCCATAGTGACGACTTGACGCTAACACTACCATGTTGCAAACTTTGGGTCTGTTTGAATGGTTTTGAAAAATAGATTTTTTTTTTGTCCCTTTGGGCACGTGTTTAGACTAGTTCAAGTTTTGATGGTTGATCGTTAAATTTTATAAAGTAATTGACATAAACTTAAACATTTTATAACCAAAAAAAAAATAAAAATTTGTTATGTTATACAAAAAATCAATGAAAATCCAGTTGTATAGACAATTTTCGAAAAGAAATAGAGAACAAAAGACTGATTTTAGAGAATAATCAAAACATGTTTTAGAGACAAAACAAGAGAAATAATAGAAACAAGGAGAATAGGCATTTAAAATTTTTCCCAAAAAAAAAATTTTTAAATGCTATTTTTTAAGATGTAATTCAAACATAATCATAATTTTTGGGTGATATTTTCCCTACGAAAAGCGCANTTCTTTGAATCAGATAATATAAAATTTATCTTCTATTAATTTTTAGTCCCATTGTGAATTATTTTATCGTTAATCAGATTAGAGAAGAGACTAGTCGAGATACACGTAAATTGATTCGAACACACCTTATTGTAATTCAAAAAAAAAAAGACGAAATTATATCATTTTCATTTTAGTCCAAATTTATAATGGATTATGTGTAGGTATTCAAAATATAAGGCGAGTAGAGCCCCAAGAGGATAATTCATAATTTGCCCTAAAAATAATAAGCATATGGCTATATTTAGGATAAATTGTACTTGACAATTTCCAAATAGCATAGGAATCCCATTCAAATATTTTAATAAAATGACATATTTGCCCTTCAAATAGTGGTCAAAAGTGGTAAAAAAAAAATAAAAAATTAAGCTTCAAATAGTGGTCCAATTATTAAGGTTCTACCTTTTGTTTCTAAAATGAGCTTTCTTACATAAGAAGGAAACAAAATATGTGAAACCATATGAAAAGTGGATACTAAGGCCACTTGCATAAAAGCAAAGTAAAGAGATGAAGATTGACAATTTTAAAAGTCAAAGTCAAAATTTAGTAATTTTCTTATAGTCAGGTCACGAGGGATCAATCTTTCATGATTTTCTTTGTCTCAAGGTGGATGGATTGTTTTTGATTAGACCANAAAAATAAAAAATTAAGCTTCAAATAGTGGTCCAATTATTAAGGTTCTACCTTTTGTTTCTAAAATGAGCTTTCTTACATAAGAAGGAAACAAAATATGTGAAACCATATGAAAAGTGGATACTAAGGCCACTTGCATAAAAGCAAAGTAAAGAGATGAAGATTGACAATTTTAAAAGTCAAAGTCAAAATTTAGTAATTTTCTTATAGTCAGGTCACGAGAGATCAATCTTTCATGATTTTCTTTGTCTCAAGGTGGATGGATTGTTTTTGATTAGACCAAGAAATACGCATAAACTGGTATAAATACTCCTAACAGAAATACCAAAAAAAGAAGAAGAAAAAGATCGATTGATCACCGCAAGGTAAGTGGGGTGTTTAACCACTAGGATAAAACCATAGTCCTAATAATCCTTTACTTCTATATGTAATCAATAGTAACCCTTGGGTGTAATTATAAATATTTCATCTACGATAAATATTCGATTTAAATCATAACTATAAATTTGACTTATAATTAAGTTGATCAATTATATTAACGTAATAAAAGAAACCATGTACTAATGAAACTAATAATACATGTCATCACTATCACTTATCCTACCCAACACAACAACACGAAACCTTAACTTTGACACAACATACATAATTTTATATTTTGGTATTGTGACTATTGTCCGTTTTATTCAAGACATTTATAAAACCCACGAACCCAACACACAAATAAAGAGGAGTTTTTTANTGACACAACATACATAATTTTATATTTTGGTATTGTGACTATTGTCCGTTTTATTCGAGACATTTATAAAACCCACGAACCCAACACACAAATAAAGAGGAGTTTTTCAGCATCAAAATATATTTTTATATTTTAATCAATAAAAATATATATGTATTTTTTTATGATATTTTATTAATAATTAAAATTATTCAAATTAAAATAAATAATTTGATTTTTTTTTGACATGGTATCACATAAAAGAGATAGCAAAATATGACACTATCTATTAATACGATATCAATATAATATAAAATTAGAATATTTGAGTATTTTTTAAGTTTCTTGTTTTTTAAATAAGTACATTTAATATGATATAATTAATAAACGAATTAAAAATAAATAAAATTAATTANATAGCAAAATATGACACTATCTATTAATACGATATCAATATAATATAAAATTAGAAGATTTGAGTATTTTTTAAGTTACTTGTTTTTTAAATAAGTACATTTAATATGATATAATTAATAAACGAATTAAAAATAAATAAAATTAATCAAAAAAATAAATAACATGACACAGCTTGATACGGAGTTCTCTCATCTGACATGATTTGATTGCATAATGGGGAGATTAGTGCTTGTGATTTCACAATTACCAACATTGTTCAACTAGACGGAAAAACACTGGTCAACTACGCATCCCAAAAATATTAATATTCTCATTCGTAACCCTCACAAACTTTCCACCATACACTAATTAAATATCTTCAAATTATAAAGTAAACCCAATTTCATATAGATATATAAACACTCAACAACCGTCTCTGTGCTGCGTGATTCTGTCAAAGGAATCGTCAAAATTCGAACATGGCAAAGAATTCGATTCTGGGTAGCTCTTATCTGAATCTAAATCCCTTAATTACATGTACTTTTGTATGTTATATTGGTCTCTGTTTTTCATATGAATCAGTACGGGCCAGTGGTGGGGGTGGTCCGTACAATTCTTTTATTATCTCCAGCTTCACTTATTCTAAAACTGAGCTCAAACCTTACGATTGGCGCTATATCAGAGGTAATGATTTGCTGATTCCTTTTGAGTTTTTTTTTTTCCAAATTAATCAATCTGGGTTCTTGTTTTGTTGCTGTGAATTGCTTTTGAGTTGTATTGTTTGGTGGGTCAAGGTCAAAATTTGATATTTTTTGCTGACTTTAGTGGAATTGGTTTCATGGGTTTTAGAATGAATAATCACGATGATCAGATGAATATTTAATTGCTCTTTAGAGTCAACGTTAGTTTGGTTAGAGTATGTATTTATATGCACTAGATATCTAGCATCTATGAGTTAGTTTTACTATTGAAAGTCACATGTTGATTGCATAAAAATGAAAACTTACTTTTTTGTACAAAGCTTATTTATAGTTAAATTCTTGATTTGGGTTTATGCAGTTTTTTTTCTTTCTGAAATTCCGTTTAGTTTTTGCAGTGATTTTGGTTCTTTTTGTCTGTCATTCTTCTGTTGGAACCTTTTTTTTTGGGGTTGGGGGGGGGGTGATTTTACCTTTAATTGGGAACTTGCTGTCCTCTTTGGAACTTGGTTCTTATGTTAGTTATTACGGGTTTTAATATCTTGAGGGTGAAGTTTCATAGACGAAGCAACATCATGTACTACGGTTGGCTAGATTTGATTCGGCATTATTTACATGAGAACAATCGAGAAAATGACTTGGTGAAAAATGTAGCATAAATTCTTGATTCCTAATATGCTATTTATGACGTAGAGGAGCTTTAAAACTTCCTTGAAAGTGGGATGGCTCCATCTGCCATGCCTTAAAGTTGCTAACTCCTGATACATTAACTAATCTGCTTTCTGAATTTTGTGTGCCACTAAAATATCCAACCCAGAGGTTTGCGGCGCTGTAGCATTATTGACAGATTTAACAGTGTCTATATAAGGATTGATCTGATGACCATGTTTATCCAATTTTACTTTATTAGTCCTTATTGTACCTTTCAACTCTCCCTGTGTCTCTAATGATGATGATAAAGGTAATTGGTCCAAGGATTTTTCCCCTACTCTCTAACTGTCATTTTTGTGGGATGTAGTATATCACAAGTACCTTTTTCCTCCTTCGAAGATTGATAGGGTAATGGTAGTTTGTCAAACTTTTTTTTTTTTTTTGGGGAGCTTTGTCCATTTCTCTTATAATCACTCTGTTGGTTGTCAAAGTGAAGAACATCCTGACTTAGAGATGGATTTACGGCTCATGAATTTGTCAATTAGACACTGTTTTATGTTGTGCCTTAACTGATTTGAATTTTGCATTCCATCTGCAGTTGACTTGCCACCATGGTTTTCATCAATCTCTATAGAGTTCGAATCTAATGTAAACTTTGTAAGTATGTTTGTCAGCCTCTGTAAATTCTATAGCATGTTATCATGCTATTTCTTGCATAGCTTTGTTTCTATGCTTACAAAAGAAAATAAAATAGAGGCTTGATCTATTGTTTCCATATATAATTGTAACGGATAAGTTTTATTGTATGTGTACGCCTTTTTGAAATTTGTTATAAGTAATTGTCCTATGTAACTGTTTTGCATGTCATCTGTTGCCTGTTGTTTCCACCACGCACTTTCTCTTTCACTTTCTCATTCTTGGAGTTCAAATATTTGCAGGATTTCAAAAGCATTGGAAAGGTACCTAAAAACACTGTGCCAATGATTTGCTTCCGAGAAGGCAGCCCCCCTCTGCCTGATGTCTATAACACTATTTTAACAGGACTAGGTAAAAAGAAGTACCCATTTGAATTCAGCTCAACCGGTCTTATATCCATGACATGGCCCCTGGTGGCCATCTTCATGGCAGTGTTGTCACTAAGAATTTCTTAGCATCTATTGATTTGGGTGTTTTATTAAAGTGGTGAAGCAGGAAGTGGACCCCCTTAAAATATTACACATAGTGTCTGTCTGTCTACTTTTGCTTTGAATCTTAGATTTGCTGATATTTCTGGTTTGCTTTGTATTCAGCATGTTTTTAGTCAAATCAAATTTGATATGTCTGGGTTACTAGTTTTCTTTTATATTCTTTGTCTGATGAAATAATAACAACAGTAGTAGAAAAGTAAATACCGGAGTATAATTACAATTATATTAATGGCTTGCCTATTGGTGGGCCTCTCAATTTGGGATTTTGAGCGCAAGCTGTTTAAGAAGATTGCTCTGCTGCTGCAGTGTTAAATCCCATCTCTAATGGGTCTTTTGGAGGGACACGAGGTCTTCAGGTGGTTGAACAGTGCTATCCTATGCAGAGAAATATATCATTGAGGATGACCAATGAGCAGGTTTTTTCAAGATCTTTGACTTTACGTGCCATAGTTTTCACAGTTGATTGTTTTTAAGTTTATGATACCTATGACGGAATTTTACAGTTTGATTGATCTAAATAAATATACCTTGAGAATGCTTCACTTACATTCTTTTATATGTTAATTATAATCTCATAGACATTTTACTGAGTTTGACATCAGATGCTGTTGTTCAGATCTCTTCAGGACTATGGTATTTTGGTCTATTTAATGGCATTGGACCTATGAGGACGCAATCAAAAATGGTACTCTCTATCAGCACTAATACTCAAAATTCCTTTTTTAGATTTGCTTTTGTGCTCTAATTATTTGGCAACATGCTTTGATTTTTCAACCTTCTGTATGAGATATTTACTGTTGTATCAAACATGTGCAATTTAGTTGCTAAAAAGGGCGAGAATGGTGGAAATTTGATGAAGAAAATCATTAAGGGGTGTGGCTGATTATCTAGTTAGGGATATCATGAGGATTGGGTTTCACCATTAATTGATTAAAACTGGGATATTCAGAGAGAAGATGGCTAAGTTGTCAGAAAACTGAATACTCAAAGTTGTTCCTTAAAACATTCACTCTCTTTAGTATGAATGGAAAGCAACTTTAAGTTATTGTAAATGCGAATACCCACTACATATATGCACACTGACACTTATATTTGTTTATTTATTTCTCTTTTAAGATTTTCCTGCAGAAGTTGGGGTTTCTATTGATTTTCTGTCTCCTTTTCCCATAAAAGGGTCCATATCACATGATTTTTTACATTCTAACATATTACATTCAATTGTTTTAAGCTTACAGTTGTTATGGTGTGCCCTTGCAGATTAATCGAGGCCCTACATACTCCTTCAGTGGCAATATAAGTGTAGAAGGATGTACAACGACAATGCTTTGGGGCCAGTACTGCAACCAAACAGTTAATCCACTTTCATGCGTTGACAGCTACAGTTTGACTAAAAATCATTCAGATACTGAATTATACAACCAAACAGCAGCAAATGTAATTGCTTGCACAAATGCAGATGATAATTCTTGCCAGGGAGAAAATGAACTAAAAGTCTACTCCCTGGATGTAATGGGGATTGCCGAAGAGCTAACCATTAGAGCAATGAATGCCAGATTCAATGAATCACAACCTTCAAATGGTTCCAGCAACAGTAGTGGAATCATCTTGATGTGTTATGTTCGGCATGGTGCAATGCCACTGTCAACTTCACATGATTATTCTGGTGATATCAACAAATTCCCTTTGGTTATACGGTCACCAAAAGTTGGTCGCTGGTATATTACTATTCAACCTGCTAATCTCTCGAATGAAATTGGGGGGATTCAAGACATGAGCATAAAAGTTTGTTACGTCTTGGAGTGGCAAGTGCTTCAATGTCCTCTGGATAAGGCTGGGTTGAACTGTACCTGGGAAAGGTACATGCTTCAGGTGGGATATCCGATATCCGATATGCTATAATCTTTGTATCTCTAAATCTAATATTCTGTCCATTTGTTCCTGTGCCATCTTGAATATAGACAATAATATAGACTATTTATTGTCCTGTGATATTCGGCTTCGCTGTTAACTCGCCTGGTGAAATACTTTGTAATTTGGTTTACAACTGTTAAAGATTTGTATTTCGGCTAGGATGAAAAACAAACATACACATAACAAGAGTATGAAGGCATGTCTGGCCTTACAAGTTGAATATTCACCTCCATAACAGCATAACTTAATATGTTTCATTGGAAACATGTTTGAACCATGAATCTGAAATAGCAGATCATTGATAACATTGATCAACTTTTCGTCATAATCATATTTGACTTACATTGTAGTACGGATAATTCCTCTAAGAAGCATTGTTATTCGATAAATATTGTGATTATAAATTTCTGTTCATCATGAGCTAGTTTTTGTATAACTTATCTTAGTGTTGCTTCTTGGAGAAAATTATCGCAGGAATAATTAATTGACAAGCTGAGAATGGTTATCTGCAGACATTTCTCAGGAAAAATCCATCTGCCCCTTTTGAATCTTTTTATTTACCAACCAGTGGAAAGGTGTCTTCAGATTCAGCTAATTTCCCTTTGGAACCTCTTTTGAGCAACTCTACTTTTGGGGAAAAACCAGATGTCGCATGGACTTATTTCCTTCTGGACATTCCTGGGGGTGCTGCTGGGGGAAATATCCACATCCGTCTTACATCAGATGCTCAAATGAATTATGAAATATTTGCAAAGTATGGTGGATTGCCATCTCTTGATACCTGGGACTACTTCTATGCAAACATGACGAGCAGTAGCAACGGTTCCATGTTTTTTAAGCTGTATGATTCGAGTGAGAAGACTGTTAGTTTTTATATCTTATATGTTAGAGGAGGAACCTGGAGCTTTGGATTAAGGCAACTAAATCCAGCTAGTACTGCTTCAGCGAGCCAGACTACCATGTCTATTTCACTTGAGAGATGTCCAAGAAGATGCTCTTCTCATGGGACATGCCAATCTGTTGTGGATGCAAGTGGATTGGCTTTATACAGGTTAATGTTATTCTCTTTCTAAGTAGTTTCTGTGCTAGTTAACATAACTGACATACATGGAACCATCACTTGATTCCTTTACTGCCTGGAAGCGTTCAAATAAGCATTTCTCTGATGTTAACACAAAAATGATTACTGCATTCTTGCCTACCTTTACTGATTCTTTCCTACCTTTCTGTGATCTTTCTTTCTCAGCTACTGCTATTGTGATCGAGACCATGGAGGCTTTGACTGTAGTGTTGAACTTGTAGCTCATCGAGGTATATTTATCTATTCATCTTAGATCACATAGATGATAGCCTCCTAATTGGTCTTCGGCTTCCTGCTAATATTTTCGATTTTGGTATCCTAGCCTGCTATGTTATTTCTTTCTCTTTCTACTTGTGTATGCTGAAGTGTTTAGATTTTCACTAAGTAAGATCAAAAGAATAGTTAGCCCTTACTGGTTAATTATTTCGGGGAAGACAACCTGTCTGATCATATGTTTAAATTTAACTGCTGCCTTGAAAGTACAAAATTGAGGCAGCTGGTTCTGAAACATGAGAGGCTGTTGCTGCCATAGAAACCAGATATGCTGGTTCAACTCCCGTCACATGTGCACACCTACACGAAAAACTATTAGGGGATTTGGTGTATTTGTCAAACCCTGCTAATTTTTCTGTTTTTTGCAGTTTGTGGTGATTTTACCTAAAGTACTGGCTGGCATGGATTGCAGTATACCTGGCATAAAATTTGGAACTCTTTTTCTTTTTGTTTTTCATTTTGGCATGATCTAACATTCATTCAATTTGAAGTCTAACGTGCAATTTATGATATATTGTGTGGGTCTTCTAAAGGAAAAATGCTGAAAACTCATGTAGGGCACATATTGCAATCAATATCCCTTATTGCATCCAATGCTGCCGCTGTACTTCCTGCTTATTGGGCCCTCCGCCAAAAGGTAATGTTAACTATTGCGTTGGAACTATATTGGAATACATTTTCAATGTCAGGCAGCTAATGCTGACAATTTTTGGCTGGGTGAAAATCTCCTGAGTTGAACTTGAGCGTCATTCTTCTACGCACTAATTTTGCTGAAACCTTTTTATGTTTTCATAAGGTCAAAACTAAAATTTTCCGTTCTGGTGCAGGCATTTGCAGAATGGGTTCTCTATACATGTAGTGGAATTTCAAGCGGATTATATCATGCGTGTGATGTAGGCACATGGTGTGCATTATCATTTCGTGTCTTACAGGTATCAGGTTGTCTTTATGGCTTAATGGTAGATATTTTGGCATTTGTTACTGTTGAAGATGATGGTCCATTAGATATCATCCTTACTGTGTGTGTGTGTGTGTGTGTGTGAAGGATTCTTATTTTGTGCGATTATTAACTATTAAATTGGAATATGTTCTCAGTTTATGGATTTTTGGCTTTCTTTCATGGCTGTGGTGAGTACCTTTGTTTACCTAGCTGCTATTGATGAAGTTTCGAAGAGGACAATTCACACAGTAGTTGCGATTCTTACGGCCCTCATGGCTGAAACTGGACCAACCAGGTCTATGTTCATTTATGGCTTGAATTTTGACTTGTGAACCTATATGTGTGTGCTTTTAATCGTTCTAGACTTTGCAGGTCCCACAACATTATTCTTGTAATAGCAATTGGGTCTTTGGGGCTTCTTATCGGCTGGCTGATTGAGTTTTGTACCAACTATAGATCGCTTTCCTTTTCGACAGAGTTCTGCATAAATATGCTTTATAGGTGAGTTATTTTCTCTACAAGAGCTTTTGATGTCGTTTTGTACTGAGAGTTGGATTCCTGAAGTGGAGAAGCAATTCAATCCAAAAGGTTGGATTGCATGAGTGTTTGCAACGTTAAGCATGGGACTGACGAATTGGAGTAGCCCCACGATTTTTTTCATTATGGTGAAGCAAAAACTTCAATGGAATGCCTGTTTCAATTTTGCTTCAAACGAGCCTAACCGAATAAACTAGACTAAACAAAGTCTTGTCGTAGTAATTTGATGTTGGTAACATGAATTTTTCACTTATGTTGCTCTACTGAGCTGATAATTATTTGCTTCTAACAAGGTCAAGCGTTTATGTTAAATGCAGATTGCAAACCATCAACGGATGGATCCATGATCTTATCGTGACACTTATTAAACGTTTCCGTTGGGGTTTTGTACTAGCGGGGTTCACAGCATTAGCAATGGCTGCAATAAGCTGGAAACTGGAAACTAGTTCAAGCTACTGGATTTGGCACAGGTGTTGTCTCTCTCTCTCTCTCTCTCTCTCTCTCTCTCTCTCTCATGTTTATATTTGTGCAAAATGGCTTGCAGCGTATGGCATGTTTCCATATATACTTCTTCCTTCCTCTTCCTCTGCTCGAAAGTAAAAACTCTGCACTGCGAGGATCAAGGACCTTCAGATGGGAACTATGAGTTAACTCGACAAGATTCATTACCAAGAGGAGGTGGATAAAAAGCAATGAATGATTTCACAGGATTCTTTTATGCTTCAAATGTAAAGTGAAAGGAGATTTTTAGTCACCACATCCAGAAAGTATAGCTATTTCGGAAGTTGCAGAAACTGTAGCTGCTGAAGGAGATTGTTGTCTGAATAAGACACCCCTAAGCCACATTAACTTTAGCACTTTGCTATACATTCTTCTCAACTAGGTATGTCTTTTTGGAAATCTTGTGACTATTTATAGCCATATACTTCTAAAATTTTCTAGTAAGAGGCAAAGCAAAAATGTAATTTATTGTCAAGGAAGGTTAGAAAAAGAAAAATCGACTAGAATGAGAGTGTTTCAGTAATTCAAATTGAAGGGTTGTATGGTAACTTGAGATGATGATAAACATAATTTTAGATTATTTTTTCATCATTTTAATAATATATGTGGGGATATTGATTTAACCAAGCCTTTGTTTTGGTAGGATTTTTCTCTTTTTCCCCTATAATTCTGTCTGCATACCCATTAATCGGTTTTTTTATTTTTTAGTTCAACGGTCAGGGGTGTTTGGGCCAACGTACGTGTATCTCGACTAATTTTCTCTCTGGTCCGACCAAAGGTAGACAATTCACATTTCATGAGGGATAAATTTCTCATGATCTAACTCCAAAGATTTGCCAAAATTAGAATTTAAGATGTTTTTGTTTATTATTCGTTTTTGTTACCACTTAAGCTACCATTTGGGGGTTAATAGCTTCAATATAACCTAAGTTGAATTAAGCTATAGATTTGATAATAAACAAATTTTACCAACTTCACACAAAATAGAAAATGGTAGGTTAATAGCTTCAATATAACCTAAGTTGAATTACGATATAGATTTGATAATAAATAAATTTTACCAACTTCACACAAATTAGAGTTGTAGTTATCGAATATGAGGTTAAATTTTATTGATTTGGGTCATAGCTAAGTTAACCTATTTAATAAAGTACTCGACATGAATCCAACTCATACACATTACGAAGATGAACAATATAAACTCGATTGTACACCGCTGCAAATGGGTTTTAGGTAATAAGGTATAGTAGATTGAGTATTGTAATACGACACAAATTAAAAAAATATACGAACCCAATATATCAGGATTTGTCGTGGTTTGCAACGGTAATGGCTGTTCCTCAATTCTCCACATATGACAAATTTTTATCAAGTAAAATGAAATTACCAAACTATGTAGCCAAATAATATACATGCATTTGACAAAAATTCAAAACCACAACAATGCCTGTAGGAATTGGCCAAATATNTTTTATCAAGTAAAATGAAATTACCAAACTATGTAGCCAAATAATATACATGCATTAGACAAAAATTCAAAACCACAACAATGCCTGTAGGAATTGGCCAAATTTGACCCTATAGCTCTCCAAATATGAACAACTACAAAATCAGGAGACTACAAGGATCCTTGATTCTCCACCTCAACTGAATTTTCTACACAAAAGCCAAACAATATGAATAAATCCCTTTTCTCATTCTTGTAACAAGCCACCCTCTGTTTTCCCACTGCACAGCTCTCTTATATCCAATGGAAGATTAAAACAACCTGTATGAGAATTCTTGGACAAGATCATATACACTTGCTTATTCTTCTCTAATTGTAATGCTCTTTTGGGAATGAGAAGAGAGAGAGTGGGTGTCTGAAGTTGCCAGTTCTTTATGATCCTTTCGGATACTCCATAGAATCTCTGCACATTTCCTCATAGATGGCCGGTTGTGTCGATGAGGAGCCAAACATCGCAAGGCTAGTTCAAGAATCTTTTCTATTGCCAAACTATTTGCAGCAGTCCTTTCCAGCCTTGGATCCAAGATTAAAATTGCACCTCCTTCAGCAAACTTCTTCATGGCCTACATTTACACCAATCATAACAGAGAAGTTCATACTAAAATGGAAGAGAAAGCATGGTCGTAAGAAAGGGGAAAAGGGAAGGACTTGGGGGGGGGGGGGGGGGGGGGGGGGGGGGGCGTTTTTTTTTTTATTTTGTGCACAACCGGGGTGGTGTGGCCCCCGGGGTGGAAAAATTTTTTTTTTTTTTTTTA